ACCAATCTTAAAGAACACAACAAACTCAGTGCATGAGGTTACCGCTCTTCATCTGGTTGTGAGGCCCTGGCTGTGGCCATCACATGGGATTAAATGGACTTTATTAGCTGCTGCAGTGCAGGATGAACTCAGAACAGACCCATTTCTCACCTTATTATTCTAAATCATGCAACGAAGAAGAAGAAATGCATAATAAAATCCTGGGACAAAATCTGTCCACAAATACTGTACAGCATGTAGTCTGATGAACAAGACTTGTGTTATAGCTGACTTGGGCAGTGAAATGTTTTTTTAATTCATGTGGTCATAGTTGTCCACAACTCAAATCAGAATATAAGAAGAAATGTTTTATACCACCTCAAGAAGGCTTCCTATCAGAAAGGTAGGAAGGTATTTCAAATGTACAACTGCAGTACTTAAATCTAAGTAAAGTAATTTCCCTGACATTTTTGTGTTACTTTACTTTTAATAGACCTATGTAAGAGGTTTTATACTTCCTGTGAGTATAATCCAATCAATCTTATCTTCATACTGTATATCCGTTGTGTAATTTGATAAATTGTGTTGTATGTCGTGCTCGCATCTCAGAGAAGACTCTGACTGCAACATGCGTCTTTGTAAAGAGAGAAACAGACAGAAAGTCTCTAACTCTGCCTGTCAGCTCGCTCTGCTCCGTTAAAACTGAATTTACCATACAGAATTGAATACGAGTGCACTCCAGATTTAGCTGCAGCCAGCTGACCGTGTGCTCCTCCCTATACCGCAGTTCTGTGTCCATACATGCAGCAAACTGAAAGCACTGTCTGTCGGAGCGTCTACGTGAAAAGAGAAGGAAGACATTGCTGGTAGTATTGTCTTCAGAGTTGTTAAACACCTCAGTGCACTGAAGGAAGCCATCTGACTGTGTGAGGGGCAAGATCGTTGATGTCTGCAGGCAGAGTAGGAGCTCTCCTGTCTGACTGGTCCACCAATAGCAGAGAAGATGACCCCTTGAGACACAGCCCCTCCTCATTTGCATAATGAGGAAGAAATGCATACAGAAATTTAAAAAGGACAGGAAGAAATAAAGAGAGAGAAAATAAATAAGGTAAATAAATACAAAGGAAGAATAAAACAGACAAATATTAAAACACACATAAATAAATACATTAAAAAAATTAGTAATAAATAAAGTTGAAGATTATAACGGAGAATAAATAAATAAGGTAATTATAACAAAGGTGAATAAGTAAAGGCACTAATTAAAATATACATTTATGTCTCCTTGTATAATTTAATTACTACCAACATTTATTTATTTACTTTATTTTTTTGTCTATTTAATTGGATGCTTATTTATTTATTGAGCATTTATTTATTTCTGTATTTATTTCTGACTGTGTCACGATCGGTCCTCCATAGCGGGGTGGGACAGTTATCAAGCACGTAAAGTTTGGTTAAGATGTGAGCATGTACACTGAAGTTACAACAACTTCCTGTGTCATGGCGAAGAGTTGATCTTTGACGCCACAGACACGCCCATTGACGAAAACTCGCAAATAGCACAACTTTTCATCTTTAATGCCTTTAGAAGGCACAGCAGAAATTTGAAGTCGGTTGGACTAAATCCCTAGGAGGAGTTTGTTAATGTACGGAGTGTGTAAATGATGCAAAAATGGCCGAAAAATTCAAAATGGCCGACTTCCTGTTGGGTTTAGGCTATGGCTCCAAGAGACTTTTTTGTGCATCTGGACAAGATACACGTACCACAGAAAATTCGTGCATGTAGGTGAAACGTGCGGCGGGGGCTGCTTCGTTAAAAGTCACTTCCTGTTGCCAGCAGGTGGCGCTATGACTGTGGGTGAATGTCAGCATGTACATGTGTTCAGGGCGGGACTCTCATCCTACATGTACAGTTTGGTCCAGATGTGAGCATGTACACTGAAGTTACAACAACTTCCTGTGTCATGGCGAAGAGTTGATCTTTGACGCCACGCCACGGACACGCCCATTGACGAAAATTCACAGATAGCACAACTTTTCATCTTCAATGCCTTTAGAAGGCACAGCAGAAATTTGAGGTCGGTCGGACTAAATCCCTATGAGGAGTTCGTTAAAGTACGAAGTGTGTAAATCATCCTGAAATTTTTCACAGTTCAGATCAGTTAGTTAATAATCGCTCAATTATCTTAAATCAGTCAGTCACTCTCATATCTAAAGGGTCAATTCTCTTGGCAGGAACTAGAAATAGGCAACACACACAGCTCTTGATTATATTACAGTGAATTTATTCTCTAACTAAGGTGATAAAAAGAGGGAACATCAACATTTGCTGAACAATGAGCCTGGAGGTTCGATTGTGGGAAGCATTTGACTCATACGGCATAGAAGAGCTAATGAAAGTAAACTAATGCTATAATTTAGGAGTTAAAATGGACATCTGATCACAGAACGTGTGTTAAGTCTTACTGCTTGTCGACAGCCTGCTTTTGGCCTGTTACACGGGTCCCACGCTAGCTGCCCGATCCTGGCTTTTTGCTAGGGATTCTCCAGGGTTCTCCGTGTCTGATTGAAAACGCCTCCTCCGTCTGGCAATTCGGCTGTTTGCAGGTTTCCTTCGTTGTAGCTGGCGAGACCACGTGGCTTGGTCTGACCTCGGTACAGTTGGCTCGACGAAAAAGGCTTAAAATGGAACTTGGTCGTTCCTGAATTAGTCCAGTGTAACTTAACGGACTGATAACTTTAACAAACAAAAGAAATAATGAACATAAAACAAACTGAAGGCAGATCGATGTCGCGACACTTCAGGTGTGTAGCTTCAGGCGAAACAAAAGGGCCTGTTTGTTTCGCTGGCCGAGTCTGGGCGTTGCCTGGCGAGGCACGCCAAACGCGTGCCGAAGCGTCCAGAGGGCCGAGCAGGGTGAAAGAGCCAACAGCGAAGAGAAGAGAGCGCGAGAGGTCGCGTGTCGCTCTTTTGTTGCCTGGGGCGTGGTTCCCCAGGGGGCGTCTCAGGTTTCCCAAGGGACTGCCTTTCTAAACTTAATGTCTAAAGAAAAGAAATCTATTTGCACGTATTATAATCAAATATTTTCCACAATCGAACCTCAATGGTTGAACGGTTGTACTGTTCTAAGCATTTGGTAACAGGAAACAAAGATATTTATACATTTAACGGCATTGCCGATGAGGGCATGTAATACTTATTTCGTCCACTTGGGGGAGCTCAGGTTACATGAGGAAAGCTTGGATTAAATCAAAGATCGTCTCTCCTTAGGAACCGGGGAATTTGTTGATTCATCCTTAAATTCAAGCTGGCGATTAAGAGTATAGTAAAACATTTCTTTGTCATCATTTCTAAAGGGATTTTGTAGGAAAGTATTATGAACAAGCATTGATTACATTAGATGAAGGAGTGTCTTGCTGAAAATAAAAACATTGCACAAGTAACTTCTTTTCAGCACTAATATCAACAACAGATAGCAACAACAGTTAACATAACTACTCAAATAGAGGCAAACGTAATCAGGTAACTAAAGATTTAATTAAATGCTTTGAATCTTTGGAGACTGCAGTCTGCAGTCCAAGTTCAGTGTCTGGACTATGTCACACTTGGGTGAGACAGGGGTATCCCTTTTTGATGTGGTAATAAACAAAGAATAAGGTCAGTTGCCACGGAAACGTGTGTGGGGGGGCCAGTTTTGATAGGCTGTTCAGGGAGATGCCAAGGGCTGGTTCATATCCCTTTGTCAGTTTAACAGTCAGGCCCCGCGTTATCAGCTTCGGAATCAAAAAGGTGCCAGTTTTATGGTCGGGATAGCACTTAGAGAAAGCAACTTTGACCCCTCCCCTTCTTCTCTGGGGAGGAGAAAGGAATTTAGAGTAGCTCCAAATTTATTCAATATAAAATGCACAAATCCACACCGTTGTTCACTACACTAGCTACCCTCCAGGCAGTCAATGGACACAAAGTTGTTACTGTGATGTAGAGACAGAGCTCAGTTAAAACTTTATGGATGAAAGATATTTTGTTACAGATTAATAACTCACCACTCTGAAACTCTTGCTCCAGTCCATGGTCCTTGCCAAACTGGTCGGCAACATGAATGGAAGCTGTTTACAGGCTTCACACTGACCTGCCCTTCTCTGCTTCTGATTGGCTAGTAGTCCTTAACTAGGAACCGCGCATGTGCAACTCCCAACAAAGATCATTTAGAGACAAGAAAAGAGGAGTTACAGCAATGTGCAGTATGAAAAAAAAGTAGGTGTTTTTTAAAAATTAAACCATGTAAACCTGTTCTGGTACAACCCCTAAACAGGATTTTTGTCCTAAAAATGCCTATATGCATAATACCATCTCTTTAAAATTCAGTTTACAGTTATTATTCAGTCTTATGCAAGATGTTTGCTCCTTTTTCCGGTCCAGACTATGACTTAGGACCTTTTTAATTGTAAGATATATATTTCGTCTGTATTGTGCGTTTACCATGTTCATTGTGTAATCTCTATCATTTTGGCCAGGTCTGGAAAATATATTTTCAATCAGCAACCAACATTAATAGCTAATTTATCACTTACCTGTCTGCATCCTTTGGAAAAAGACAAGATAACTTGTTCTTGTTATTTCAGCCTATTGCTGCACAAAGCTTGGCCATTTTAACACGTCAAAACAATAAAACACTAAAAATGTAGGCTAATGTTTAGGCCTTATTTTACTGCTCATTTTTATTTGCTAGCTTAAAATCTGATATCCACCCAGTAATTTTATAAGATCATATCAGTCAATAATAATTTCTTTTTCCCCACTTCAAAAACAGTTAAATAATAACAATAACAGTATACTTAAGCAAAAAAACAAAACAAGTTTGATGAAAGACTTATTGTCAAACACTTGACTATAGTGACCCACTAGCGAGAGATGTCATAGTATGGCAACCCAAAAATTGCTAACTTGTAAACCATTCATAAAGGGTATCTTGTGAGAAAAGAAATACAGAAGTTAATGAGGAATGAAGATGGATAAATAGACCTCAAGCAAATGTGTTTACTGAAACAAATTTTACAAAATGCTTGAGTGATATCTGGAAGTTCAGTAATTTCAGGAGACAACAAGAACACACAGCTCATCTCCTGCATCAACAGGTAACATCTTAAAATAGACTACATGACATTTACATTTCACAGATTTCTGTGAAAATACACATAGAACATGTTTAACAAAACAAACGCAATAAAATAGAATAGAAAATCCCCCCCTCCCCATGTACAACTCTGTTGATACTTCATGAATAAAATGAATTCATTCTCCACTGGACTGATGAAAGCAGGGCATTTCAATTGGCAACAACTAACTAGAACACTAGCGTAGCGTTCCTCTGTCTGCACTCTCACACCACAACAAGAAGTTCACAGGCAAATGATGACATCTGAAGGCCACCATGTCCCAGTAGCAAGTGCAATGTGATCAATGAGCTTGGCCAAGAGGGAAGGGCGCACAATCCATAAAACATTTTATAAATGTACAATTAACATTATAAAACAGATTTAAACAAATTAGCAATGGCAGCACACACTATTCAAATGTCCTTGCAAACAGGACTTAAATAAAAGTGCAATGCACATCTTTCAGTAGAAGAGTGAGGAAAAAAACTGGGTAGACAAAGCGCAATAAAAAATCTGAATGGGTTCTTTAAAATGCATCTATATCCTGTAGAAAAAATAGAACATACCATCATCAACCTCAGCCTCTGCAGTATTACTGTAGACTCACGTGTAATGCAATGTTACTTTCTCAAAGCACCTTAAAAAATAGGTTTGTAAAAACAAGTCAACATGTAAAAGGTGTATTCACTTGCTCTACATTAAATGTAAAGGAATGCAATTCATAGTTACACTTAAAGAGAAAGCGTAATCAATGGTTTAAACGGCATTGCTCCCACTTAAAGAAATACTTCATCCTTATTATTTTTGTCTCCATATTTTACAACCATGTAGTCTGGAATGCTTAGAGGGCAAGCAGTTTCTTGACATACTAAAGTTGTCCGGAGATCCAAACATCACAACAATATGAAAAACTGCTCAGTAAAAACATCCAAAAATGAAAGAAATTGCACATTGTATCAAACCTAAATTTATTTTTACACTGTAAAATGTCAATGTCAGCTCAGTACATGCCTTGGTCACACTTTTTTAAAATATCAAATTTATGTCCAGCAGAATAATCTCAACTCAAAGACCACTTGCACGTCTTTATAGAGCTTCAAATTGCAGTTGAAAGCCCCAACAAAAGCTAGTAAGTGGACCTTTGAGACAAGACTATTCCATCAAACTACTTTTATAAGGTCACAAATGAATGCCCTGGCCTTATCAGAAATGTTTGTTTAAAAAAACCCTGAATTTTCTAAACTCTCAAATATTCGGACTGTAACCAAAATGTGTCTGTAGCATTGAGCTGTGAAAGATGCAAGGTACCAAAAAGCTGGTCAGATTTGTAATCTTGTTTACTTAACTCTATGATTAGATAGTTCCTGATTACAACTGAATATTTTGCCAATATTAGGTGATGTGAAGTTCATGTGCAGCTACTTGTGTTTAGACAAAATTTAAAAACTTCTATTGTTTCACCCAAAAAGTGCACAAATCTGCAAGTCTTCAAAATTATTACGGTATCAAAAAAGTACAGAAACTCAGGAACTGTACTTGCACTAGTATAGCAAAACGTCAAGCTATAGCCAGTACTTGAGGTGTTTTGTCTGTGTGTGTGTTTGCTGTAATCTATCTGTAACTTCATCGCTGCAAGAAATGGCTGCCACGTCTGTTTTTCATGAAGGACCCTAAGTTCAAACATTCTGTCATCATTCCAGGCTATTAGAGGCAAGTAGCTAACTGATACAAACTGTCTGGGTGAAGTATTCCTTTAATGAAAGGATATTACCAGTTCAATTTTAATTTCTGATTTAAGCCTGTAAATAGTCTAGCCAGGCCAATGGTTTTCTAACTCATGTTAGGAAAAACACTTTTTTCAGTGATGTGTGTTATTAAACGGTTCATAAAGCCAATTACATTACATACAGCAAGTAAATGGAGCTGATGAAGCCTAAAACTCTGCTACCTGACCCATTCCGCACCTTTCTGGTTGGATACAGGACGTTTTTCACTCTGTTGAGACAGGCCTCATGTTGATTTGATTATTTTCAAATGTAATTTAATAGGAAACGTCTTTCTTTGACTGCATAAATCATCTATGTCCATGTGTCGCAAGTAGATGCGCAAAGCCCAGGAGGAAGAGCAAAAGAAACCATGTAGCCAATTCAGCATGGCGAGCTAACATTAGATTGTGCTTCTTTTAATATTATTCTAAACTGAATAAAAACTAAATATGAGTATGTCAGTTTGAGCTCAGGGAAATTGTGATGAGCATTTTTCGCAAATTTCTGACACTGTATAGACAAACTGTTATATATTAGTGGCAGATTAATTATTAAAAAATTGCTTGTTGCAGCCCAAAACATTTAGGATAATTCCGGCACACAATATCCCACAAATGCATCATTTGGGAACACAACAGAATTATAAAATTAAATTTTGTTGAGAAGACAAGAACTAAATGAATAATTGCAAGAAGGCTGTTCGTTTGAAAGAATGAACTCAGCCATTTGAGGGCACAATGTTGTCGTTCACAAAGTTAAATATGAGGATGAACTTTTGAGCTAACTGATAGGTTCCGTATCATAGGCACTAATGGCAGCAAGAAAGAAATGAAATGACGCTAATGTTATCGTTTAAACTTAGGTAAACACTCAAAATTCATTTTACATTACTGTAGCTTAAAGTTGAACTCCGGTCTTCTTTATATACTGTCAAAATGCTACTTTATTGAACAAATGCCATTTTTATATTGCTACCTACAGGTATGTACTGCGAGGGCTGGACGTCAGCCTACTGTACGGTGTGGAGTCCTGTGGTAAAACTCTAATACAAAATACTGCTGTTTCCTTGATCAAAGTCAAACAAAGCAAATAGAACGATCTCTGACTTGACAAAGATGAATGAATGAGAAGTAAAAAATAGATAACAGTCCAAAGTGGTCCTGAAGAAGTCATCTGGAGCTCCACTCTCTCAGTGGCTAGCTGCTAATTTAAGGTACAGTGAGCACAGTTCAGTCTGTCAGTGCTGGTGGTGTGTGGGCGAGCAGACAGCAGTGAGGGTTACTCCATGATGGCTCTGTAAATCACAGGCTCTATGTAGTCCCCCCTGTAACGGGAGTTGATCACTCTCTGTCTCTTTGACTCCTTGATGATCTCCTTCTCTTCAAAGATCCCGTCAAATCTCATGTCTGATGCTTTAGACTGCAGAGACAAACACAAGTCTGCATGACAACACAGCCACATCTTCTCAATGCTTTTCATTGGTTTTACAAATTTCAACTCATGCTTTGTTAGATGAACTTGCAGGATTGACAAACATATAGGGTGGAATAAAAATTGTGTGGTTTAGGATGTACTTACCAGTCTGGATTTGACTCTCTTTGGAAGTTCCTCATCCAAAGCATAGACATCGTCTCTTTTGGCAGTTAGCTGCGACCCATCCTCAAATTCCACCTACATTCCAGGAATATAGTGAATAATCCGGTCAGGACACAAATGGAGCTAAACTACACTTGTGGTCATAATCATACAAATTTATATGTTTCAAACACAAAGCTTATCAAGTGCTTCATAATAAGAGCCAAAAATAGGGATAGGCAAAAAAAGAAGACAGTTGCCAGCATCACATAACAACTTAAGAACAGTAGCGGAAACAAACATGAAGTAGGGCGGAGCAATTTCTAAAAACAACTAAATATGCTATTTGACTGACTGTGATTTTTGGAAAAAACGAATCTGTACCAACATTCTCTTAAGTCTGTAGAATATGATGTGTAGGCCAGGACATCTCTGCAGCACAAGAGTATTTAATTTAAAACCAACTTTGCCTTCAGCAAATACTTCACCTCCTGCGATTTGAAAATTCAGTAGGCCATATTGCGATTTCAATAAGATTTGAATAATTATTAAGCCCTAATTATGAAGCACCGGGCAGACAGAGCACGCTATGCAGGTTGCGAAACACAAGGCGCACTGCACTACATTTTTTGTTTAAGTCCATACTAAAAAAAAAAAAAAAAAAAAGGCAGCTTGTTCCGAGCAGCTGAAACGCAGCAAACACGCTTACTGCCTATAGAAAACAAGTGGTAAAGACCCCTCTTACAGCATAAACTGCTGTCTGTCTGATCGAGCATCTTCTATGTCCTTTTAAAGATGCCAGTGATATAAAAAAGCTCCCAACTGACTGAGTTAGGAGGTGCTCCTATAGATGAGGGGTCACTAACTTTGTAGCAACATAATACCCATCCCATGATCAAAAGCAGCAGAGAGAAGAAAGATTTCATTTACCTGCCTCTACACATTTTGTTTAACATTTTCTGTGCTGGCAATTGTATTCTTTAAGATAGCCTATTGTGACATTAATAACAGCAGTAACTTTTTTAGGGGACACAAAACAAACACACAAACAAGATAAATCTTACCAGGTACATGTGGATGGCATGAGCTGCCACAAATTTGGCCCCATACACCAGGCCGTCTGTCCATCGCACCTGAACCACTTCACCCTGCGGCGGGGGTCCAAGCTGAGCACAGTCTCTGCTCTAACAGACAAGACACGTTGCAGAGTTCTGAACAAACAGACATAGTTTCACATGGATATAAAAACATTTCCTCCACTTGTGCTTGCAAAAATAAATGTCTTTTATGCTTGAGGCAAATTTGTTTCAAACATACAACAACAACTATCAAGATCCTCAGAGTTTATCATCCGTTTATGTCAAATTTAAAACTGTACTGTTTCATCTGTTGTACATCAGTGAAATAAATGGACAAATCAAATATATAACATCCAGTCATGGCAACTGTTTTGATATGAGAATTTACAGTCTCGCATGTAAAAAAAAAGTACAGGCCAGGTAAAAAACACATTGACTAAGGTGGATTACCTGAAGCCCACTGCAGTTCACATGGTAATTTCAGTTTAATGTACATGTCTACAGCACTGTTTTCAGTTTCTCTTTTTTAGGAATAATGTTTTCAACTCAACAATTTCATCACTCAACACTTCCATGTGGTTTATCACATTAAAATACCTATGAAGGGAAGGCTGCAATGATTTCCATGTGAAAATTATGGAGGAATGGAAATTAATTATTTAAAAATCATACAATGTGATTTTCTGGATTTTTGTTTTAGATTCTGTCTCTCACAGTTGAAGTGTACCTATGATAAAAATTACAGACCTCTACATGCTTTGGAAGTAGGAAAACCTGCAAAATCAGCAGTGTATCAAATACTTGTTCTCCCCACTGTAGTTTCCCTGTGCCTTTCTCTCCTCCTTACTAACTCCACATGAACACACCACGTGATCTTTGAAGCTAACCAGACCTGTGATCCACAGCAGGTTAGCATTAGAGTGAGTCTCCAATTTTTTTGTAGTTCAGGGGAGAGTGATTTTCCGCCATCTTGATCCTGAAATGAGATGGTCTGAACTGCCATCTTGAACCGGATCTGGGTGGTCGAATCCACCCCCTCTCTTAGTCTCTCCCCCTCCTTTGTCTCACACACACACACACACACACACACACGTTTGTTGTATGATTTGTTTATTGACTTTATTTCATTTTTGCTTAGAATAGTTAATAGTGATTTACTTGCTGAAGTTGTTTATCATTGATCTCTGCTTGAGTTAAATAAATCCTATTATAATTTTAAGAAGTTGTTGCCTGTGATTATTTGTGTATGATGTTGTAGTAAGAGTTGGTTACCACGGCCAGTGTACGGATTCACCCTTCTCTGTTTGCCATCTATAGGTGGACAAACCTTTAAGACTGATCATACTTGGCTCATATTTGGTTATTGGTCCCTGATTCCAGGGTGGTGCTTATTATAATTATTATAATTATAATTAATAATTTGGAATATTAATAATTTTTATTAATATTTCTAGAATATCTTTGATATTCAGCTAATAACCAAACTTGACTATATGTTAAAAACCACAATACGGCAGTGTTTCTTTCTTTCTTTTAATATTATGTGCATTTTTTCATCGTAAAGCTTTTTACTGGCTGTTACTCACTGTGTGCAAAGTATGCTGCACATGTCTTTTCCATTTTAGCATCAATAAATCTGTGATCGACCGTGTGGTCTCTTGAAGAAAGCAGTTGACGCGCATTTATCTGAATTACTTACACCTGGCTTGACATAGTCGCTCCTACTGAGCCTGGTCTGGCCTGGGATGGAGTCAAATTCCTAGCTAGAATTATTGTGTCAGTCCACCCCTGACTTTATATGACTTAGGTTTAGCACCAACACAATGAGCTGTATCTGCTACACTAGATGTGGTCCACAACATGCAGGGAAAACCAAGTTTGCTGAGGCAACTGGCACCGCACAGTTTAAACACGACACCTTAATGAAGCACAACAGCAGCAAAAACATAAAATATGCTGAGGCAGATACACAAATGAATCGGCATCACCACAACTTGAATTTCCCCTACAAAATAAAGGTATATGTTATGTGTGAAGTAAAATAAAACAGCACATTTTAGTTTCTCTAAATTACCAAAGCATTTAAAAGTAATTTAGTTAAAATGGGGCAGTTCGATTTAAGGGCTGCAACTAACTAATCGACTATTCGCATTATGAATTGCAAAATTACACAATGCGTCTTATTTAGCTATCCGCTTTTAAATTAAACTTGAGGTTGTTTTAGGCATGTGCTAATTAACAGTCACAACAATAAAATAAATACTGCTTTCAAAAATGCATCTTTTAATGAACGTTTCTGCTGCAGCAACAGAAAGTTTACACGCCAGTACTGCAACACACCGGGACAAACTGACACCATATACGAAGAAAGGAATAACGTCATGCATTAAATTTGCCAAATTTACAGGGGGGTCAATAATTATTATAATAATTACTAATTAATGATTTTATAGTAGACAGTGTTTCATGTTTATATATTTTTCCCTAACTCAACAACTCACAAAACTCTGATTTTTTAAGGGAGTTTGGGGCGGATTAGCAGCCACCTCATGCATTGACAGGAGAACTGTTTTCTCTTCTTTAGAAAGTATGAAATTCTTGTCTTGTGAAAGTCTTGTCTAATCTTGCGCACTCTGCAGCAACACGTTCTCCAGCTGGGAACACTGCCACGAGCGATGCATCGTTTGTGGTTGTAAAGTTGGGGCACATCTGGACTGTGAACGCGGCCGTTGTGTATCATAAATGTGCGACTCTCAGCGCCATTAACAATCAATCAAATTGTCCAAGGCAAACTGTATAGAAACCGTTACAGCTCACGGCTTTAACGGGAAGCTAGCTCACTATCTATCTTACCGAGACAAGTCTTCATCATCCACAGAGCAACAACTTTACGCGCCTCCTCTTCAGATGCTCCGGTGTTTCCAGGAAAGCTCAGCTTTGCAGACGCTGCAGTTAAACCTTTGAGTGAAGAGTGAAGTGCCACACTCTGGAGGTTTTAGGTGGTGAAGGTGTTACTGCAGCGCTGATGTTGTTTTAGTAACTTTACTGTTCACATCACTTTAGTCCGTTAAGCTGACGTCAAGAACGAATCCATTATTAAATTCACTGGCAATGAATTTAATAATCGATTTTTGACGACTACGTCGATTAGTTGTTGCACCCCTACTCAATAAGAGTATCAATATCAATAAAAATTAACGATGCCCAGTTTCTCAGTTGTTAAGCTGTGATCAATGGAAAAGTCTGCTAGACTTATGCAATGTAAAAGGACATAGGCCAAATCTAATGAACCATGACAGTTAACACCACAGCCTGGCTGACAGTGAGTTTGGGCTTTGAGGGAGGGGCAAAAGTTCACTTCTCTAATGGAGAGGGGTGCACTGGATTTATAACGCAAGAAAAACAAGAGCTTCACTACGAAACTGAATGATGCACAACAATCGCTTTATTGTGATTATCATTTTCAAAATCCTTGGAAGTCAAAATCGTAATTGAAAATATATTTTTTTATATGGCAGGCAACAAAACCCCGCTGTGGTGAACTGAAGAAAGCGTGTAGATTCAAGTCCAGCCGTACAATGCAGTGGAAACACTGCATTTGTTTACTGCCACTGGCAGTCATCAGGAATCCACAGGACCATAGTTAACCTCTGTCACTTCTGTACTTTAAAGGAAAATTCTGTGTGTAGGGGTGTGTGATACGTTTCGTCGATAATATCATAATTGTCGTTTTAACAATGTGTGAGTAGACATTATTGAGTAGGTCAAATTAATTCAGTCATTCACGCAGTACTCGTGTGCTGGAGTTAAACAAACAACAGCTGCCGAAATTATGACTTAAGTTAAAAATGAGTGAACAAACAGCGCCAAGAGATAAAACACAGAGACTAAGCCACACAGTCTAACTAGACGTGGATCAACCTCACTCGCATTGAACTTGTTGTTGCCGTTAAAGACCATGAACTAACTGCACAGAATATCAAGAATATTAAAAGCTTTGGGAGTCCACTGACTATAACAGACCTAAACCAGCCAAGGTACCAGCACAAACACACACTCCACTACCTTGATGATGACAGAATAAAAGCCAATAAGACAACAGCTATGACAGAAGTCGATGCTAACTCCAGGGCTAACCCCTTTTACTCTTTCTTCAATAGCAACATTCACAAGCTCTGCTTTTGATTGAGAAAAACTAGTGAAACCTACCACGATGTCTTCGGGGAAGAGATTGTCACTGAAGGAACCATCATCAAAGTTGACTTCGTAGAACGTTTCTTTAGACAGCTGCACCACGTCACACTGGTAGTAGCGACCATTCTTGTGCTTGCATATCACCTTCTGTCCCACAGTCAGCTCATGCATGGCTGCTTTATTGCGCTGCCAGAGAACACACAGAACACATTTTTGGAGTTACAAATGTTGACTGGAAACTGCTTCAGTATTCTCTGACATATATATATATATATATATATATAAAATATACATATATACACACATACGCACATACACACATACATACACACACAGAGAGTATCAACAGCTACTGAGTTACCAACAATGATAAATAAATAAATAGTAAATAGGTAGAAGCAGATGTTACAGTCACAAGGTTATTGCACAGGGATAGTACCTGACATTAACTGTTCATCAGAGTGATGGCCTGTGGGTAAAAACTGTGCAGTCCAGTACTAGACAATGCTTTCTGTGCTGTATAGGGCTGCACGATTAATCTAATCGCAATGTCATCATGTGCCATGACATAACCGCAAAAAAGTGTGCAATTTAAGCAGAAAAAGTGTGCTGTGTGTTAGACTCTCCTCTCAGTTTGCACTGCAGTCTGCTCATTATCTCCGCCCACACCGGGCTCACGCATATGCCCCTAAAACAGATAAGTACGAACCACAAAAAGTTATTTATGGCCGTGAGCAAGTAATATTAAAGACAACAACCGCAACAATAATCGCAATATGACCTTTTCTTCAAATCGTGCAGCCCTTTAAATAATGCATCTCTAGTTCAAAGTAAGTCCTTAAAGCAGAGGTTACCAGATCCTCAGCGGCTACTTACCTCAATCTGAGTGGGGCCTTTGTGACGACAGCACGTAACATGGACCACAAAGGGCCATTCATCCGGCTGCATGAGTACTCCAGCAGCTTGGGCACAGGTGGGGTGGTAGGCAGTGGGACAGCGACCATGAGAGCACTGCACACAGCAACCAGATGCCTTCTTCATTCGCTTCTTACAGTAGTAACATTTCTGTCAGATTTAAACACAGGAGCCAGGGCTCAGGAAACTGCAGTGGATGTGAAATGACTCAATGAAGCGGAAGCTAACATTCAAGGACTAGTATTAGCTTGAGGGCAGCTAGAACCTTTAACATTTAATAACTTCACATCCTGTTTTAGATTCAAGGGGGTACACCTTTGTTGAAAGGGTACACCTTGGATAGGTCGCCAGTCCATCGCAGGGTCAACACATATACAAACAAACACTCACATGCACAACTAAAGACATATTTGAGTCTCCAATTAGCCTAGCCCAACCTAGCTTGTCTTTGGAGGAAGCCGTAGCAACCAGAGAGAAGCCACGCTTCTCATTTTCAGCAGGCACTGACCATCACTTCCACTGGTTAAAATGGCAAACCTCAACGTGGCAGGTCATAATAGCTGTAATGACCGTCAATTTGTGTGGGTATCTTAATGACAAAAAAAGTTTGCCAACCAGCATCTCAGCCACTGCTTGTCCCTCCATTTCTAAGCTCACGGTGGCTGACACTCTGTTGTGTCGTCTAAATAATACGTGTGGTCCTCCATTTGTCCAAATTTCACGTCTGTTCTTACTTCTAATAAACCAGACTACTACTACGACGACTACTAGTACTACTACAACAACTTCTTGTTCTTGTACAACGTAGTGACAAAACGCGCCCTGAGCAGTTTGGGCTACTGTAGAAACATGTAAAAGGGGTGGTGATAGCACAGTGGATATAGGCATGCAGCCTTTGGTGTATGAGACCTGGGTTCAACTCCCCACTGTGACACATCCACCAATGTGTCCCTGAGCAAGACACTTAACCCCTAGTTGCTCCAGAGGTGTGCGACCTCTGACATAAATAGCAATTGTTGCTTTGGATAAAAGCTAAATGAAAAAATGTAAATGTAAGAGGTGTATGTAGTTCAAAATGGTTCATTATGAAAGGTATTTATACACTACTGAAAACACAATTATGTATATTTTATTGTATTTCTTTCAATAGACTTTAAGCATATACAGTGAGGAAAATAAGTATTTGAACACCCTGCTATTTTGCAAGTTCTCCCACTTAGAAATCATGGAGGGGTCTGAAATTGTCATCGTAGGTGCATGTCCACTGTGAGAGACATAATCTAAAAAAAATTATCCAGAAATCACAATGTATGATTTTTTAACTATTTATTTGTATGATACAGCTGCAAATAAGTATTTGAACACCTGTCTATCAGCTAGAATTCTGACTCTCAAAGACCTGTTAGTCTGCCTTCAAAATGTCCACCTCCACTCCATTTATTATCCTAAATTAGATGCACCTGTTTGAGGTCGTCAGCTGCATAAAGACACCTGTCCACCCCATACAATCAGTAAGAATCCAACTACTAACATGGCCAAGACCAAAGAGCTGTCCAAAGACACTAGAGACAAAATTGTACACCTCCACAAGGCTGGAAAGGGCTACGGGGAAATTGCCAAGCAGCTTGGTGAAAAAAGGTCCACTGTTGGAGCAATCATTAGAAAATGGAAGAAGCTAAACATGACTGTCAATCTCCCTCGGACCGGGGCTCCATGCAAGATCTCACCTCGTGGGGTCTCAATGATCCTAAGAAAGGTGAGAAATCAGCCCAGAACTACACGGGAGGAGCTGGTCAATGACCTGAAAAGAGCTGGGACCACCGTTTCCAAGGTTACTGTTGGTAATACACTAAGACGTCATGGTTTGAAATCATGCATGGCACGGAAGGTTCCCCTGCTTAAACCAGCACATGTCAAGGCCCGTCTTCAGTTTGCCAGTGACCATTTGGATGATCCAGAGGAGTCATGGGAGAAAGTCATGTGGTCAGATGAGACCAACATAGAACTTTTTGGTCATAATTCCACTAACCGTGTTTGGAGGAAGAAGAATGATGAGTACCATCCCAAGAACAGCATCCCTACTGTGAAGCATGGGGGTGGTAGCATCATGCTTTGGGGGTGTTTTTCTGCACATGGGACAGGGCGACTGCACTGTATTAAGGAGAGGATGACCGGGGCCATGTATTGCAAGATTTTGGGGAACAACCTCCTTCCCTCAGTTAGAGCATTGAAGATGGGTCGAGGCCGGGTCTTCCAACATGACAATGACCCGAAGCACACAGCCAGGATAACCAAGGAGTGGCTCTGTAAGAAGCATATCAAGGTTCTGGCGTGGCCTAGCCAGTCTCCAGACCTAAACCCAATAGAGAATCTTTGGAGGGAGCTCAAACTCCGTGTTTCTCAGCGACAGCCCAGAAACCTGACTGATCTAGAGAAGATCTGTGTGGAGGAGTGGGCCAAAATCCCTCCTGCAGTGCAAACCTGCTGAAAAACTATAGGAAACGTTTGACCTCTGTAATTGCAAACAAAGGCTACTGTACCAAATATTAACATTGATTTTCTCAGGTGTTCAAATACTTATTTGCAGCTGTATCATACAAATAGTTAAAAAATCATACATTGTGATTTCTGGATTATTTTTTTTAGATTATGTCTCTCACAGTGGACATGCACCTACGATGACAATTTCAGACCCCTCCATGATTTCTAAGTGGGAGAACTTGCAAAATAGCAGGGTGTTCAAATACTTATTTTCCTCACTGTAAACTAACAAGGACCCTCACAGTATTTGGGCCAAGAAAGAAGCTGGTGAAACACTTGCATCTTGTCTGAAATCTATTTAATCAAGATTTAGGTAACAATGAGTATTTGATCAGACTAGGTATCAGCAGACACCAATATCAAACAAGTTGGATCAGGATCTTTTTAACTCACCAGTTTAAATCTCTGCAAAGGGATTCCACTTAAATCCACAGGACTCCTTTCAGTGATGTTGACAAAGCGTGCTTCCAGCACAGCCACTGCACACAGCACATGTACCCACCTGTGACACACAGACACATGGACACGTAACAAATGATAAACTGGCATCATCAAGCAGAATGCTGCCTCAATTTTCGAAATCATTATAAAGCTAAATAGAATACTGTCACACAAATGTGATATGTGCTCAAGTGTCCTGAACTAGCGCAAGTATTATAACAGTGTCATTTGACAAGTTACATCCAAGACTCTTTGCTAGTCTGGTTGTAATTTTCACCTTTAGCGCATCAACATCAATGAGCAACTTAGCATTTTAAACCATTTTGATTTGAACGACAAATATTATCCTGTTCAAAGATAAAGTACCATCAATGTGCAGATGTTAACAGAGAGCAGAATAAATAGCTAGATGTACTTTCCAGGTCCTGGTCACTCTGGAACAACTTACTTGTTGTTGTTGGCTCTCTGCAAGGCTCCGCCCCTCAGCGAACACAAACAGCAATTCTGCAAAAAGAACTTGACATCAACTGTCCAGCAAAACAATAAAGAGTGAAATCATTATTATAGCTAGTGGTCAACTAAAAGTACAGCAGATAGTCCACTCAGGATTACAGGACTAACCCTAAACCTGGAGTTAACGTTCATTCCATGTATTGTTTTCAGCCTACCAAATGTTGTGTTTAAGACTGGATGTCTGGTACCAGCAACATCATGAGCAGCAGCTGTCTCACTGAGAACCTGTTGCAGATGTTGGTAATACAGTCAGTACTCCTGTTACAATGGCAGGCTCTGTCACAAAGTTGGGCTTGAGAAGGGGTTGAGGACTGAAATGATCTCTTACACTTCCAAGTCACTCTATCATGACCTCATGGATCCTCCAGTTTTAACTCATAAAAGATGCCAAATGTGGTGGTAAAGTCACAGTTTGATCAGTCAACTCCACAAATCTTTTGTCATAATAACTACATGTCAGCCTCTGCATTTAAGCAGAGATATCCCGCTTTCAAAGATATTCACATGTGCTCACTGCAGCATCACTGCGCTGATCATGTGACTCCCATTCAGGGCAAACCTTCAACACAGAAAGGCTCACAACGAGTAGGCCTACATCCCAAGTGGTGTTATCACAGTATAATCACATTAAAACTTCACTTTTAATCAGCTTTAGAATGGAAAAAACTGAGGACAAAATGCATGAGCATACAATGTGAACTAGTTATTATATAATTGCTTTTATACTGAATTTGTTAACGTCTTTTCTTTAATATATATTTGGGGATATCTGATTTGTCATTTTTTGTGGACCATTAGATTTGACCATCAAAAATAAATTGGATACTCCACTACAGAGAAGGCTCCAATTAAACAACAACGAGCCATGTGAGTCAATCTACCCTGGAAAGTTTACTGACCTCAGTCATGGCGTTGGCCTTGCAGCGCGCACATTTCCAGTCCTTGCTCACACTGGCTGGATCCACACCGTAACAGCCTGGAATAAACCGACACAGAGACACTGTCTGACACTGAAGTAGTGGCTGAAAGACCCGCTGTCATGAAGGTCTGTTTGTAAGTTTGTGCCGCCATCCACAGACAGCGTTTAGTCAGTGCAGGTTTAAGTGGTTGTTGCTGTGTTGCTGTCTAATTCTAAAATAACACATTTCTGTGCCGATGACTTATGAGAAAATTAGAGGAATGAAAATGAGACATTTTCACATAGGCTGTGTGACATATTTGCAATATTGTCAGTTCAAGTGTGTGTGTGTGTGTGTGTGTGCGTGTGTACTGACTGGTGTGAAAGCGGACGCTGCACTGAGAGCAGCTGATGAGGAGGCTGGTTCCATCTTCCTCTAGATGAGGTGTGACAGGCTGCTCCTCACACTCAGAGTCCTCCTCTGTGGTGGTGGTGAAACACATCTCTGGGATCAGAGGTTTGGTCCGCATCCGCCCACCAGCCACCATGACAGGACTGTCGACGCTGTTTGCACATTCAGTCTGACAGCAGGCACAGCACATAGAGACATGGAGCATGGAACACTCTGCAACAAGTAATTTCCTATTCTGAATATGGACTTTTCCTACAACTGCAACTGTTCTCCATTAACAACTACTGGTTCAAAGGACAGTTCTGTATAATGTGTCAACATGTTGCCTTACAGAGTTTATTTTGCTTGTACTGCACCCATCCAGAATATTATCATCCACAATCTCTGTTGGTACCTATGTACATAGTGCCTGAGGCAAAATCTGATACACTTAAATAATTATTAGCAGACTGGAAACCTGATATTACAACTCTACAATCATTATTCTAGATAAGATCCAATATCTGCAGCACCATACTCTAATGTATCTACTTTAATATGTACACACAATTAGGCTTTGTTATGGGAAATACCACAGAAATGTCAGCCTGAGTAATGCAAATACTCAAAGTTTTTAAACAAACAAGGAGACTGCAGCAAGTGTCATGGACAAAGACAATCATTTAGGTGCACAAATTGATAAATCATGCTTCTGTGTGCGAAATTCACACAATATAATGTAAAACAACATTAAAACTTGACAATTTTATCTTGATCTTGGAAACAGCAGATGGCAATCTCAGCTCAAGAACACCTTGCCCTTCTGCATTAGACCAAGTTTGCATAGAAATCATGGAAATGGAGACATATGAAGATGATGTTTAACATAATACTTTAAGGACATCACAGATAACACAACATTGTTTAACAGGCAAAATCTGTGGTAAATATGTGCATCTCTATCCACAATCAAAACAAAACTGCATTAAAGCCAAGTCCATTATTTAGATTAGAATGTCCAACTATCACTGTTTACTTTGCACTGTATTAACTCAAGCCTACAAATATGTGCAGCTAACTGGTACCTGCCAATTCTGGTTAGTATTACTGGAACAACATCAAATGTAGCATTGCAACTGTAGAAAGCGGGGACAAGGCCAAATGGAGTAAATGTCAACACAATCTAATATTAATATGATATGATGATGGAATTAATTCAACTAACAGTACTAACACTAACGCGTTTTCTCCTGAGGCCTTTTTCAATTCACTGCAATAGGAGCACCGCATTTTTACAACATGCTAAAAATGCCAACAGCGTGATGAGGAACTGAGCATCTACTCCACGCTGGGCGTTTTTTTCCGGTCACCGAGAGTCGAAAAATGTTCAACTTCAGGTGAAATGCAGTGCTCGTCACTGTCACTTTTTACCCAGCCGTCCAATAACAGTGCAGGAGGGGCGGGACAAACACTACACTGAGCCATCTCTGCTCTTCAACGAAATGATGTGCCTACTCGCCGAGGTGTTTCCTCGCCCGCAAAATCTCCTTAACCCACGTAGTCTGTCCCCTCGCTCTCCATGTTTCAGCCTTCTCTTCATGCAGAGCAAGGGCCAGATCAAGTAGACATAGGCCTACCTTACTTTGTGGTGACATTTTTACATTCAGTAAATTTAAAAAACACTTTGGTGGACACATAACCCAAGTAGAACCAACAACCTGCAGCTTCAGTTCCTTCTGTGGTGACTGAAATGTATAGATTAAATCACAAATGGAGTTACTATAAAATAATAGTGATAAATTCAGCACTACCTTTGTGAAATTTGTGCGTACACATAACTTTTTTTTTCCTCCATGACACCAGCCGGTCTGTGCTACACCAACATAAGACCATATGCTACATATGGTCTTATGTTGGTGTAGCACAACAGGTGACTGGTACTGCCTGATGAGCCTGCTCTGGTGCAGATTACCTGCTGGTATGTGCGGAACAGCATGCAGATGGAGCAATATGGAGGTTTGGAACCCATGCGCTGGTTGTACTCCCTCTCTTTCTTCAGGTTGGGAGGTCTGCTCTGCCACAGGTGAGCCAGAGGTTTAGCCCAGCTCTCCCCTTCCAGACCACCTTCTTCTACTGGGGGGGCCTCCTGTGGAGCCTCTGAGGCACAAACAAGCACAACAGCAACATTAACATACACATTCAGATATAATAACAACTAGAGGGAGAATATTTGCGACCTAAACACATTTCTATATATTGGGTGTTCATATTCTGCAAATAAGAAGAACGATGGTGAAGAATTACACTCAAGTTATTGCAGTTAATGTGACAGACCTTCATCACTCATACCGTCCTTTATGAGTGGATGGTGGCCTGGCAGCTGCCCTAGATCACTCTCTGGCTCCCCATCTCTAGCCTCCTCTTCTGTCACCTGCTGGAGAGACACACGTAAGGTTAGCATCAGCATCCAGCCTTGGCTACACTGGTAGTTTTTCATTTTTGCAAGCTTACCAACCTAATACTTGCACCACCATAGCCAATCCATTACAGTGAATATTCATCATCTGTATTTAGTCTTTAGGTGATGTTTCTGTAGTGTCTTAATGCAGCAACAACTCTTGTTGTGTTCAAGGATGTTTTGCCATTTGAGTAAAGAGTTGGCTGGTGAGGGGCATCCTTTAAATGCAACAAACAACAAATCCACTTTCATTCTTTTAACATCCTACTGCGTTTGCTTAACTTTTTTTGATGACACCTGAGCATCCTTGAAAGCATTAATGAGCCAAAAAAGAAGATGAATGCAGTGAGTTGATCACTATAATGGATTTAAGTCTCCAGTGTTTACACAACTGAACCAATGGTTGGGAAATGTTAACAATAGTGTAAAGTGTACACAACTTATTGTTGATGGAGTCAAACATACAAAAACCACTTTTGTTTATGGTCCATTAACAAGTGAAGTATTAAATGTGTGTAACAGCTGTGTCCACTCACTGCTTTGCTAACATGGCTGTTGTCTTTCTCTGTCTCATTGTCACTGCCTTCACTCTTCTTGTCCTCCTTGGACGGGGCTTCTCCATCTCCGTAGTCTCCTTTGGCATAGCTGTGAACGTGCAGGACGTCTGCGGGGCTCAGCGTCCTCTGAAACAGCTTGTGTGGTGCACTGCAGCTGCTGCCCAGCTGAGGCTCCTCACTGCTGCCTGCCTCCTCAGAGCACAGAGCCACCACCTGGCTCTCAACAGGCTCAGGAGGACAGACGTCTGCATCCAACATGCCGTTCTTCTCTTTTTTTGATGGACTTCGTCTGTTTGAAGTTTTCTTAGTGCTGGCTTTGGACTGAGGTTTAGTCTGCGGCTTGGAGTCTTTCCCCTTCTTAGGCTCGGGCTTGACTTAAAGAATAATACAGCAGTGATATACATTATTGTAAATATTGATACTCCTAGAATGTCACTAACAATTACATTTGTTACATACCATGAAACAAATAGTTACTGTGGAATAAGCCTAATACACTCTTAATTATGTCAACAGGTTAGTATGGGTGAAGTTCCACCTGAACAACTTTGGCTTTCTTTTGTTAGTGTAGTACTTTTATTGTAAAATAATCATCTGCACAATGTTAAACTAGCTGACAGTAATACAAAAATGCCACATTTCAGGTAGATAGACCTTATTAGACATTAATTTTCCTTCATCAAGGCTGTCAAATGTATTTCATATCTTTAGTAATTAGTTCATCCTTAGACAAAATGGTACAGGTGTCAAAATTCCATTCCAAGTGTCCTCAGTTGCTTGCTTTGTTGGGCCACTGGGGGGCCTTGTGTGTGTGTGCGCCCAGCAGAGCAAAAGAGAGACAGGCAAAGTAAACATTAATCAAGATAACAACAACTCGTTTCGTTATGGTGAAATTGAACTGCGCTGTTCTGTCGGGAGACGCAGTGACTAACCAACAGTTAATCAGAAAAGTATAATGTGGCATTTCTTAAGCATAGAGTGGAGGAAAAGTCCACTAGCTGCTAGTTTAACTTATGCAAATGCCATAGCCTAACAAAAAACTATTGTTTTGTCTATTAACAGTGTACACATGTAGGACCAATTCTAACTCCAAATTATACATAATCAAAGCACCAAAAACACGTTTTATTTTAGGTCAGCACAGGTCTGAGCTATGTTTACATAGGAAAGCATGCTCTCATCTTAAAATCACTTTTCTCAGGGTTTGAAGATCAGCTTCCACTCACGGACTGAATGAACACAAAACCCAAAAGCTGAAAAAAGATCACTGTGAACTATGCAGTACCTTTATCTGGCCTGGCAGGGACTTTAGTTGGAGACTCCTTGCGTGACAGCTTGGCCCTCTGTGGCTCCACCTCCTCCTTCAGTGTCAGCTCAGGTTTGATGTCCTCTGAGGCTTCAATAGCTTCAAGCTGACGCTTTGTCCCAGCTTGAGGCTTTGGACTGATGTACGGGAGACATTAGTGAAGACATGTCCGACATAGACTAGCATCAATGTGAGTAGGAAAGTAGATGTTTGTGAAGTACATGCACGTACGAAACTTTAACACAAAATCCTTAAGGTGAACTGATACTGAATCAACATTGTCCCTGACCTAATCAGAAGCTTTTAGTAGTGCAGCTCTTCACTGGTGACTGAGTGCACAGTTGCCAGCACAGCAGTGATACACAATTTGTTCCTTCCTTGGTAAAAGCTTATTAAAAGACTACAAAAGCCACATAAACAACTAAATTTTGAGCACATTAACCTCATAAACAGGTATAGTGTAGTACTGAACTGAACGCAACAGCTTGAACTGACAGCAGACTACATGTACTACTGAACTGAAGACAGTCAGAAGAAGCACTAACACTGCAGCAGTATAAACAGTGTTGCGTTCACTTACTGTTTTACACACTGAATTGCATTTGAATGGAGATCTCTTAGCTTAGAAAAAAGTGAAGAAACTACATAGTGACCACTAAACTAAGCCAAGTCATTTAATCAGCAGATTAAGTGATTGGTGATGTACATGTCTGGAGTGAAGGCATTTTATTTCACTTAAAGCTAGGGGAGGCAATTTATTTGCTTTGTTATATTTGTTCAAATTTACAGCAATCAATAAATAAAATGCTCTGACACAAAAATGAAAAATATCTGGTACCTCTGGCAGGACTGTACTATCATTTGGGGGTGTAACTGCAGAATGATGCACGTAGACCCTACGCAGGAGTATAAATGGGCCTTTAGAAGCGAGTGTTAATCCAGACCTTTTGTCCTCCTGGACAGGAGTAGTGGGGTCCTCAGATCCAGCTTCAGTGGCACTCTCTTTTGAAGTTTCTGTCTTGTCTTCTTTTAAAAACTCAGCAGCCTCTGGTGTGGGTTTGGAGTGGTCGATAGGAGTGTTGTCTTTCCCTGCTTTCCACAGCTTGTAACGGTCAGGCTGAAACCTGCGTACAAACACATCCATGGAGATCTTCACCATGTCCTGACGGCAAGAACACTGGGATGGAAACACAGATTAACACTTTAGTCTAGGTTTAAACCATGGTAGTCAAAGATGAATATCCCCCATGGGGTATTAATGCAGTCGATACTGTTTTTCAGAGCAGTACAAAACAATGCTGTGAGAACAGTAGCAGTCATTGTTGTGGTGTATACAGGAACTACAGGTGTGAAAGTGTCTGGAGTGTATGTATGCAATTAATCATTATATTAACATTCACAGCTGTTTAAATTCTGTTTTTGTACCAGCGTTGCCTGTTTGCCGTAATCAATCCATCGCTGGGTGGCAAAGTTGGTCGACTCAGCACAGTTGAAACCATGGTTGAAACCAGCATGATAGCCAAATGGGAACGTCACAATGAACTGGCCAGCCTCCTGAGTGACCTGAAAATTTAATCAACACACAATTACAAGAGCTGATAGACCATTTTGTTTGAAATTTTCATTTCATCATTATTTAATCCAGTTTATTTACTGCCCGTTTGTTAAGCACTTTTGTTCTACAGCATATATTGTAAAAGACAGCTTCAGGAGGTCCACACAAAGTCAATGAAAGGTCACCTTCTCAAAAGGTATGCCATATTTTTTCAGGATTGACGGGGAAATTAAAGTCATCTTATGGCGCAGGAAGGCTTCACAGCTCTGAGCATTGCCTGGAAAAAAACCTGGAAATACAACAGCATTAGTGAAGCTAACCCAATCAGTCAAACTGTTAAATGGAACATGTAAATATCATGTTGTTTTGGCTTCTGAAGAATTTTCCATACAGTATAGAGGTTCACTGAACGTTTTAACTTCCTCTTTTAAACCATTGAGCATGACCAGTAGAAGTGACTTGTGGCACCCAGGGGTGAACATTTGCATAAGAAAAGTGTGACTGATCTATTTTCATAGGAGATTCAAGACAAACAAAACGAGTGCCTGTTGAAACACTTATACAAATACATCTTTGGAGTTCTGCAAGAACCAATCACATACCCTTGGCAAGTCGTTCCAGTCTTTTCCCATGCTCTGGTGGGACAACATACCTGAATAGCAACAGAAGCAGAAATATATAACATCAAATTTTGTCTCTCTGCTTGTTTACTGTTGTTCTTGAGAACAACAACGAAATAATAACCACAGAACACTCTTACCTACAAAAAGATAATTACATTGAAAAAGAAAATCATTTATTGCAGGGTTATTGTAGTACTTTCAGGCTGAGACCACCAATACAGCCAAAAATATGGACTACAAGTGTAGGCAGATAGGCCTAATGCGGCATTCAGACCAACCGCAAATTTTCTCCTCGCATGAGTACATTCGCTGCAAGTGTTCACACACACAACGAGAGAAGGCGATTTTAACGCGATAACGTGAACACAACTCATTACTACAGCTGTATGAACCCAAAGTAAACATTTTGCTGTGATTAAATTGAAATAAATGGATTAAACTGATGCCAAAATAACTACAACATGATGCAGATTTGTTAAACATATGAATTCATGCTTTGTCAGGTCTGTCAGCAAGACAGCAGGACAACAACTTCTAAAATGTTTGTTTTCTGAATGGAGTTCGAGTCAATCAGGGCTATTCTATGCTAACTTCGTCACAGTAAAGTACAATGATAGCAGGAATAAAGTTACAGACGCATGTTTTCTGAACTCACCAGGTAGTTCAACCTCCTCGCTTTCTTTTCTCCAAGTAATGTCCAGTTTTGATATAAATATGAAGTTGTAGTCTGACAGAGCTAACGACGCTAACAACACTGGAACTGGATGTGTACGGAAGCTAGCTGCTGAGAAGCTCCAGTGAAGATAAATCAACCTTGTAATCCCAAAAACTAAAGCTAATTTAATAAAAGCAGTTAACTCTGAGCTCCTCCCGTGAGTAAACGGTGTCAGAGCAGAATCCGACTGACTACGGGTGTTTGTTTGTCCAAAGGTCGCAGCGCTGCTCCCTGCTCCTCTCCCCCAAGTTTAGCAGCTCTCAGCCGACCAGCAGATTTTCAATCCTCCGCTCTGCTAGGCCCTCTCCACACATCGCTCTGAAGCAGACAGGAAATCACGGCTCTACGCGTCTTCGCATTGACTTTGTATGTAAACTCACCGCCCCAAACGCTCGCTTCGCTTTTGGTCTGAAAGCACCATAAGTGTTATTTGCACGGTACAGAATATTTTAATGTCAGTAGCATCGTGTTTCTGCTTTGTATGACTTATGAGACCCAATCAGAGAGCCGAGCGTGAGTGGCTGCGTCATCGTTTCTAAAGTCCGTCTTCACTAAAACGCCCTCCAGAGTTTGGAAACGCAAAATGGGGTCGGCAGCGTTTCCAAACTTCTCTGTTTTATGTCTTCATTTTCGCGGTTTTAGTCTGGATGGGAGATGCAAACGTAGCAAAAGGTCTCCGTTTTAATTTGAAAACACAGAAGTGTGGATGGGGCCTGAGGATTTAAGAACCAAAATTTTGGAAAGGCATGGACAATCTCAAGGCTACATGTCCATCTCCAGAGATCTTAATGTTCCTGTGTCCAGTGTGAGCAACACTGTGAAGAAGTTTACAGCCCATGGGACTGTAGCTACTCTCCCTGGTCGTGGACAAGAGAAAAACTGAAGGTTGTTTGAATAGTGGATAAAGAACCACAATCAACTTCCAAACAAATTGACCAGCAGACACAGGGTACAACAATGTCAGCTCGCAGTATCTGTTGCCATCTGAATGAAAAGGATGACCCCATTGCCAAAACTTCCCTGTGGAAGCCAAAATCTTTCTGGGAGAATGTCCTGTGGACAGATGAGACTTAAATAGAGCTTTTTGGTAAAGCACATCATTCTTCTGTTCTCATAAAAAAAATTAGGCCTCCAAAGAAAAGAACATGGTCCCTACAGTCAAACATGGTGCTTGTTCGCTCTGATACAAGCTCCCTCTTGCCATCCACTTTACAAAGCTTGACAGGAAACAGATGTAGCTTTTTCATTTTTCTAACAGAATATCTGACTCCTCCCACACGCACAGACTTCGACATGACGGGGTGTGTGTGTGTGTGTGTGTGTGTGTGTGAGAAAGCACTGAAGCCCTGCTAGAGCTTGAATTATACTCCTGGGTAGGGTCTACGCTCATATCGGCCGACTTATATTATCGGCCGATATGAGCTAATAGCATTTAATCAGCATCGGTTGTTTATAACAGCAGATATATGATTATTAAAAAAGAAACAGAGAGTCAGATCCTTCACTCATGTCATGAGTGTTGCATAGTTTGCCCACTACAGGGCACTCTGCAGCTCACCTATTAACAACACCGCTTAACCACAAAAACCACAGTAGAAAACAATCAGCTGGCCATTTGTCACGTTAATTACATGACATAAATTATAATAAAAACAGCCCCAATCACTTCTCCTCTCCTGAAAACATTCATGACTTGCAAACCCTCCCGTTTGTCACTGCCCTCTCCCGGCTTCCTCCCACAGTATGTATGCGAGGCTATGCTGCTGACAACTGTGATTTTAGATTTATTTCTGAAACAATGTGGCAGTTCTAGCGAATGGTCCTCTAATTTGTCCCAAGTTCATCCCTTCTAAATATTCTCTAAAATCATGTAACGTTACAGCAGCTAACACTGCCCTTTGCTAAGTTAGCCACAAAGCTAATGCCATGTTTATCAGTGGAGGAGCGCTAACTAGGGCTGAACGATTTTGGAAAATAATCAAAACTTTTTTAAACCAATATTGTGAATGCAATTTAATATGCAATTAATTTTTAAGCTCTTTACCTTCTCTATTATTCAAAACGGACAAGCAGTAAATGAATGTATAGTATGACCAACACAATATTAGATAGATTAAACATACACCGTTTTTTCTTGTGGGTCAGGTGTTATGATGAAATTATGATGAAAAGTGATGCATGAATTGCATGAATTATTATTATGAGTAATGTTAGAGAAGAAGTATCAAATTTCAAGATCAAGATTTCACCCACAAACACCACCACCTTACCCGCGGGTGGTGGGTGCTCTGTTTCTGTGTCAGCTTTTGTCAAGCTTAACGCCATTGTACAACAAAAAGTTAAGGTACAGTGTAACATGCAAAGTTGACGCTTCCTCTGCAGACTGGTTGACTCTTGGTTGTCATGTGACCAGTGTGTCGTTTTAATACCTTGCATTAATATCGCAAATGCAATTTATTGTTCAGTCCTAGCGCTAACATTAATGAGCAGTTAAACTATAGTTTTCTATTCTAAATATATCTGCGAGCCATTTGTTTGTAGTTTTAGTTGTTGTGTCGGAAATGATTAAACCAGAGCGGACATGTAAATAAACGTGAGCTGAACAAGAATCCAGACAAAGTTGCACGTCCTCGTAGACAGTCATGTAGTATTAGATGCAGTCAACAGCAGGTCACTAACGTTATCATAGACAGCATGATTTTGACTGATGGTGGTTGAGAAATGGTTACTCCTTGCTTTGGTTAGAATTAAAGAGTGCTGGTAAAGGGATAAACTAGATGGATAAACTTTCTTTAAAACTGACTACATGCTACATTGAAACGATGACAGATTATGTGTAAAGTGAAATACACATGCTTATTCTCTCTCACTCTCTCTGTTCCCAGATGGCTGAAAAACTTGCACCTTCCAGCAGCAAATATTTATTGATGTGCAATTGTTTACATGTTAAGTTGTTAAGACTGTAATCTATTTTATTAACATAAACCATTAGCACCATAGCGGAGCGGCACGGTGGTGCAGCAAGAAGGTCGTGGGTTCAAACCCCGGTTGCCCCGGCCCTTCTGTGTGGAGTTTGCATGTTCTCCCCGTGTCTGCGTGGGTTCTCTCCGGGTGCTTCGGCTTCCTCCCACCGTCCAAAGACATGCAGGCTAGGTTGATTGGTGACCCTAAATTGTCCTTAGGTGTGAGTATGAGCGTGAGTGGTTGTTTGTCTATGTCTGGCCCTGCAATGGCGACCTCCAGGGTGTACCCCATCTTGCGCCCAATGTTAGCTGGAATATCAGCCTGTTCTCAGTGTAGTTAAGACAAAAAAGGGGTCTACTATCCGAATCATTCTCAAAATCAATAAATATTGTCTCTTTTTCACTATAATACCAACATCGCCATCAGTCGGGCTTTAATCTACAGTATTTTCCCATTTTAGGGCATGTGAGATGTTTTTGGTTCAAATTGTATCTGCACGTTACTTCATATCTCTAGTGCCAAGTTGTTGACCGTTTTATTTTATTGTTATTTTTGGTTATTAAAGCAGATTCTGTAAATAAATGTGCAGCAATGAGAAGCTGAAAAGAAGCAGACACAATATGTGACAGGTCCAGCAGTGTAAGGGTGTGTCAGTGACTGTACCAGGACTTCGGCTCTCCAAAGTGCAGGTAGTTGATGCTGTACAGATCCATGTCTTCTGTGTGCCACGCAAAGGCACTCTTCCACATCCCAAAATAGAGGTATGGTGTGTTCACTCCCTTGATCTTGATCCCACTCTCATTCTCCACAGTGTCCAGAATGGTGTTGAGACGGCCAATGTTCCATTCGGTTACATCCTGCAAAGGATGGATTTATCAGAGGATGTAAGTCACAATGACACCAACAAGACAAGAAATTACTAGAGATGGTTGAGTGTAGGAGCAGAACATTGAAAGAAGAACATGTGTTTTAACACAATGAAGACATGTAAGTTCCAGTTGGTAGCACTATTCAACCAATCACCACTCACTGGATCATACAGCGATCCACTGACATCGGCACCATAAAGTGGTGGGTTAAAGGTCAGGTTCTTCCAAAACTTCCTCTCCAGCTCCTCAAAATCCACATATCGGGGATTGCAGAACCTACAGGGAGAAATGTTTTGAGATATTCAATGGAAATCACTTTCGTTTATCAGCCAATATATGAAAAAAGAGAAACACAAAGTCGGATCCTTCACTCATGTCATGAGTGTTGCATAGTTTGCCCTCCAGAGGGCGCGCTGCAGCTCATCTGTTAACAAAACTGCAGCACCACAGAACAAAACATCAGCTGACTGCAGTCTAGCGGAGCTCATAGCCGGCTCGACAGGATCTAGTAGCTCCTTTTAGCTCTCACACTCAGTGTTCCCGGTGAGTTGGTCTTTTTTTTTTTTTTCTCTTCAGAGACCAGACTTGATAGCTCTCCCGTTTTTCACTGCCCTCTCCAGGCTCATAGAAGTGTGTTAAATGTTACGGAGAAGGCTACGCTGCTGGCAGACATGATTGTTGATTTATTTCTGAAACAGTTTGTCAGTTCTAGCAACCGGTCCTCTCATTTCTCTCTAATTTATTACTTCTAAATATTTTCTAACATCGCCAACAGCCACAAATCTAATGCCGTGTTTATTAGTGGAGGAGGCAAGTGGAGGAGGCAACATTAATGAGCGATTAAACTGTAGTGTCTCTAGTTACAGTCAGCATGTCAGAAATGATTAAAGCAGAGGGGACTTGTGACTGAACAAGTATCTAACACACAGTAGCAGGTTCATGTTGTAGACAGTCATGCAGTATTAGATTAATTCAAGGGCAGCGTTTCCTCTGCGTCACGGCATCATAGAGCCAGAAGGTGGTTAGTAAATCGTTTCTGTAGCATTGGATAGAATTAACAGGTGATAAACTAGATGTAGAAAGTAGTAGGGCTGGGCGGTATATCGGTATAATGATATAATTTAAAAAGGAGATGAAAAAAATTAGACAATACCGTTTATACCGATATAGTTTGATGTTGAATTAATTCTTATGTTTCCATAAAGTCCTGCCAGTGTTTGCTCATCTCTCTCCATCACCCGCAGCCCCTCCCCTCCCTCTGCAGCCTTCTACTCACAAACTCTCAACAACATGGAGGGACACACAAGACCTGACTTATAAAAAGAAAAAAACAACGGTCCAGTCAGTGTTTCCCACACATTCTCTTTACTTCGGCACATTGTAGAGTTATTACGTTACAAGTAGCGACACAGTGCATATTTTACAAGCACAGACCAGGTAAAGCGACAGTGAACACACCAGTCAGATGTCATTCGTTACCTACCAAGTTGGTTTTGTTTTGACAGGCTACGCGTCAACATGCCTCCTCAACATGCAGCTCAGCTGCTGCTGTGAACGGAGTCACAGTTGGAAGTTTTTTTCGGCGACTTTATACAATGTAGCCTACTACTGATAGAGAAAGCTACTGGATCGGACATACAGGGAAAGAGAGACGGAAAGAAGTGGGGCACACTGACCTGTTTGCAGCAGACAACTTTAGGTCTGTGAATGTGAAGAGAACTGAAGTAGGCAGATTCAATAAGTGAATGACACTTGGATGGAAAATCAAGTATAATTAAAATGGTAAAATGCGAAACAAGCTAAGTTACTACAAATAGTAAAAACATGGCTGCTGAAACAGAAGACCCCCCCCCCCCGGGATATGACTTTTTGGTCTATATCGCCCAGCCCTAGAAAGTAGTCATCGTAGAGGATTGTAGGTAAGGAGAGCCCTGTTTATCATTATTATGATAGCAATGACATGAGAGATGATATGGTATTATTATTATTTTTAGTAGTAGTACTATATTGCTATTTTTTATAGTTTCTGTTTTGCTGGCCCCCACAATACATACACTATTCATTAGTAGTAGTACTCTATAATTTATAACAAATCAGATATTTTAAAAATGTGTTTGATTCTTATTTATCAAAACTTTAATATATTGTTTGTACTTTTGTTCAAAGTACTACTTATAACAATAAGAGTTTATTTGAAAACTGTATTATGTCATGGTATGTTGGTGAGGTCTCAACATAACAAATGTGGAAAAGCCGGAAAAAAGAATATCAGCCGATATATTGGCTATCGGACTTTAAAATCCTCAAATATTGAAATCAGTATCAGACTTAACAATCCCATATCGGTCGGGCTCTTGAAAACACATACTGAACCTGCTTGTTACACTATAATCTTAAGCCATTTTTCCACCACTGGTACCAGCTCAATTCGACTCAACTTTTGACCCACCCCATCCGTTTTCTCCGTTCAGAGTGACCCAACACACAGCTGTCTCTTGATTTAAGTTAAAACGTTTCATTACTCAGAATGTAAAGACAGAATAGAAGTATGGAAATCTTACTACTGTGTTTTCCTCTGCTGTTGTTGCTGGAGTCTCTGCTGCGTTGGCTGCACTGGTCTGTGTGACTGTGGGACCAAAGCGGTCTGTGAGCTAACTGGCTGGCCAGCTTGTTAGCTGCCTGCACTTGTGGTGCTCCTCAACTCCAAAAACTTTAAGCACATTTTTGATCTGCCATCAATATTGTGTAAAACTGCTAATATTCTAAATCTACAGTTGTTTTTGCGCCTCAAAACTAATCAGAAGGGAATGAAATTCCATTGCCATCAACTCAGCTCGCTTGGAACCTTGACAAAGATGGTACAAAAAAAACCTACCAGATAACAGGTAAATCTTTCTTCCCAGTAGAAAACAAAAAAGGCCAATAGAGTCAAGGCGAGTAGAGATGGTACCATGCGGTGGAAAAGGGGCATTATAGTCATTGTGTGAAAACCAACTGTGATTCATAATCTGATAATGTAAACTGACTTGTCCATGTTGGAGGTCTTGCGGAACTCGTTGACGGTCATGGGCTTCTTCTGGATGTTGTACTGTGTGAACAGTCCTGACTGGCCGGTCACCACCTGCTGAATGGGAGCGGGAATCACTAGGTCATCGATATCATCGTATGTTCGTCTAGGTTTCCAGCCTTTAGGTGGAATAACCTAAAAGAGTAGAACAGAACAGAAACAGAAAGGTAACAACATTTCTGTTAGAAAAAAGAAAAAAGCAGCAGAGTGGTGAGTATGACAAGATTCTTGTTGTACTAAGTTAAGTTAAGTTGTTGTACTGGTGGAATTACTGCTGTGCAAATGTATATTACAGTAGGGCAAGGGTGATTCATCTACGTAATCGACGTCATTGATTACTTAAATACACTGATGCATTGGAGCGTCACAATTGAGTTCTGCACCCAGTTAAAACAGGGATTCCTTTTGAAAACAAGCTGCAGCAGAAAAGCTCGCTTACAATCATCTAAAGCAGTGGTTGGCAATAGGCGGACCACGGGCCAGAATTGGCCCACCAGCAATAATATCTGGCCTGATTGCTTTGATAGCAGAAAAATAAAAAAATAAAACAACTGATAGCGGCTGGTGCTGAAATAGATCTCAGTCATGACAGCTATAGTTACTAACATAATCACTTCCTCTTAAGTTATTGTACCAACAAAATAAAAGCATGAGAATGTTTTTTGCAGCAATGCTTTATGTCGAGTTTACTGAGAGCTTTTCGTGCGTGTAACTGCCACTCATGAGTGAGAAAATGGCTTACACTAATGTTACAGATTGTTGTTCTTGCCAGTTTCAGTTATTTTCCTTGTTTCACTCTGATGTAAAAATACATTAGCCAGTGATTATCTTAACGCATATTACTCCAGTAATTAAATACATCTATGTAAGATCCATTTTAAGTTTTATGTCAGTTCTTTTGCTACCACTAGTGAAACTGTTTAATATGAAAAGCCTTCCATCAGCTCAACGGACATAATTCCTCTTTTGCCTGGTAGGCTTTCAATGTGAAACATTTGCAATAAGTGCTGAGTTTCACTTACATTAGCTTATCTGCGAAGAATGGCAAAGTAGATGCGATTGGAATTAACTACTGAATGAAATTGTAGACAGTTAAAATAGTTTAAAACAGAAATAGTTATCTAAAAGCGTTGGATAAACAAAATAGTTATCTAAAAGCGTTGGATAAATGGTTAAAAAAATTGCTAAAATTGTTGGGTAAACAGTTAAAATAGTTAGCTAAAATGTTGGATATGAACAAATTATTGTAACAATATCCACTTTTATATAATAATAATAATAATAATAATAATAATAGTAATGAATTTGGCACATGATGTGGGATTAGATGATGGGGTGCACCATGACCATGACCCTGCTCACAACATCACTGTAACCTCTCTAATCTAATCTATCCCACCCGCTCCACACAAACCCAAAACCTTGCCAAAGGGGGACTGTGGAACTGCCCGTCAGCTTCTCGCAAGACTGACTTCATTTCTGAAATCCTGCTTCATTTCCTCACAATCACATCCAAGACATGGTCAGTCCATACACCACAGCCAATTCACTTCACTCTGCTGCTGCCAACCAGCTTGCTACCTCTACGAGGGGGTGCAGCAATTGCTCAACTATTTGCAGTCCTGGCTCCACAACAGTGGAACAAGCTCCCAACTGCTCTCTTGACAACAGAAACTCTATACAACTGTCACAGACTGAAAACTCATCTGTTCAGACTGCAACTTGGCCCATAAAACTAAAAAATTTATTAATTAAAAAAAATGTTTCTAAATGCAGCACTTGAGGCAGATCAGCATATCTGATGAAGTTGATTCATCAGATATGAACTTTTAATGATTCTTGCAATTTTTGTGTTGTAGCCACATGACTGAATGCACTTATCATAAGTCACTTTGGATAAAAGCATCAGCTAAATTAATATAATGCAATAACATGACCAAGCACAACAGATCCTACTTACCTTCACCATTCCAGCTTTGTGTGCTCCTTGCGACTCCATATATGCAATGTACCGGCTGAAGTCCTTGAACTCCTCTTTGGAGGGGGTGAAAGTCATTATCCTCGAGCCCAAGCTTTGGGCTGGCATGTCTGTGGTCATCCTGGGATTTTGACCTAAACTCCTGTGGAGAACATGGACATGATCATGGAAACATCCAGCGCACACATCTGACAAACACATGTTTCTGGCTCACTTTTAAAGCAGTGTCCCAGTCTACACCAGTTCTGTGCCATTGCTTGACAGTAACAGACCATGTCAAGCACATTGTTGTAGGTGCTCACTGATTCAAAAGTAAAAGGATAGGCCAATATTTTTTGGGCAATTATCCATGTTAGTGGTGCATAGTAGTACTATATATCAGTTCCTGCTGTTAATCTGTTAAAGTGTGAGGTTTTTTTTTATTCTGTTTGTGAAAACAGAAAAAGGGGGTAATTTCACAGCTTTTTTCCCCAACCAGAACACTACATCTAGACATGTCAAACCTCGACTTCAGAGACTGTTTAAAACCATATTCCAGAGTTGTGGAAGCTTTATTTGGTTTGATAAATCTGTAAAAAGGACAGCCATTCTCCACCCAGACCAGGACTACTGTATATCAAAAACCACTTTACACCAACTTGCCAAACCTGGACTTGATTAACACACAGACTCCATAGACCAGGTTCCTGATATGTGAAACCTTTATTCTATTTCTCCATCCCAGACCACAGAAACCACTATACCTGCTCCTAGTCAAACATGGCCTTAATTAATATGAAATATATGGAATATGTGAAACCTTAATTGTATTTGTGAAAAAAAATTGCAAGTATATAAGTTATTGATGCAATATTGCAAAAAAATGTATAACTTATCATTTTTGCATTCCAAAAATCTCCCCCTAAGCTACTAACAGTTATGCTAATAAAGACTTATGTCACAAACTTCCAGTTTGACTACATTAGCGTTGTAACGTACATTACAAGAATATTTTCATGTAAGTTACGGTTAACCAACTGAGATAATGTTCAACTTTTAGCTAGCAGGCAGCATACTCTGAACTCTGACATTACAGAATTTACCATCAGGACTCGGTGGTCCGCCGTGTAACCGTGATTGGATGCGATCCTGACCGATTCGGACCACAGTCAGTGATTGGGTGAACACCACGTCTGTTACACCGTAGCCCACTGACAGCGCTGTTCCTCGGAAAATATTTAGCAAGTCCGCTAGCTAACATGCTAACTGCAAGATAGCTTACTCTGCGTCCCGGGAATGAAAGGTGTAGTCAACAAACACCAAACCACCGTCATATTCAGGCGTAAACAGCAAGTAACCAGCACTTACAGACAACGCCAGTCACCCTGTCAAACCGGAGAATACTGTAATGAAAGCAGAAGCAACTGCTCAGTGTGCAGCGGACTGACAGCTGCCTCCGCTCTCAGCTAACGTTAACCAGCTAGCAAACATGGCTTGTTGCTGAGCGTCAGTTTGTCATGCACAAACTCAGAGTTACTGCTACTTTCCCACAAACAAACTAATTCTAAAGTGTCAAACATTAACTTACACACTGAAATGTTAACGAGTTGTTATTTTCTCAGATCACAGGTAGTAGAGTAGAAATACAGACATCATCAGTCCGGGTAGCAAAGACAGTCCTCCATTTTTCCAGTGACGCATGCCCAGTGTGTGTTTGTTTACATGGAGCTCAGCGGGAGGTGCTTCCGTAGTGCGCCAACCAATCACAACGCCCTCTTCTCCAGCCTCATCCAGTATCCAGAGAGCTCATCAGATAAATAATGCTGCAATAACATCTCATAGTCTGTAAGAGATGAAGATTACAATTCTTTTAATTTTATTTTACTGTATCAAAAACTAATTTTTAACATCTTACATTTTAACTTTTCACATTGATGATGCTTGGTGCTCAAATAAGTCAAGAAGCACTCTGTTTCCCAAATTTCAGACTGATGTTAAATGTGAATGACAAAGATAAAACTTTCATATTATCATCCGGTTGCTTCTGTTTACATTCACACCAGATGCAAATTCAAAAAATGCATTGTGGAATGTTTGTGGTGTATACGTATGTATGTATATATGTATATAAATAACTGTATATATTGGTTTATTTTATTTTATGTGTTACATATTTTAATATAGTTAATAAGTGTTAATATGGTATAACACTTAATTATAGGAAATGTTGTGTGTTTAGCATGAAGGAACTACAAATTTTGTTTCGTTATGCAGCCTTGTGCTGTTTAATGACTAATGAACAACCTTGTACCTTGTACTAATATGCTATAATATATCATTTGACTAAGGGGCATACATACATATTATGTACGTATGAAGCTATATAATATGAATATATACACAGTAATTTAGATCAAATTCAGACCTCCATAGTCCGTACAGGTCACGAGGGCTCACTGAGTGGTGTGATGCATATGAAAATGATGTAATTCATATGCTATAGCCTTCATAGTTACCAGATATCAACCCACCCAAACACCTTTGCGAGATTTTGGATCGACAGTATGAATGATAGACAGCACTCTGTACCACCATCATCAAGACACCAAATAAGGGCATATATTTTGGAAGTATGCTATTTGTCCCTCCAGTAGAGTTTCACACTCTTGGAGAATCTATGACCAGACCAGGTGCATCAGAGTCAGAGCTAGGAAATACCAAGGTACACTTTTGTTTTTTAGCTGTTTTTCCCAGCTTTGTTGCCAAAACATGCGTTACCTCTGACACAAATACAGTCCTTGGAAGATGAAGACGGTGTTTTTGGAACTCATATTGACCAGACAAGGGAATTCAGAGACTGCTGTGCCCACATCGTTACAGAAACCTGCCCCATCAACATCACGGATCAAGCACTCGGCGGTCAGCAAGACTCCGGCAAGATGAGAGGAAATGGACTCTGTGTTTTACATCGATGATGCTTGGTGCACAAACGCAGTCAAGATGGACTCTGTTTCCCAAGTGTCAGACGATGAAACTTTCAAATTATTATCTGTTTGCTGCTGTTTACATTCACCCCAGATGCAAATTCAAAAAATGCACTGTGGAATGTTCGGGGTTTATACAGTACGTGTAGGATATGTATATAAATAACTATATATTTGTTACCATATTTTAATATAGGCCTACACTTAATATGTTGTGTGTGTAGCATGAAGCTACGAATTTAATTTCATCATGCAGCCTTGTGCTGTACCTTGTAGGTATGAGACTCTCTGAAAGGCCACCAAAGAAACACATATTTAAAAAGCACTGTTAAAACATATGTTCTGTAAATGTTATCTCCCTACAGTATGTGATAGTTTAAATGTCAAGTACGTTTTTTCACATAGTGTATTTGGATGTATTAAAATGTATGTTTATGACTTGTGGAAGAAGAATTCACTGCTTTGGGACAGACAATAAAGTTATCTATCTATCAATTTATACCACGTTTTCAGAGCTAAGAAGTGAAAAAAATCCACCATGTTTATATTAAAAACCCAATTATTCAACTTTATTAACATCAAGGCAGTCAAGACATTTTCTCTGCTTTTTATTAACAAATAGAAAACAGATTGTGTATACAACAGATGGGACCCCTACAGCACAACTCTGTGAAATGAATCCATTATACAGTCCAGTTCATCCAAAACCACCTCACTTTGTCATCTCTTCCAATGAAGAGCCACCACTGAACACTGATGCTGCTCTCTCAGTTACTTGTCTGTCTGTCTACAACACAGTGATAAAATAGTTGAGCTGTAATATATTATGTGATCCAGCGTATCTGCTTGTGTGTCCTGTCTATGTAAAGCCATGTTTGCAAACAGAAAAGTGCAGGGCATAAGATGAGCAAGAAAGTCAGAAAAGTGTGGGGGATCATTAAATCACATCCCTCTGTGATGTCAGAGTCAGGTTGGGTGCAGTCCTGTGGTGCATGATGTGATGGTGAACTGTCCATACTCAATTTGCTTAATCACAAATGGGCTATTTTTGTATCAACACAATGCCTGGAAATTTTGTGAAATGAGTAAGAGCACCAAAACCCAGATTACATGTTAGAAGAAGTGAAACATATGTTCAGCGAACCACAATTCTGTCCTTAAAAAAATCTGGCTGGCTGAGAGCAACCTAAGGGTAAGTGAAAAAAATGTTATGTGATTTTGTTAATTGTAGCCTACTGATTTTTTTTCCCAGATGATCTAATAGGCCTAGTGTCCACACACTGTTAATGCTCTAAAATTCAGCTGTGAACTGTGTTGGGATTAAAAACAGCAACAGGTCAAACATTTTACGGTGTTGATTGCTGTAATAACAAAATCAAGAAGCATACATTTAAAGTTTGTTAAATGTAAATGATATTGATAATATTCACATTTTTTCCTGTGTCAAGAAATCCCATGTGCAGACCCAAACCCAAAGTATTGTGTCACAACCTGATGGATCTACCTCTGTGCCATAGACCTCCATTGTTGTCCAAAAAATGAAACTGTCAGCTGAAAATTGTCCCCAACAAACTATTGCCTACTGTTTGAGTAAAGTTTGCTAAAAGCTAGTGCCATTTCTGATCTTTAAAAAAAAAAGTAAACCAATGGGCTTGAGGCCGAGAGCCACAGACAGGGTAGGGAAGTCATAAAGTACTGAGAGGCGGACTACCACATTGTTGGTTTTGGTGTGTTCATGGGACTTGTTAAGCCTGCCTTATCCTTTAAGGTTGAGCATGAATGTAACGTGCTCAGTAGAAAACATCTTGTCATAAATTGGGGTGATAGGAGTTCTGCCTCTGGAGTCTTAATAGATTTCCTTTCTTTTTCATGCATGGAGCATGTGATCAGCATTTGTCATCACACTTATTTCACAAAAAATCTCACAATCTGTCTGTGTGTAGCCTACCTGAGTTCACCTTAAAAGGGGATGTGAAACCTATGGTGCACACAACCTTTCCAACAGCATTATATTTCTTTTGTTGGGTTGATGTCTGAAAGCTTTGAGAAAATTTGTCAATGATTATTGACAAGAAACTCTGTACATGCTACCAGTTGTTCAAATCTGAATAATCCTCGCATGTTTGTTTCATTCTGTAGTTCACAAATGTTATCTGTTTATTTGATCTATTTGGCAGATCATCATTCTGTTATGTGAAGACAGGAAGTCAAACCCACATTTCCTCCCATATCAAATAAACTGAGTAATGATAACATTATAATATCGTATCTATGGTACAAAATAAAATTATTAGCAGCTGTGAGTATATACTCTCCAGTATTAATAACACGTGTGCTGAAAATACATGTCCTTTGTGCTAATAATAAGATAAGCAAATAAGACATACAATAAGTGGTGTAAGTGATTACAAAATGAATTTTAAATATTCATAACAAATATAGTAAAGATGAATATAAATGAAAATAGCAGAAAATTAGTTTTTGCTATTAGGAGGAGGCAGACATTGGGGAATGACTGGGATATTAGGTCAAGAATCAGAATGAGGCATGACTACAAGTCTTTCAGGGTTGGTTTTGAGGAGGTTCTGTGGTAAAATCATGGCACCAGTCAAGGAGAAGGTTGTCTAGTCCCATCTCCTTTCTTTCCGTAATCTCCCGTTTCCTGCTGTGGTCACCTTCTCCTCAGTCCTCCTCGTAGCCTCCTCATCAGGCCGCACGGACTGATGGAGCTGAGTGGATATGGCTCGAAGGAGACACCAAACTCTTCTGAGGGTGTCTTTTTGTATGGGGTTATGTTGCATAGTGATCAAAGCTTCCCAGGTACTCCAAAGCAGCCCGGTAGCACAGTTGGTACTGGTCCTAGTGACAAAAAACAATATTTTGTTCAATTTGTAAGTGGGAAGCCAGAATTAAAGCAGGGAGAATAGGTATTTCAGGTAGGACATTAGTTTGTTTTTGCATGGCTGCCACAGATCATGTAAAAATGTTGCAAACTAACAAAGCACAACCTCAAAGTGCAGTGGTGGAATGCAACATCAGTACATCTATGTAAAACTGATTTTTAGATGGTTCTTTAGCTGCTAACTGCCACCTAGACCATCAACCTTCTGATAAGTGGACAGGTGCTCTACCCCCTGAGTCGGTATTTTTACATCTTGGTATTGCTGCTTTCACTTGAGCAAAGTATCTGAATACTTCTTTCCGCCACTGTCAAAGTGTATTTGAATGTCTATCTGAGTTTGAAATGCAATCAACTCTGGATTTAACTGTATCAAATACAGCACCGGGCGGGAAATGTCTTAGTATGTATAGTATGTAGGTGCTTCCTAAATTAGGAAACTAATTCTAGTGTTTTACCCAGTGCTTAACAAGGTTCTGATCTATTGGGCACCATTCAAATATATTTGATATTTGATTTATATTTTGAGCATCTAAGCGTGAATTGGCAAAAAGGTATTCTCTACTGGTGCATTTGAGTGGAAAAATAACTTTTCTAATAAGATGTTGCAGGAACCCAAAATATTTGTGTGTGTGTGTTTGTGTCTGTGTGTTGGCATGAAACAATTGTATATTATTTAACTGAACACAGCGGTAACATCTCCTGTGGCAATACAAGCCCATTCTCTTTGTTTTCTGAAGTTTTTACATCTGGGTTTCATATTTATTTATTTTATTTTCATATTTATCACACATTCAGCTGGACATGCTGACATGCTAGAATTTAGAGTTGTGTTATGTTTACCCAACTCTGCTCTGTTCTTATTGATATGACATTTGTATGTGCTGTTCCTCATGCCGCAGTGTGTCATACCTCTGTCTGCACCATGGCTGGCCTCTGAGTTCGGAGCGTCTTGACGGTCTGGAAGAGGTCGACCACTCCCTCATACCTCATCCTCTCCAGGACTATGCTCAGGGTGATGAACACACCAGCCCTCCCAACACCAGCACTGGTGGAAAAACACACATTATTAGACACTTAGACAGGGGAGGGGGTGCTCGCAGTAATACACAGAAGAAGAAGAAGAGCTTTTAACTGCTCTCCAGTCCTGTTCTTTCTCCACTTTTGAGTGTCTTAGTTTTAATTTAAAAAACAAACAGTCCATGTTACGTGTTTTAATTTACAGGCCCCCTAAATATATTTCTGTTTTTATACAGGAATTTTCTGACCTTTTAGCACACATCATGTCTCAGTATGACAAAGTTCTTCTTCTCAGAGATTTTAATATTCATGTCTTCTTCCTCATTTATCTCTGATTTGAGAGATAAAAACTCTATTTTAACTTGGTCCAATATGTAAAACAGCCCACTCATAACAAAGGTCACAAAGTTGACCTTGTACTCACCTATGGTTTCTGTGTGGATAATGTGTCTTTAGTAGATTTTGCGGTCTCTGACCATGATTCAGTGCTCTTACAGGTAACGCGCTCCACCCTCCAACACAAATTCGCTCTCGCCCCCTAAACTTGCTCTCTGCTCCACTTTTTTTGCCAAGCTTTTATAAAAATGCATGCTGCTTTCAATAGCTGTGGACAACATGACCACACCATAGATGAGCAGGTCAGTGTTTTTAATAACTCTTGCACTACAATTTTAGACATTTATTCAGTAACTGGTCCTGCACGCATACAGCCAGGTGAATCTTCTCCAGACAAATGTGAAGAATGTCTTACTCACTTTTTTAACAGAATCGTGGAGATTCGGGAGTATTTTACAATAACCTCAGCGAGGTTGGAGCAGACACACACCCACACACTTCATTTACTAATTTTACTGAAATCTCTTTGTCAACCCTGGAACACACTGATAGCTTGGGGAAAAAAGCTGCTCTGCAGTCTGGTGGTGTGGTAGCAGAAACTTCTATATCTCTTCCCAGAAGGCAGCAGGGTGAGCAGGCTGTGGCTGGGTGGGTACTGTCCTTTAGTATCCTTTGGGCTCCTTTAGGCACCTCACCTCACTGATATCACTGATGCTCAGGAGATGGGTACCAATAATCTTCTGGGCAGTTTTAATAACCCGCTGCTGAGCCCTCCGGTCCTGGGCCGTGCACATCCCATGCCAGTTAGTGATGTTTCCAGTCAGGATGCTTTCTATTGCTCCTCTATAAAAGCTGACAAGAACTTGGCACAGGAATTTGGCCTTCTTAAGCTTCCTCAAGAAATACAGTCGTTTCTGAGCTTTCTTCACCAGCGTGGAGATGTGAGACAACCATGTCAGCTTCTCTGTGTTGCTGATTCCCAGGAACCTGAAACTGTTCACCTGCTCCACCTCAGCTCCACTGATGTAGACAGGAGTGTGTGTCTTTATCTCCTGAAATCAAAGATCAGCTCCTTAGTTTTGCTGACGTTGATCAGTAGGTTATTCTCTGTACACCACTCTATAAGATCATGAATATGAAGTCTCATTGTCGTTTGAAATCTGGCCAATGATGGTGGTATCATCCGCAAACTTCACAACAGAGTTCTCTCCATGTCAATGGATTTAGAGGAGGGGACTGAGCACACAGCCCTGTTGAGCACTAGAGTGGAGGAGGTGAGTCCACCAATCCGAACTGACTGGGGTCTGTTTGTGAGGAAGTCCAGTATCCAGTTGCAGAGTGTTGTGTTTAAACCCAAAATGTGCTGAGTTTGCTGATCAGTTTCATGGGGAGATTGTGTTGAATGCTGAGCTGAAATCAAACAGCATTTTGATGTAGGTGTTGTTTTTCTCAAGGTGTGTGAGGGCTGAGTGGAGGGCAGTGGAGATGGCATCCTCTGTGCAACTGTTGGTTCTGAAAGCAAACTGGTGAGGGTCCAGGTTGGCTGGGATGTTGTTCTTCATGTGCTGAAGAATCCAGTTTCTCAAAGCACTTCATCAGAATGGGGGTGAGTGCCTGAGGGCGGTAGACGTTCAGACTAGACACTGCTGACTTTTTAGGTACAGGAACAACGGTGGATGTCTCGAAGCAGGTGGGAACCCTCTCCTGAGACAGTGAGATGTTGAAAATGTCAGTAATAACATCAACTACCTGATTGGCTCAGGTTTTTAGTACACGGCCAGGAATGTTATCAGGCCCAGTTGATTTACTCATATTCACTCTCAGCAGGACTCTCCTCACATCTGCTGTGGATACTGACAGTGGCCAGGTCCTCTGGAGGTGGAGTAGACTTTACAACGGAGTCCTTGTTGAGGAGATCAAAGCGAGCATAAACGTTAATCTGGTAACGTGGCCTCACACATGATGGGGAAGCTCCTGCTTTTGTAGCCTGTGATGTTTTTGATGGACTGCCATCGCTCCAGCCTCTGCTAATTCTTCTTGACCTCAGCTCAGCTTTTGACACTTTGGACCATGATGTTTTAATTAGCCGTCTGAAAAACTATGTTGGCATCAGTGATGTAGCCCTGGATTGTTTGTCTTCTCTGTCAAATAGGTCATTTTCCGTGATCCTTGGAGAAGCCTCCTCCTCTCATGCGCCTCTATTTTGTAGGGGCCCCCAGTGGTCGATCTTGGGGCCACTGTTATATATATATGCTACCCCTGTAAATCATTCAGACAGATAATATTGATACAGATGACAACCTGCTGTATGTCCCGTTAAGGCCTGGTTCTTCCGATGCCTCTGGTATTCTCTCTTGCCTCGCTGAGATAAAAGCCTGGATCTCTAATAACTTCCTTCAGTTAAACGACACAAAATCAGAAATCATTGTATTTACCCCCATTGAACCCAACACTAGCTACCTCAAAAACCTCACCACTAGCCTGGGTGTCCTCTCAGATAGCAACAACCTTGGTGTCTTCTTTGACTCAGAGCTGTCTAAGGTGACAAAAGTAGTGCAGTCCTGTTTTGTCCAGCTGAGACAGCTAACAAAGATTAGAACATTCCTCTCCTCTGCTGACTTAGAGAAGGTCATCTATGCCTTTATTTCCTCAAGACTTGACTACTGCAATGCTCTTTATTCTGGTATTAGTAAGGGAAATATTAATAGATTACAGCTCATTCAAAATGCTGCAGCCAGGCTTTTATCTGGCACTAGAGGAGTGACCACATCACACCAATCCTCGCCACCCTTCACTGGCTACCTGTGAGTTTTAGAATTGAGTTTAAGTTTCAGTAAAGCCCTGAATGGCCAGGCTCCTGCCTACATCTGTGATTTGATAACTCCTTACAAGCCGGACTGATGCTTGAGATCCTCTGGCAAGGCTCTGCTAATGGTTCCAAAGTCTCGTCTTGTCACTGAAGGTGACCAAGCCTTTGCTGTTCAGGCCCCTCAGCTGTGGAACTCCCTGCCTGGAGATCTCAGGCAGGCAAACTCAGTGGCTCTTCTCAAGTCTCACTTTTATCGTTTGCCCATTTTTATAAAGATTTTATTATTGCTGTTATTGTATTATTTAATGCTGATTTTAGTTTTAATTTATTTATATTTTTAAGTATGGATCATGTTTGTTTTACTGTACAGCACTTTGTAACTTGGTTTTAAAAAGTGCAAAACAAATAAAGTTATTATTACAAATCACCAGGTTTATCTCATACACATATACATCTGAAGTACAGTGGTAGTAACCCTGTGTTCTATAAAGTCATGTCAGGATCATATCAGAACTTCAGAAAATCTCCAAAGGATCTTGACAACTCAACAGGTGTGTATTCTGTCAATCTATCTTCTGACTATTCTGTAAGATTGAAATTAACTCTGATAGGACTGCAGTGGTGCTTGAAAGGAGTATGCTCAAAAGGGATTATGGGAATGAGGAGATGGATGTTGAAACCCAATAGCCTTCAGTTCCTCATGCCTGGTGAGCCTGGCAAATAGATCCAATACAACAGTCAAATAATAAATTCTACTTTTGTGTGAGACGTCATGCAAAAGAGAGGCTGCTGTTTGTAGTGTTGTTGTATTGGATTGCATTATTTAGTAAGGTGATTCTTTTTCTTTTAAAATATTTATATATTTACATGAAATATTTAAATATAGGCATACAACATTTATTTAAACATCATATTTTGAACACCCATTGACACCAAAACCACCTCACACACCCATACAGCATACTAGGTTAACAGTAATACTGAATGAAAAGATAAAGGTCTGATTTCAATTGTGTCTTAATAAATCTATACACCCAACACCTGACACACAGAGTGTGTCAGGGACACATCAAGCAACTGATCTACACTAACAATCTATATTGCTTTGTAAGTCTTTTTTCTCCATAACCTTTTCACAGTCAGGGAGCATTTGTATAACATTCTGATAGCTTTATAACAACATACAAATAGCAAACATGTACAGGTATTATCTTATTATTATTAATTTAAGACTAGCCATTTGGCTTGGAATCCAGCATTATCCCTTAAAGTTATTATCATTTCTAATATTTTAGCACCTTAATACATGTATGTAAATTAAGTGAACAAAATCCATTATAATGCTGTACACCATCGCCACAGCAGAGTAGCCAAAGAGAAGCCATTAAAAGTTAGGCATTTCTGTATTTCTGGTCACACATTTATACCATGTGAAGAAGACATTTCTTCATGTCTTCTTCACATGGTATTTAATTGTACTTTATTAAGTGGGACTGGAATTATGAGTTGTGTGACAGTGACTCCTCCTTGATGAAAATCTCAAACTTGACAGGATGAAAGGTTACCAAATATTTGTCCAATACACAAGCTAGTGCTTTTTAAATGCACCAAAGTCAATCTTTGCATTAGGAAAAGAGCATAGGTGTGATGTCCCATCACTCACTTACTCACTCACTCACTCACTCACTCACTCACCTGCAGTGCACAGTGATTGGTCCATCTTGTCCAAATTGCTCCTTAGTTTTATGCACTTGGCCGATGAAATCGATGAATCCCTCTCCAGTTTTTGGCACTCCTTGCTCTGGCCAGTCAGTGAACTGAAACTGCCTGATGGTCCTTGACTGACCATCCTGATGAATGCACAGTAAAATGGACACAGATAGTGTAAGTCACAAGTCACAAGTCACACATCTATAGCCCACTCCTGTTACATGCAGCAGAAAACAGTTAGCGGTGTTACACCTTACAAAATCTATACTATAATTACTTATATATTTTCTGTAAATTAAGGCATTAATGGTCTAATTTCAGAACATAACACAATCAAGCTTTATTCAACTCTAAGCCATTTTGTTTAAAATGTCATTTTTGATTTGGAAAACGTTCACTCATGAAAATAGCAGGTGCAATTTCCCTTAATTTTCTCTTTTCAAGTAAAGTTGAGAGAAAATAATAAAGAAAAAAACTCAAATACACAAACTCAAATGGCCAGAAAAGAAAAGAATCTGTATATGTATTCATATTTACCAATCCAATGTTCCTCACTACATTTAAACTATACAAGAAATAACCAAATCACCCCTAAACAGTGCGCAGCAGCTTTCAGATGTAACCAAACGCTAATGTCCACCACTGTCAACCACCAGAGTTTTCTCTTTTCATGCAGCTCCATGTAAATGTGTTTTACTTGTAATTAATATAATTTTACATGGATTTGTTGTCAAAACAATCAAGAGCAACTCTGTCTTACCAAGGTCAGTGTCTCAATGCAAAATGGTATTAGTGCTTTCAGTGGTATTCACATAATATCCTCAAATTGTTCTCAAATGTTTCCAATATCTTGTGTTCCACAAGAGTACCAACATAGAGTAGTATCCTCTTGTTGGTACTTTTGTGCTGCAGCAGTAATACATTCATAAGAATTAATACATTTCTCACACTAATGCCTTCCATACTGCAAAAAGCATACTGTGTGTAGTCTTCCATAGTTGTGTAAATATTTTCCATTCCTCCGATTATAATGTAAACCCCCCTCCCTTTCCACTCTTCCTTGTATAATTGTATAATAATGTATAATTTATTAAGCCTAGTTAGCATTGTACAGCTTTGAGATATTTGCAAGAGCAGGATCTGATCTGACCTATTGGCAAGTACAAGGCTCTTGAAAATAACAGAATCTCTCTTATCTACCTTCAAGTTTTCAGCTTTAACTGTGGTGGGGCTAGAGGCAGGTCACTATCTAAATGACATCATGTTAAAGCCCCTGTATGAACAGCTTTAATGGGATCATGACAGGCTTTAATGTTTACTGATGAAATATGTTTTAGTAAAACATAAAACAAAAAAAAGAGTCAATTCTTTTGAAAAGCGGTGTGGTTGCTTTGAACCCATTCTTCTTGGTAGCTGCCCCGTTCAGCAGCAGCAAATCTCCGCTGAGGAGGACCTACCCTGGCATCTGTGACTTTGAATTCTCTCAGGATGTACTGAGGCATGTTGTACTCAGCCATAGGGTCCACAACAAAGTACTGGTAGCGTGCTGAGCGCTCAGCAGGCCAGTACTGATGGCACTTTTCCTAAAGATTGGAAAAAGGAGATGTATCACAACATGTAATGCAGGATATCAGCATATTCAACTTTTTGAGTTTTGCCTGGAATAGTCATTGACAACAATATAAATCCACTAGAATTACTGTAGAAAACAGATTCATGTTGTTAAATGGGTAGTCATAGCTATTTTTTTTACTTTGTAACATAGTGACCCAGTAAGATAGAGTCTATGTGATATAATATGATATAAGCTAAAAAAATGTTTAATAAGAAGTTGTAATGGTTTATTATTTTTTAAAACTTGTATGTTATGGAATATAACGGTATAATGGTTTGGTTTGCTTGAGTTGACAGATGTATATAACGTAAATGTGTGTTTCATTACATGTGGAGTAACTGTATATGTAAGGGCACAAACAAATGTGTACAGTACATATTGTATTGTATGTATTGCATATGTATCTGGATATTATTCATGTGAGACAAGCATTTGCAGGCTGTGAACATTTTTTCCCCTAGAAACAAAAAAATTTATGTATCTATTTATATGTAGCTTTGGCAATATTGTTGCTATACATTCATGCAAAGCTAATTTTAATTAAATTGATGTGTGTATTTATCTACTGAGCCAGATAGATATAGTGATAATGGTTGTAAAACCATTTAAATGTATGGGATAGCTAAATTAAAACATTAGACAAAATTCAAAAAAAAAAGTGTTATTATATGTTACAAATACTACTAAACTAAACTAAATATGTTTATTGTTCTGAATAGTGTGCAATGATTCCTATGCTTAAACTATGTGATTTTCGACATGCTGATTTTGAAGTTACAGTATCATCATGGCATGAAAGTAACATAAATTAAAATATACTTTTCAACAAAAGCTATTTTGAGTTATAATTAGCTATATTTAAATACACTATTTTGTAGTGGACAGCGGAAGAATTCAATTTCAATAAAGTTTCACTTTCAGGTATTATAATCACATTTATTAAACTCATTTTAATAATTGTCAAAAATATATTAGGCAATATAATTTAAGTTTACACAAAGCACATGCTAAAAACGTGCTAAGTATACTAAATTAAAATTTAATGCACTCAGTCAATGAAAGAATCTAAGCAGTCTAAATGTCTTAATGTATCTAAAATGTACAATTATATATATTTATATATCTCATAACTATACAGCAAGTATCAAAAATACACTTTAAGCACATTTATTGTGAGTTCACATGGAAGTATAAAAGTAATCTTTTTTATTAGGAACAACTGTACAAAAGGGGATCTGCAGGTGATGGAAAGTGCCTTGAGCTTTTTAAGACCCTTTTAAAAGCCAGATTTAGCACACTTTGGATACATTTCATATTCCCCTGAAAATCAAAGTCAATTTTATTTACATCTGTTTTATAATTAATGATATGACATGAGATATAGCGTGATTGTGATGTGTTACCCGTCCCATCTCGCGGAGTTTGGTGAGCATGACCACAATGGTGGAGTTGTGTTCCCACAGCATTCTCCAGAAGTCCTCTGTGGTCTCGGCTAACGGGCCCTGGGTGGCCATGTATGCTTTCTGCTGCCTGCAAATTGGAGAAAGACGCGTCTGTGTTTACTCCTCACGGTTTTGGCAGCACTGGTCTTATTTGGATACCATTTCAATTTTCTTCCTCCTCAGCCCTAGCTGTGACTCTGGTGCAAAATTTATTTTAACTGTAATGAAGATGGCAGCTCAATAATGATGTCTTCAAAAAGCTTTAACATACAATTGTTTAGTTTGTTTTGTTGATGTTGTTGTTTGTTTGTTAGATTGAGTTTTCAACCATCTGACACATATCGAGATCAACCCAGATTATCATAAGCTGTCTAAAACATTTTCTATCTGCCCAATCAAATTAACTGACAACTGACACACGTCTGGGTTGATGGGGAGTTGCCCACTTTGCCTGGCTGGTTTTTGTATATGTACTGAAAATTTAAAATTACATTTTACATGCAATGTCTCGATACATCTATATTGTATATTAAGAATTACTGTCATACGTATTTACAGGATGTGCAATAAAATACTGCTAAAACAAGTTCATTATTTTATTCAGTTTAGCTGGATTCACCAATCACCACATCCCTTTAATAGCTTCTGGACCCATGCAATGAAGTTCCAACTGTGGAATGAACCTCTCAGGTGTTAAATATTTCATTTTACACACCCCTTTAAAGTAGATTTGATTCTGTCAGCTGTTGCTAATGTGTGCATTGATATTTAAATGGTTTAGCTCGAACACAGACTCTTTTTAACAGCACTGTTAAAATGACAGATGCCATCACAGCTGCTCAGCGAAGCTCAGGGCGATCCACTGGAGTAGTTACAGGACATGCCCACTGGTGGGCAGTGTTAAAGCATACAGCAGATGGCCTGGGTAATTCTCTCAAGCTTGTGTGCCTGAGTACCAGAGCAGCACAAATCATTGGCTGGTGACACTGTTGTTTTTGTCCACCCCTTCCTAACCTTAGGTTTACCTCTGTGCAACAAGCACTGGAACTATTATTTGAATACTTCTAAAATGTTGTCACTTTACCTGCTGCCTGTTCTGCCTCACCACTGCAGAATGATTAGAGGATCTTTGACCAGTAGCTGTTAATCATGGATCTTTGGTTGAGTTTGTTTATGGTCATGTGGGAGATTGAATATAAGAATTACATCACTGCTGACCTATGCGCATTCAAGCAACACAAAACACATTGTTTGGCTGCATTGAGCAATCAGAACTTTAAACAGTTATAAACAACTATTGTTACTCTCTACTTATCATTAATACAATTAAAAAAAAAAGATACTGAAAATCAAACTCAGAAGTGTGTTTTAAAGGCAAAATTGGCTTTATTCTGTATTTTTGTTATTATCAACCAATACTGTGAAAAGACCCAAACCAGTGTGTTAGTCCAGTTTATTACAACTTGGGTCTTATTTACCTAGTTTTCCTAGGCCATAATTCCTATTAGTCATAATAACATTGTATTCACTGAGATCTAAGAATATGGCCAAGTCTGGTGGGTTTGGACTGATTCTGAGGTAATGGGGCCCTTGGCACATACAGGTCAATGGCCCTACCTTCACAGCAGCAGGAGTTGGTTTGAGTTGGGTTAAGGAGCTTCCTGCTATATCTTTGACCTACTGTTCTTACTGTAGTTGTGTGTACACAGGTCTCCTGTGCAAAGAGGGATTATTAACAACATTTCAGGTGTGCTTACTTTCAACTTGACCTCCAAATAATGGTTTAGATAATATGGATCAACAAATAATCAATTGAAATCCAAAAAAAAAGAAAAAAAAGATACAAGTTGTAATAGATAATAGGGTAATAGAACTTTCCTTTATGAGCTACACTCATACTGGGGCGGCTGTGGCTCAGGGGGTAGAGCGGGTTGGCCGTTAATCTGAAGGTTGGTGGTTCAATCCCGGCTCCCCCAGGCTGCATGTCGAAGTGTCACTGGGCAAGATACTGAACCCCAATTTGCCCCTGGTGGCTGTTCCGCCACTGTGTTTCAGTCTGTTTGAGCACTTAGAATGGTGAATGTCGAAAAGACTAGAAAGGCACTATACAAGTATGGAGCATTTACATTCACTATAACTGAAAATTACACAGTTAATAGGTTCTTCTAAAGAGAACAATAACAGAGCGCTATAAAAAGGGAAGGATCCTTTCTATTTACGTCTTTTCAAATGTAGAGGTAAAGATATACTATATACTGAGTATTACCTTACATCACTATGGACATGCACTGAGGTAAATGACTGCAGCTGATACCTAGGGGTCACGGGATGTCTCCACTAATCATCATAATCATGCCTATCTCCCTCACGTTAATCTATCCTAATCCACACGGCACACTTTAAAGGCTGAGCTCAGAGAATGCTGGAGCTTCCTGTATCTCACTCCACTCTTAATTACTGCAACAGGAATTAGTGAGGAATTACAGGACACCCCTACCTCATTCCCCATCCTCCCCTAGATGGGGGTGCCCAGGAGACTTCATTAGGTGCTGAGAATAAGTTATACCCATCCTCGCTGCAAGTGAAAGGGGAAATCCTGATTTATTAGCCCTTGCTATCCTCTGCTAGTGCTCTGGAAAGTATTTCCAATTAGTGTATATATTTTCATAAAACATTTGCTTCTTTGAAAGGCCTGTGATTGGATATTTATCTGACACTTGACAATATCAATACTGACATATAATAATGTATGTATTATATAGTGCTTTAGCAAATCAGACAGACTCTCTATTTAGTTGTCACACAAGTGTGTTAACACACACAGGAGCACACACACAAAAACTTTACACAGACAGAGATCTTTGAAGGATTGCGTCACAGAGAGCCAGAGACAGTCTAGGTTCACCACAATTTTAGCAATAGCAATAAGTCACTACTTGTATTTGTACAGAGAGGTTTGCGCGCACCGTGAGATCTTCAACTCCAACCTCCGGCGGAGCTTTTCTGGCATCCCTGTGGAGGTTGGGGACATTGAACATGAGTGGGCAATGTTCAAAGCCTCTATTGCTGAAGCTGCAGTGGAAGGCTGTGGTCTCAAGGTGCCTCAAGGGGCGGTAACCCTCGAACACCGTGGTGAACACCGGTGGTCAGGGAAGCCCTCCGACTGAAGAAAGAGGCCTTCCGGGATTTGTTGTCTCGGAGGACTCCGGAGGCGGTAGCAAGGTACCGAAGGCCCGAAGGGCTGCAGTCTCTGCTGTGGCAGATGCAAAGCAGCGGGTGTGGGAGAAGTTTGGAGAAGACACGGAAGGACTTTCGGTTGGCACCAAAGTGTTTCTGGAGAACTGTCTGCCATCTCAGGAGGGGTAAGCGGGGAACCGTCCAAGCTGTGTACAGTAAGGATGGGACCCTGTTGACCTGAACAGGGGAGGTAATTGGGCGGTGGAAGGAACACTTTGAGAAACTCCTAAATCCGACTGACTCTCTCTAGTAGAGGCAGAGCTGGAGGCTGATGGGGGTTTCTCGTCAATTTCCCTGGAGGAAATCACTGAGGTAGTCAAACAACTCCACAGTGGCAAAGCCCCAGGGATTGATGAGATGTGCCCAGAAATGCTAAAAGTGGAAGTTACGTGGAAGTCGGGTACAGTGCCCAAGGAGTGGCAGACTGGAGCGGTGGTTTCCCTGTTCAAAAAGGGGGACCAGAGAGTGTGTGCCAATTACAGGGGTATCACACTTCTCACCTGTGCTGGAACGGAGGGTTTGGCCGATAGTCGAATCTCAGATCGAAGAGGAACAATGCGGTTTTCGTCCCGGTCGTGGAACAACTGACCAGCTCTTTACTCTCACAAGGATCCTGGAGTGGGCTTGGGAGTATGCTCATCCAGTCTACATGTGCTTTGTAGATCTGGAGAAGGCATATGACCAGGTCCCCCAAGGAGAAACTGTGGGAGTATGGGGTGAGGGGGGCCCTTCTCAGGGCTATCCAATCCCTGTACATCCAAAGCAAGAGCTGTGTTCGAGTACTCGGCAGTAATTGGACTCTTTCCAGGTTAGGGTTGGCCTTTGCCAGGGCTGCGCTTTGTCACCAACCCTGTTTGTGATATTCATGGACAGGATATCGTGGCGTAGTAGGAGGACTGCGGTTCAGTGGGCTTGGGATCTCGTCACTGCTTTTTGCGGATGATGTGGTCCTGAAGGCATCATCGGTCCGTGACCTTCAGCTCTCACTGGATCGGTTCGCAGCAGAGTGAGAAGCAGTTGGGATGAGGATTAGCACCTCTAAATCTGTGGCCATGGTTCTCAGCAGGAAACCGGTGGAGTGCCAACTCCAGGTAGGGAATGAGTCCTTACCCCAAGTGAAGGAGTTCAAGTACCTCTTGTTCTTGTTCACTAGTGAGGGGAGACTGGAGCAGGAGATTGGCCGGAGAATCAGCGGGGGCAGTATTGCACTCGCTTTACCGCACCGTTTACTGAGCCATAAGGCAAAGCTCTCGATCTACCGGTCAATTTTCGTTCCCACCCTCACCTATGGTCATGAAGGCTGGGTCATGACCGAAAGAACGAGATCGTGGGTACAAGCTGCCGAAATGGGTTTCCTCAGGCGGGTGGATGGTGTCTCCCTTAGAGATAGGGTGAGAAGCTCAGCCATCTGCGAGGAGCTCAGAGTAGAGCCGCTGCTCCTTTACGTTGAAAGGAGCCAGTTGAGGTGGTTTGGGTATCTGGTAAGGATGCCTCCTAGACGCCTTCCTAGGGAGGTGTTCCAGGCACGTCCATCTGGGAGGACAAGACCCAGGACTAGGTGGAAAGATTATATCTCCACACTGGCCTGGGAATGCCTCGGGATCCCCCAGTCAGAGCTGGTTAATCTGGCTCTGGAAAGAGAAGTTAAGTTTGGGTTCCCCTGCTGGAGCTGCTGCCCCCACGACCCGATCCCGGATAAGCGGATGAAGATGGATGGATGGATTGTATTTGTATTTTTACTTGTTGTGGAAGGCAATTACATATATTTATATAGTTTACTGTATTCACACTCCAAATGCTTGTGGAGTAGAAGTAGAGTTGAGAGTTGAAAGTAGTTCCAGCACATAGATACTATTAGAATCTCATTGTTGTCGTTTATTTTTATGTACATGTTAATTAGTGAGATTTAGAGGTGATGGTAGGCTAGCTGTTTCCTTCTTCTTCCAGTCTTTATGCTAAGCTAGGCTAAGCACATCCTGACTCCAGCTCTACTTACTGTAACACACAGAGATGAGACTGATTTTCTTATCACACTCTTACAAAAGAAAGTGAATTCCAAAAATGTTGAACTATTCCTTTAAAGCCTGGTAAGTCCATTAGAGTTGTGCAATAATATGTAAATACTAAATTTGTCTGTAATGTTGTTTTGACTTATTACATTGTAATGAATGTAAAAAGAAGGCATTATTTCACTGAACAAAGGGATAAACTTTGTCCTGAGGCCCATAAGTGAAAAGTCTTGCACACAGTTCATTTCTCTGGCATAACACCTATCTCAAACAGGCTATCCATTACAAGAGGGAAAAACAGGAGATAATTAACAGGCCTGTCAATAAGACCAATTTGTTTTGACAACTGAAATAACAAAAGGATGGCAGTGAAACACTGCATGTCAACTTGTAATTTACTGCTGTCAGCTGCCAGAGAAAAGGTCCACCTCAGTGCTCATTAGACGTGCAGCTGCTGAGCCATGGACTCACCTGTATCCGTCGATGAAGCTGGCATTGATGTAGTCGGAGCCCTCCACCCCTCTGATTGGCTGCAGGCAGACTCGGGTGGATTCAAAAGGCAGGATGTTTACCAGACGGTTCTTGAATTTGTTACACGGCAAGTTGGCACTGATGAATCTTGAGGTATGTGCTTTAGAGTTTGCCAGTTTCTGCAGAGACAGAGAGGAGGACACGGCTGTCTCTGATGCTCCTCAGCCCAGAGGTGACTGCACTGCAGCTTCACAACTACGCTCACTGTCTCCACTGTCCGCCTCTGGTCTTTTAAATTGCAAATACAACCAGTCTTGGTTGAATGTGGTGTGTGAACAAAGTTGTTAAAGGGCACGGAGAGGTAATACTCTCATTGATGCATGAAAATGATGCACTTTGAGCTGATCCTCTTTGTTCTCTGACTTGAAATAAAAACCTGATGGATGTGTGTGTTAAAACTCATCCTGAAGACATTGAAAAGTCAAAATAAACTTCCACACATTTACTGCGAGCTGAAATAGAAAGGCCTGTGACAATGCATACCAAACTGAGGACAATAAAACTTTTGAAAGCAACATCCCAATTGTCAGTTTGTGAATCCTCTGCACTGCAAGGGCATGCATCAATTTGAGAAGAGCCTGCGAAAAACATTTGCAGTGATTTGAGGATCAAAACCTAATTATGCTCTGTCCAGTTTTACAGCTGTCCTCCTTGCTTGAACAAGCAGCATAATTCGGTTTGTGGTGTGCCCCCCACCCCCCACGAAGGGGCTGCTTAAATCACTGTGGTGTTACTCAGTGCGGAGTGAGCTGTCATGGATGGTGCAGTGCTGCAGCTCATCCTATGTAAAACCACCTAACCTAGTAGGACCTTATCTTTAGGCTGTCAGACATTCAGTTTGTCCCAGGCTCTCTCTTTCATTCTATCACTTTCTCTCTGCATTTCCTGCACTCACCCTCTCCTTTGCCTGTCATCTGAAGCTTAGAAGTTAAGCTCTCCCAGCTCCTCCTCTGAGAAGGAGTTCATCTTTGTTACACAGGGTAAGATGAAAATCTTCCTCTTTCCTAGCTCCCACTACTGCATGCAGTTACAGGGGCACTCCAGCCATTTACTACTGTACATCCATGAATTCCTTGAATTGTTGTTATTGTTGACTCTGACTTTATGCTCCAGAGCCATGTCATCTACATTTAATTCCAGCATTTTATCATATTAAAAATACATGTAGAGAAAGAGGCTCATTATCCCAGGTATATGCAGTAAAACATGGACGACTGTTTCACCCATAGTTTTCTAAAGAGCTGTTGTGTAGCTCAATGAGGGCCCAGCACCCACCTTGGCAGTGCCTGACTCTAGCTAATCCAAAAATGGGCCAAGAGGTGGAGCTGAGGCAAGGGTTTCTGCATTGCATTGTGTTAACTGCTGTAATGCACCATCATAAATGTTATTGTTACCACCTATTTCCTAGTAAGGCAAGTCAAAATGTCTGCTGTAAAAACGGTCTATAAATCAAATTCAAAAGTGCTCTAATCCTATTAAGGCTACAAGGAGCAGGTTAGCAAGATTGACGACATGTAAAGGACAAGATCGACAGTTTTGAAAGGGAGGAAAAGTAAAACAGATGATGCTTATCCAGCAAACACAAAAGTTGAATCCAAAACATGAAAAAGCCTTTCTTGCTGTCACTGTTCATACGGAAGGAGTCTTGTGTTTTGTTTGTGTAAAGACAAAGTTCAACTTGCAGTTTCACAACAGAAACATGAAAAAAGAACACAGGTTATGTTCTTAATGTTACTTTATAGATACTATATATCCCCAGTATATTCCCCAGTTACTGATAAAAATGCAATAAATTTATGTGTGTGAGTGGAGGGAGCATCACCGAAAATTTTTAACCACTGGGTTAGACTATTGCAACACCCTCCACAGTGGTCTGCCTAAATTTCACCGCCTATACTTAAAATGCCACTGCCACAGTCCTGACAAGAGAGGGCACATTTAGCCAATAGGTACAAAGTAGGTTTAATAATCACATTACAACAGGGTTTTAAAATGAAATATGGTTTGTAAATCCCTTCTGCTTCATAGCAGACGATATACAGTAAAAAAACAATGATATACTGTACATAGAACTGTACACCTTTTCTTAGATTGTTGCATTGTTCTCTGGACAGCTTCAGAATTGATTTTACTTACAATTAAATCTTTCACAAACATTCCATTTCATAAAGCCACCTTGCATCACAAAATCAGTCAATAAACACAAACACAGCAGATGCAGTTATGTGGTCGCCCCTTTAAAGAGACTATCAACATGTACTCGACCTGAAAATAAAAGGTACCTACCTTAAACTCCAGTTCCATGGCGCTGACAGTCTCTCCAGAAGGGATTTGGGTGAGCTTCTGGATGTGGGCATACAGGTTTCTGGCTGGGACTTCAGTGTTGCCACATGTTGCAGCTTCCAGCAGGGCCTCATGGATGAATACGTACTGATCCTCTGTCTGCACCATGTAGTTCCTCTGAGCTCGCATACACGTCACGTGACCGTATATATCCACCGACTTCTCATGTTTCATCCTCTCCAGCATGGCTTCGATCACAATGAAGCAGCCTGTCCGGCCCACACCAGCACTGACAGAGCACACAAATAGGAGACATGGTTGACATGGCTGTTTATTGTGTATTGGGATCCCCATTTGTTGTTGTCCTGACAACTACTGTTCCTGGTCTCCAGCTCTTTTCAGGCAGCGCTTGAGCAGAGCAGCATTGAGCAGTTATGAAGATAATAGTATGGCTTGCATTCCCTGCAAGGTGCAACTTGGACTAAGCCATGGGCAGCACCTTCTTATTAGAGATAGCCCCCTTCCCATTTTTGCAGCTATTTTGTTTATGAGACCTCACCAGGAAAGTTACATATCAAGTATAACCCCCAAATGTTCCAGGAGACTTCCTCAGTTCTGACACACTGGTAGGGAATCTCAGCTATTTAACCTGAAATGGTATATAAGCAGAGAAAGCAACTGTCGTAAGCAACTCTGGGGGACAGCACCAACCATTCTGTTTCTGTCTGTATCACTCAACCACTGATCGATCATCTGCATTAAAGCTGCACTAGTAGAATGTCCCTGTTTATAGGCATGTTGGAATTCTGAGTTAAGTTTGTTTACAGAAAAAGTCTGATCAAACACCCTTCTTTTAATGAACTTACACTTACAGTACAGGAGGAATGCTGACAGGATGGCTGCTGGCAGCTCTAAATAGCTTTTGCAGGCTTCCAAGGTGTGCAAACCCTCCTTTAAACTTTGATAAAAATATAAGAAATATAACCAATAAAGTTTTCCATCCAGGTTATTTAGTCTTGATGGTTTTTCACTATTTATGCCATTCAGATATTTTAAATTCAAAATTAATAGGCTGAAAGTAAAATTCACAAGCATTTTCATAAAACAATGCTTAATTAATTATTAGGACATTTTGATATGTGATACTGTTTCAGAGTTTTTCTATGTTTTTGAATATATTGATTAAAATAATTTGATATCAAGCGAAATAAGAGTACTATCCAGCTCAATTAAACAGGGTTTCCTATCCTTATATCTACCTAGAATGTCCTCCAGAATTTCTTACTGACATACTTAATTTAATTTATCCTATTTTGATGATGTTTTATTTTTCTTATTCATTTTAGTTTCTTGGTTTCTCTCTGGACAGTATGACTTCCAATCAGCTGCATCACTGCACTTAATTGACACCTTCTGTTCTTCATCCAGCCAAGGGGCTTTTCTTGCTTTAACTGTACATTTTCTAATGGGGGCATGCTTATCAGGCACCTCTAACAGCAATTCTTTGAATGACTGTAGTGCTTTTTCCACATTGTTGCACACACTCTAAAAGATCCATTTAAAAGATCTCTGGTGGAGAACTCTTGGTCTCACTTTTGGAAATCTGACTTTCCTGGCAACTGCCCCAAAATTGTGGTCACTGAGTTCCACAGAAACAGATACAGACTTTGAGCACAGTTTTTTTAAAGATGAGGTCAATACAGGTTGCTGATGTCCTGCATGGTTAGTTTGCACCTGAGTAGGGAATTACATCAGCTGAGATGAGATATTAGCAGTTCCACTCAGCACTTTTCCCATCAATAAACAGGTTTGTGATAATACATTTAAGTAGAAGTCACCTAAAAAATAGATTTATATCTTGACAAGAAGCCCTCTGCAGTATTAAACACATTTCTTCTAAATACTCAATATCTGCATCTTAAAAGAAGTGAGCTGGTAAGAGGTAAATTAATCTCTATCTAAAGCACCTCAGTAAATGGACTGACAGTAACCTGACACTCATGTCTCAAGGTGCAGACAAAGACGATGCACAGGAACTGTTTTCCTGTTTATACCATTCCTATGATCTTTCTTTGTTACAGGTTGGGGCATGCTACAGCAAAATTCAATATAATCTTGAGTTACTATTTATTATACTATTATTATTATATTAGTATTTTAATTGGGAGAATAGGAGAGCAAGACTGTGTAACTTTTGAGAGTCACACAATCTTCCTTTTTTATGAATGAAAGTTTAAGCAATAAAAACACCCTTGTCCAGTTTCATTTTATTCATATAGCCCAATATCACAAAGTGTGATTTTGATAAATATTGCTGCTTTTGAACACTGTGGGATGCTCTTCCTTTAGCCATAACTTATGTGTTCTCTGCTGACACCTTCAAAAAGCAGCTGTAAATGTTCTGTACTTGTATAGCTCCTTTCTAGTCTTTTTGACGACTCAAAGCACTTTTACAGTACATCTGCATTCACCATTCACTCACTGAGCTCAAACAGAAACTAACATTTTATTCAAAATGGCCTGATGCTGTCTAGTGTTTTTTAGGACAGTTGTGTATGTTTTATTGTTGCTTCTTTACTGTTTTCATCTAAAAGTCCAAAAGTCCCATACGACTCCCTATCATCTAGTAAAGCACTTTGTGACCTTTCTCTGTGAAAGGTGCTATGCTAAATAAACTTTACTTACTTACTTATTGACTTTGTGACTTTTCTCTCCTTGTTACAGTTGTGTTCAGACTGATGTAGGGTACATTTTAGACAGAGACTGTATATAAAGTCAATACAAACAAGTGAGTGAGAGGTAAGATGCATCCATGCAAACTGCAAATGTCTCAGACTGAGCACTAAAAATATTTGCTTATCAGACACAAAAATAAAAGGAACAGAAATAACTAGAGTTCCCACTGAATCTTCAATCAGAGGCTGAGCAAACACACTCAAAACACACATTGTTGTACAGGTAACAAGGGGCCAAGTGTGGCACTGTCAGAATAAAAAGAGCTGTCACTCTGGAACCAATGACTGAGCATTTGGTCTGGGGAAGGCTGCAGCATGTGGGTGGGGTGTCGGCTGACACCACAGTTGTGATGGAGCCTACAAGTGCGAGATCGAGGCCAAGATCATTTATTGTTGGGAGGACTGTGGCATTGCTGAGAGATGATGGGTGGCTGCCTTCGAAAGTGATAAATCCCTCTTACAAGCTGTCACATTGAGACGAAATGCTAAGCTGGCAGATGTGTATCTATGTATGGCACTGGAAAATTTCAGTGACTCCCAGCCCAGCATGCAACAAAACATGCAATGGTCGACAGCCAACCCCTTCCATTGCAATGAGGAGCACAGCCTAACCACAGAGGTATCCAGCCTTCCTGATCTTTGTCAAAGACACCTAGTTTTCAGGCTGATCCTCTCCATTCAGTGTTGCATGACATAGGGCTGTCTGATATAGACATATATTCCTGTCAAGTATCACCTACTTGTAAGAAGAAATTGGTTAACCTCATTGCAGACTTCCAGTCAATCTTCTCCAGAGATAAGTTGGATTGCAGGAAATGCTACAGGTTACCTTCATTGGATTCGCATTACTGATGAGAAACCCTTTCGGTTGCCATCCACCCAGTATGAAAAACTCAGGCAAGTGCTGGACAAGATGGAGGATGTGGCGAGAAACGCTGTCACAAAGAAGAAAACTTACCTGTACATTTTCCCATCTTCACTGCGATCCAGGGTGCTGAGAGGAGTCCATGATGAGGCTGGCCACAAGGGGCAGCAGAGAACATTGTATCTTGCCAGGCAGAGGTTTCATTAGCTAGAGTTGAGGAAGGATGTGATGGAGTACGTGGGTTGTTGCGTGTTGTGAGCAGGTCACCAGAGCCTGAAGCAAGGGCACCTTTGGAAAGCATCAGGACGTCGACACCTCTTGAACTGGTATGCATCGACTTCTGGACGGCTGAAGATTCTGCCAATAGGTCTTTGGATGTACTTGTAGTCACAGAGCACTTTACGAAGATGGCGCACGTGTTCTTGTGTCCCAACCAATCCACCAAAGCAGTTGCACACCAGCTGTGGCATAACTACTTTTGCATTTGTGTGGGAGACCTGGGTTCGATTCCCACTGTGAGACATCCACCATTGTGTCCCTGAGCAAGACACTTAACCCATCATTGCTCCAGAGGCGTGTGACCTCTGACATCTATAGCAAGTAAGTCGCTTTGGATAAAAGCTAAAAAAATAAATGTAAATGTATGTCCCATGTGCCTGCACTACCGACCAAGGGGCCAATTTTGAGAGCTCTCTGATTGCAAAGTTGTTAAGTGTGGCAGGTGTCCAAAAGTCCCATACGACTCCCTATCATCTGATGGGAAATGGTTCCTGCGAGAGGATGAACAGAACATTGGGGAACATGATTTGTGCGCTGCCACCTAGAGCGAAGTACAGATGGCCTGATGCTTTGAAGTCTCTGACATTTGCTTACAACTGCATGTTGCATGAAACAACAGGCTATGCCCCATTCCTACTCATGTTCGGCAGGTGCCAGCAGCCAGTGTGCAATGGTGTTTACAGCAAACAGCTGATGGAGTTACGCTAAATACTGGGTCTTGAAGTTTTCATCAGTCAGGAATTTTTTACACAGAGTCGGTCTCCTCTTCTTCTGAATTGTTGGGCTTCTGTAAATAATCACAGAGTACGGTCTAGACCTGCTCTTTTATGAAAAGCACTGTGAGATAACTGTTGTTGTGATTTGGCGCTATATAAATAAAACTGAATTTAATTGAAATTGAATTCTCCAAAACAAGCGGAACAGCTGATTACAGCATGTATAAAGCATGTTAAATATCACGTTCCTCTGACGCAGGCGGACACAGATGTGAGTCCTGCAGCTGGTCTGCAGCTCTTGTCGCCTGGGAATATTGTAATAACCTTCAAAGCTGTTGCAATTTTATTTTTGAGTTGCTTTCTCTCAAACTTTATCGCATGTCTATCATTATCCTCCCACACAAAAAAACTGTTTTTAATGGTCACACAAAGCCTATAGTTTTTCATTATATTCCAATCAAATCTGATGTTCATTTATAAATTTTGCTCATGGATAGTGTTTACAAATAATGATGCCTGTGCATCGCTTTGTACGGCGACTTAAAAGTCCCCAGTACATTGGTCAAAAAGCGGCTCAAGCAACTAAAGCGACATGACGATCTGTACAACCGGAAGGTGCGTGGTGACCGGGGTGCCAACAAAGGCGAACGTAGAAAAAGGAAGCTTGCAGACCGTTGGGAGAATGCAATGTATGTGATGGTTGGTCAAAGTGAGGAGAGTCACATCCTTAAGCTCCAGCATACCTCCACTGGTCTGGAGAAGGTTGTGCATCGAAATCTGACAACGCCGGTGAACTTTCTCCCCTTGCCGACTGTTAACCCCAGGACGAGGAGGATGTGTCCTCGATGTTCAGTTCTTGATGGCGAGAGGGAGACTGTTGCCGATGATGGGTGTCTGTCCTGCCATCTGAGTTCTCCAGCAAAGCAAATTTGGAGGATGTTGACCAGCCTGAGGAAATTGGGGTTGACATACACCTGGAAGTGGCTCTTGTCTTGCCTGCTGACACCAGTTTGCCTGAGGCACATGTGGAACAACCATCTCGCAGTTCTTCACAGACTGGAGTGATCCTACCATCAGGTGGGGGTTCTGCTGAGTCTGTCAACAACTTAGCTCTTGACCAGGGCCCTCGAGACAGCCATTCATGTACAGAGACTCAGGGCATGGCTGACACTTCTCTGCATAACATTGGAGCAGCCTCTATTGAAACCAGTTGCCAGACTTACTGAGATCATGCATCAGAAAACTGGGGTGGGGGTTTAGATACCATTCACCGTGTAAGGTTCAGTTTACGTTACCACCAGGGTTTAGTGGTGGGTGGTTTTTTTTCTGTCCTGATATTTGTCTATGAGAATTGGGTTTTGATTGACTCTCTTTGTCTTCTATTTCTGTGTTGTGGTAATTTGCAGTCACGATGTGTAATATGTAACAGGCATATTTTTCCCTGTGTGTGGTGATCGGGTCTGGCCAACCTCCTCCTACCCTGATTCTTTTGAGGAATAGCTTGCTAAGCTGGGTGTTTGTCACTGTGATTTTGGGTATACAGCCTCAGCGGTAACGAGCTGCAAAAGAACAAATAGGTGACTTTGCTCTTGTATGTTTTGATTTTAATTGTTTAATTGTGTTTTTGTGCCTGGTGTGTTGTACTGGTCATATTTCTTCCTTTTCCTTCTTGTTTTAGGAGCAAGTGGAATTTAGCAGGGGAGAGTATAACAGGGTTTATGTAGTATATTATTCCACTTGCTATAAGTCATTCATTTATTATCCATCTATCTGTGGGGATTTATTGACGTTGTTAGTTCATGAGAGACTTGCCCGAGGTGAGCTGCTAAACGCAGCACTGTGTACAAATATTGTGTATTATGTCTGTTAATATGAACTACATGAACACATGTGCACTGCAACTTATGGAGAGGTTGATAAGACAGTTATGAGTGGGTTGTTGTACTTTTAAAGTGCTAAAGTGTTTAAGTAACAATAGAATGCATCTTCTAAAATAGCTAGCATCAGTGCTAAAACAACTTGCCATTCTTTTGTAGTGTGCTGTGTGTGAGCTGCCTAAAGTGAGCCAACTGTATATCTGACCAGTACATAGTCCAGGTACATATTTTTGTGTAATTTTATTTGTAACATTAACTAACAGGCCGGTGACGTGCCCGAGATAATAAACGGCTGCATCATTTCAAATACACAACGCAGAGTCAAGGGATTGATTGCACCAGCCAGCTACAGTGAAGTGTAGTTGAGCGACACATTTTATCTAGTTACTCTCATAGGTATCTCACAGGTGTCTCTTGACTGGCATTGCTAGTATCAAGAATGGCCATTGCCCTGCGTCTCCTTTAGGTTATTAAAATCTATGCACTTTACAAAACAGTCTGATTGTTAATGGATGACTTTACTTATACTGGCAGCTCACTTTGTAATGACACTGGTTTGTAAGTTATTGTGCACTTGTTTAACATGTTTCCCCCTAAAGCTAAATAGGTCAGTTCACAAGGTGATTCAAAATGTTTATCTAAAATAAGAAACCAAAAATGACCCGAGGGTGAACTCCTGAGCACCCACGATATACAACTGATGCCTGTGAAGCATTCAGCATGGCCAATCACTGCTTAAAGTGTGTGTGCTTGTTGTTTAGTGGTTTCAGAAAGTTGTGGGATGCCATTGGGAAGGGGATTTCAGATTTAGATGATCGGACACACACTTTGAAGAATGCTAAGGCCGTTGTGTCGATGTTTATCGTGGGTGGTGGTGATGGCGCATAGATAAGATGCTTGCCTCGAAGCATCGATTCCCACTGTGAGACATCCACCATTGTGTCCCTGAGCAAGACACTTAACCCCTAGTTGCTCCAGAGGCATGCAACCTCTGATATGTATAGCAGTTGTAAGTCGCTTTGGAATTAATGTAATGTAATGTAAGAGGTAGTTTACCTGCAGTGGACCACCATGGGTCCAGCGTCTGGAGGATTACAGGCCTTGACCCTGCGTAGAAAGGCCAGTGTTGGGGTGGGATACTCAGGCACTCCATGATCAGGCCAGGCCATGAACTGGAACTGTCGAACTTCTCTCTTCTCACTTGAGCCATTCTGTTAGTGCCCACATAAAAATGCGATTCAACACACTGACTTAATTAACTGAATTAACAAATGCATTTCAATTACTACTAGAACTACTTGAATGGACTGATTAATGTGACATGATGAAATTGCCATACATTACTTATGCATTCTGAGCAGACCCAAATGACATGAATAAAGAGCCCTTGATGAATGATAATACACTGGTGCAGCACTATCAATGGCAAACCATTTTTCATCAGATCTGCAGTAAATGCTTGGTAACTTGGTATTCATCACATTCAGCAAGCCACAGTTGTCAAATTTTCTCCGTTCAAGTGCCAAGACACAATGTTCTCAGCTTTGAATCCCTCATCAGACATGTAATACGTAACACTGCAGGCTCCATCTAACCTATCTGTTAAAGAGATGGCTTTCAGACCCAGGTGTCATTTACGTTACTGTTGTTTAACGCTTTATTCAGACACAACAGCATATTTAAGGACAGAGCTGTGTTGCTTGGTTGACACTTGGCACCAGGTGAGAAAGTAAGAGAGTGAGAGAGCAGCGATGAGTTAAAAGTTTTATTATAGCAAAGAGGAAGACAGTGTTTTCTTCTCTCACAGGCTACATCACTGATTAAGTTATTTTGCTGTTAAGCCTTAATGACCTGCATTGTTGTGAGCATGAGGGATGCTTGCCACTGCTTCTCACAGTGAATCCACTATAACTTTGTTATATTAAATGGCAAATTCTGTTGGCATTAATAAAATTTCAAAATAGAGTTTTGTTATTACTGTGGTTGTATGAGAGTTTTTTTTTTTCTTTTCTAATCGTGTCACACCACAAGGGGAAATTGTTTTTATAGACTTATCTGATCTGAGACTAATCTCCTCAATAACTTATTAAACTTTTTTTGCACATAAGAGATGGTGACTGAGATCATTTATTACAGTGATTTTAGTAGCAGACACACATCTCTCTTTCTCTGCATGGTTCACCTTGTGCTGCCGAAGTCTTTACATTAATCTGATGGCACTCAATTCAGACTTGTGCCCATGATGAAAGTAATACAGAAATGTTACAGGTCCGACCAAACCCACTGTCTTGACATTTATATAAAAGTGACTAGGGTGTTTATTCAGACATGAGACCGATGTAGCCTACATCTTAAATTGTCATCACATTTAAGAAACAAGGTGCAAGTCTGAAAGCTTCAGTGCTCTTTCAGAACAAACCACCAAAGCCTTCTGCTGTCCATGAGTTGTGACTTTGGTGGCAAACATAGTCATACTCCATATTCACAGTATACATAAGGAGTTCTCACCTTATAGAGGGCAAATGTGCGTACTGTGTACGTAGCCAGCTCCACAGTGTCCAGCATGGTCACCTGAATCATCCCATATGTCTCTGTGCCTCGACTGGGCCAGTACTGGTCACACTTCACCTGCACCCAGACAAATATGTTTTCATAAACAACAGTGTTATTGCTGAAGTGATATGGACAGAAGTAGAAGAAAAGAACAACAACAATGAGAGGGTGTCTTTTTGGTTACAGTTGTACAGGATCCTTTTGCTTTCTGAGAAAAGAGATAGATTAAAAGAGAAAGAGGATCAAAATGAATGCAGCAGACCCAGACACGTCTTTTTATTACATGCATTTTTTCTACCTTGTCAATATCTGGCACCTACATTACTCAACTGCTGACAGTTCAGTCAGCGATTTGGGTTTATTATGCCAATAGTGGCTTATGTAGCCTCATGCCGCTAGCCTCAAGCAGAGATGAGGAGCAGGCTACAGAGATTTGGTAAGCTCATGTCCTTCTAACAAATTCAAATTCAAATTAGTTTTATTAGCTATTTCTTAGCTAGCTCTCCTTCTGAAACCACAAAATGCTTTATATAACTTATTTCATATATACAATAGAACTCCCCAACACCTGTACAAAGACTTTCATGTATAAAATTGGTCCCCTTTATGTAAGTAGACAAGTCTTCAGTGGTTAAAGTCAAAGCTTAGTGCACCAAGCTAGACAACATTGCTAGTGCAATCAAGTGTGCCTGTAGCCCCACCCAGGTAAATAATCACAAGCCACCACTGACTGTTGGTGAGTTGTTTTTTCTATAAAAGTCATAAACGTGGGGTGAAATGTACAAATCAGCCTCTAGTGGGGCTTCATAGTGTTAGTGTAAAAAAGGGGCGTGTTTTTTTCACAATGGTGCATGCTCCGTATTTTCCCCAGAAGAATGCACGTTGATTGTGTCAGGATATAAGGAGTTTAAAGACACATTAACAGCTAAATCTGTTATGGTTTGGGTATTTTCCTGTTTAAGTTTTATTTGATCATCTTCTGGTTTGTGGTTATTTTGCAGCTGTTCCAAGTTTAGTGTCAGTCCTGTTTCTAGTTTGGTTCTGTCTCTGGGCATTTCTCATTTCCCAAATTTGTGCCTCCTCGACTCTTCACAGTGTGTCTTAGTCCCTCACACACAAGATGCGAGCTCGAGGAGTCAAGGAGGAGAAGCGAGAAGAGAGGAGTTGAGGAAACGGGTATTTAATGAAATGAGATGTCCTTTACCCGGAGACGTCATTTTAAAGCAACATAAATTAAATGCAGACCTGTTGCACAACTGCAGCATCTGTCCATTGAGCTCTGATCTCTGTCAGATGAGCAGACCAGCTTTTGGCACTAAAGGCTACAGATCAGATCTTCACAATCCAGAAACATGTCTGTGAACATTATAACACGTAGAAACATCTCAAGGTTCTAATAAACAGTATAGCATCTGTTGAAAACAGTAAGATTACAGCAGTGTACTATCATCAGAAAACAAAACATGAATTAACATTAGATCCTGACCGATCCTGTCGGGAGATTTTAATTATTCATTTATGTTGCTGTGGCTCGTGCGTAAATGCTCACGGCGTCTCTGGAGAGGCGCTTCACCCAGCCCCTATTCCTTTTTTATGATCCTGCTGCCCATCCACACATCACATTCAACAATAACATCATCAGTGAAGTGAAATGACATTCAGGAATGCGGTAGAAGAGTGCTTTATGAGGCGCTACACAAACGGTTAAGCAAAGAAAGTTTGATCGCCCATTTACAGATAGGCTACATCTCAGAAACTAGCCTGTTATTTAACTAAGATCTTCTCCCTAAAATCACTGAGGCTGCAGGGCTCGCTCTATGAACGTAATGCTGTTGTGTTTTGTGTGATTTCAGCTGCAACCTCAGTGGAACAAGTCAGAATGAAACGTCTCGGGTTACGTATGTAACCCTTGTTCCCCGAGAAGGGGAACGAGACACTGCGTCGGTGACGACACTATGGGAACGCTTCTGGACGTGGCAGGGCTGAACTATGAATGAAACTACTCCAATCCTATTGGTGTTACTAGAACGGTGTGTATGACGGTGTAACCGGAGGGGTATATAAGCACGCCGGCACATAGGACACATTAGCCCTTTCTATGAAGCAAGGCACTCCAGAAGCAAGGGGTGAGGTGTGGCGGACCGACGCAGTGTCTCGTTCCCCTTCTCGGGGAACAATGGTTACATACGGTCTCTTTGTTACTTTATGTTTTACATGTAGTCTACTTTGTTGAGGCCTCTGTCATTACATGTAGGCCGCTTCTTTGTTTCCCAAAACGTGAAGTCCCAACATTACTTAGCCTGTCAAAACAGGACACACAGGAGTTGTAGTTTTAGGGGAACACATAAAGTGCATTAGCTGCCCTGTTAAAACAGATCTCATTGACAACTGACATGCTTTTTGAACCTGAAGACAGTTGATGTCCTTACATACAAATGCCTCAGAAGAGGGACTTGGAGCACTCCTTCAATAAAGACAGAAAGGCGAACTCAAAGCTATAAAGTACAGGTCACAAACACTGACACGATAAGAAAAAAACCCCTATTGATTACATTCAGGAAAGTATGTTTCTTTAAGTTGGCATTTACAGACAAGTTTAGAGATAACTTCTTTTGTGCTGCCTCTGTAACAGTATAGAGTAATAACCCATAAGAACTTATGTTCTGAGCACAGTTAAAGTGAATGTAACTGGACATCGCTGGGTGGATGCAGAGTGCAATGTTCAGTACAGTTAAAACACAAAGTATCATCAAGTGGTCTGGATGTCAGTCATGTCATCTCAGCCTACATGTTCAGGAGATAGCAGCGGATAACCAGCCACACATAAAAGTAACACAGCAGCAGTTACTGTAGACACAGTTGCAAGTCCCTGCCATATCTCATGTACTTCAGCTGAAAATGTCTGAAGAAGTCATAAATATGGAAACATATTTCTCCTCCACTCCTCCATCACGGAGCAGGTGTATGTTAGAGACCTTGCGCTCCTCCACCTTCCGTTTGAGGACGCCCCACAGATGCTCAATAGGGTTTTGGTCTGGAGACATGCTTGGCCAGTCCATCACCTTTACCCTCAGCTTCTTTAGCAAGGCAGTGGTCATCTTGGAGGTGTGTTTGGGGTTGTTATCATGTTGGAATACTGCCCTGCGGCCCAGTGTCCGAAGGGAGGGGATCATGCTCTGCTTCAGTATGTCACAGTAGATGTTGGCATTCATGGTTCCCTCAATGAACTGTAGCTCCCCAGTGCCGGCAGAACTCATGCGGCCCCCACCATGCTTGACTGTAGGCAAGACACACTTGTCAGACCACAGGACATGGCTCCAGTAATCCAGGTCCTTAGTCTGCTTGTCTTCAGCCAACTGTTTGCAGGCTTTCTTGTGCATCATCTTTAGAAGAGGCTTCCTTCTGGGACGACAGCCATGCAGACCAATTTGATGCAGTGTGCGGCGTATGGTCTGAGCACTGACAGGCAGACCCCCCACCCCTTCAACCTCTGCAGTAATGCTAGCAGCACTCATACGTCTATTTCCCAAAGACAACCTCTGGATATGATGCTGAGCATGTGCACTCAACTTCTTTGGTCGACCATGGCGAGCCCTGTTCTGAGTGGAACCTGTCCTGTTGTACTGCTGTATGGTCTTGGCTACCGTGCTGCAGCTCAGTTTCAGGGTCATAGCAATCTTCTTATAGCCTAGGCCATCTTTATGTAGCAAAAATTCTTGTTTTCAGAGTTCTTTGCCATTTCTTCAGTGTTGTCACATGAACATATATAATCGAATACATGAACATATGAACATGAACAGATATAATCGAATACATGAACATATGAACATGAACAGATATAATCGAATACATGAACATATGAACATGAACAGATATAATCGAATATTTACAATAATGTGAGGGGTGTACTCACTTTTGTGAGATATAAGTCAGAAGTCTCTAAAAATACAGTCAACACATGGCAGAATGTTGACATTTACATTTACATTTACTCATTTGGCGCTTTTATCCAAAGCGACTTACACTTGAGGAACAACATACAAGCATCAACAGAGCATCAACTACAGATCTACAACTGACAATACATACTAGTAAGAGCAGCAATAAATACTAGTAAGAGCTCATAGTTCATATCACATCAATGGGGTAGATACCTAGGGAAGGAAGTAAGAGGTAACAAAAAGTGCAATTAATACAAGATCATTGTAGGGGATAGAAGAAGAAGAGCACAAGAAGTGCATGTTAGAGGTTAGGAGTTAGAGGTGTTATAAGAGGAAGTGTTCTCGGAAGAGATGAGTTTTCAAGAGCTTCTTGAAGTTAAAGAGGGACGTCCCTGCTCTGATGGCGTGTGGTAGCTCGTTCCACCATCGTGGTGTCACAGATGAGAACAGCCGGGACTGGGATTGCTTTGTGTGAAGGGATGGCAGAGCCAGGCGGCGTTTGTTGGAGGAGTGTAGTGGCCGAGAACGAACGTAAGTTTGTATTGTGGTGCAGATCCAGTAATCACTCTGTATGCAAGCATTAATGACTTGAATCTGATTCTGGAGGCCACGGGGAGCCAGTGGAGGTCACTGAGTAATGGAGTGACATGAGTCCTTTTGGGCTGATCAAAAACCAGACGCGCTGCTGCATTCTGAACCATTTGTAAAGGTTTCACCGCACAAGCTGGGAGACCTGCTAGGAGGGCATTACAATAGTCGATGCGAGAGATAACCATGGCCTGTACCAGAAGCTGGGTGGCGTACTGAGTGAGGTAGGGCCTGATTTTCCTTATGTTGATGAGTAATCTTTCACTAATACTCCACTAATGTTACAACTGCTCAGGGTTTAACTACACTAAAGTTTAAACACTAGTGCTGTTTAGGAGTGGTGTGACAATATTACATACACCAGTAATGTACTGTGATGGTGAGAGAAAACATGATGCAGTGCCCGATTGGATGCCTCTTTGTGTGAGGAAATGTGGCCGCAAGTGCCATCCAAGGTGTCCCAAGGTGTGCAAAAAACATGATGAAAGGGCCCTCAGCAGGGACGAATTACCGCAAGTCCTATTGGACCCAGGGCTCTAAATCCCAAAGGGGTTGCGCAGAAGTTTCATTTCTAGGGGTGCTCGAGAATAACGATCATCTATGCTAGCTTTCCCCGACCCTCAAAAGTGCCCCATCTCTGCCACTGCTAATACACACACTGAAGATCAAACTCTAATGGCTAGGATGTCAAGAAATTTATTGAGAATCAATAGTTTCTTGTACTATGAAGAGAAACAACAGCATCATTTGTTTGCTAAAATGCCTTAAAAGGAGCTTCGGGGAACTAATGTGGCATTGATACATAGCCACAAAACATTGCAGGGTGAACATTTGGGGTGGATGGAAGGGTTACCAAAGCATGTGACATTAACATAAAAGACTGTTGTCCACTTTATGGTTCCTTCATTTAACTGTGACCACCCGAAGTATAGTCCCCTCCAAAAGTATTGGAAAATGCAAAGGCAAATTCTTTTGTTTTTGTTGTTCACTGAAGACATTTGGGTTAAAAGATGAGTATGAGAGTTCAGAAATTCAGTTTTTATTTCCTGGTATTCACATCTAGATGTGAAAACTCAGGAGGTAATCTAGGAGTTAATAAAATGAATTAATGTATCATTGAGGTGAAAAGGTGCCACAATCACATTTAAAGAGATTGCTTCCCCAAACAAAAAACAAAAAGAGAAAACTAAATCATGTGTTGACCAGTGTTGGCCAAGTTACTTCCAAAATGTAATACATTATATATCACTAGTTACTGTCATTTGAGAGTAATTAGTTATATTACAATATAACTGTATGTGAATTGTAATGCTTTACACTACTTTTGCATTATTTTTGAGTTACTTTCACTGCTACTTAATTGGCGCATTATTCTGACAGTAAGATCTGCAGCATAGTTGGGTTCTATTGATTAATAGTGGATTAAGAAAGACGCTGTGCGCATTTACACACAAGGTACAGCAGCATAACGTCATTAATAATTTGAATCTGGATTAGTCAGGATGAACTGACAGCAGTCTCTCTGATCTTGAAAGTAATTTGTTAAAGAAAACACATAGAAATCTATTTACGCATGATCCATCACAGGAGCTAATTGGAGCCGATCTCCCCCATAGTTTGCACCCATCGATCATCAGATTCTCACAGGAAATAACATTACTCTTTCACTCATGGATTTGTTTTTCTGCTGCCAAAATGCTATACATTACTGTAATTGCGTTACTTTTGTACTTTTGAGTCACTCCCAACACTAATGTTGACTCAGTAGGGATAATATTAAATAAGTTGATCTACAGGAAAAATATAGAATAAAGAATGCCTGATTATATTTTATATTTTGAAATGTCACCTACCACCCAAATTTTGTTTCCCTTTATGCTAATACAAACATTTCTACCATAAATTAGTGCAGAAAATGGACCAGAAATTTTCACCAGAATGCACGAAATAAAGTCTTTAATGCTCAAAACCTCAGACACCTCAGATAGGAAGCGATTTGCGCTGAAGTTAAAATATTTTGAACTTAGAGCGCGGCATGTGGGCGAGGTTGCTGAGCAATGCGCTGTGCTGCGCTTTCGCTTTGCTCGACGCAATGACAAACTGCTGTGGCGCAAGCCATTGAAAATAATGGGTTTTACAGCACAGCAGTGCAGTCGTTGCAGTCTGTCTGAAAGGCCCATAACATTTAGTGGCATCTATTGGTGAGGGTTGTGAATTGCAACCAACTTTCCAGTCTGCCACTGCCTCCTACCCTTTCAAAGAGCATAGGACAGCTACGGTCTCTGACACAGCACAAAAGGTGTCTCTTCTGAGCCAGCACAGAGTAGCCAGTCAAGAAATTAGGTTTCTTGGTTTCTTTGGGTATATTTATTGAGAAATTATATTTACTTAATTATTCAGTAAAACCATTTGTTAATGCGACTTGGCCACTGACAGATAACAAGGAAAATGTAAGCCAAGAGTGTGTAATATTGTCACTGTTTCTGCACCACAGTCCATTATAAACCACACATTAGATACATTTTTTACAAACATTGACAAGGGAAACACATTAATTCTCTCTGTGATTATGTATCCTTGCCAAAACTGCTCGGCAACAATATAATCAGGCCCGCGGCCAGATTATGGCACTTTGATAGTAACAAAAAATATAAATAAATAAATACTTTGATAGCGGTGCTAAAATAGATCTCAGTCATGGCAGCAATAGTTGCTCACATAATCACTTCCTCTTTAGTGGTTTTGCCTACAAAATAAAAGCGCAAGAAGCTTGTTTACTGTAATGCAGTATTTGGAGTTGAACTGAGCTTTTACTTATTTTACAAATTCTGAACGACATTAAAAGAGTCTGTAGCCTGCTTGACACACCTCTGAAAGAGCTGTCAGAAAATGTGATTCCCCTAAATGTCCTCTGCCTGGTGGTACTGGGGAAATGAAAAAGCGTCCGTAGGTTGATGGATGTGGATCAAACACCGGAACACAAACAGTGCAAAACACCGGAACACAAACAGTGCAACACATGCCATGATCTGAGAAATATTCGCTGCAGAATCCATTTGTTGAAGAGAGAAACAAAAGGTTGTCCCAAGTTTGGATCATACACTCAACCCTTGGGTTGCAAGTCCTGCACTTTACCAGCTGAGCTAACCAATCAAAATATTAATGTCAGTCAATATTATGTCTTATATTATCATCCACCATCTAATGGTTGAAAATATTGCTCTGATGCAAAACTTATTTGCCGACCCCTGCTGTATATTATTTCTACTTATTCTTCTTTGAGCGTACGTGTTCAACATAGTGATGACTCTTTACATTGCCTGAATTCTACCAGAAGTAGAACAAGAAGAACAAAGTGACGAAACACGCTCTGTAGCACTGTTTGTCCGTTTTCAGCTACTGTAGAAACATGACGAGGCAACGTGGCAATGTCCATGGAAGGGGGGACCTGCGGTTATGTAGATATAAATAAAACGTAATAAAAACGTAATGGTTTATTATGTAAGGTCTTTAAACACCACTGAAAACATAGTTATGGATCTTATATTGCATTTCTGTCGACAGATCCTCAGAAATATTACACACTGGACCTTTAAACATAGCAGCAATTATTTTGGGACTTATAAACTGGAATGCATGACTCACATCAGCAAAATAGTGGACGGACAGGTTGTGCAGCAGCCGTTACCGCCGCATGTTATAGAGCACCTAATGTTTCCTGCACCTCTGGTTGAAACACAGATGGGTGTTATTGACTGAAATGGCATACTGCTGTGGCACTGTAGTTCTGCCCTTTCGCTGTGGCGTTTTTAACAGTGTGAAAGAACGTTGACATCATTAATCATATGAACACTGTACCTGCCATGCTAGCTCTCATCTGCCATGTGACTGGCTGTGAATGTCTCATACTTCATGTCTACCAGCACGGTGATGATGCTGTTGCAGAGCTAAGCTCACAATACAACTCAAATAAGAATAAGAAAAGTAAAAAAAATAAGAAAAGACTATTGTATTAATCACTCACCGTTTTATGTGTTCAAAAACTAGAAAAAGGCACACTAGAGCAGTAATTCAGGAAATTTGTTTGTTGAGGATACACCTGACAATAGCCATGTTTCCATCTAAGTGTCAAACAAATTTTAAGCAAATTTTTTGAAATGTTGCAAACAAGAAAAATAAGAATATGTTAATTATTCGATATACTGGTTTGGAGCGAATAATTAGGCTATTGTTTATTTCAGGTCAAGTCCCTTCTGCGCAGCTGACTGTTACAAGCACCTGCTACCTTGATACGCCCTGCACAGGGACAAAGAAAACCCCGGCCACCCTTTGCAATGGAAACATGTCCTGCATTATCATACCCCAACAAGCCTGGCCCTATGCGATAGTCCCACCCTGCCCCTGAGAACAACTGGCCTCAGCTAAAGTGGATGACGGTAGGGTCTGACCTGAATTTGTGCTTTAAAAGATGGCCTTAGTTTGTATGAAAGAAGATGGATGAAGTGGTTGAATTATGTTAAATCAATGCATCAGGATGATCCACTACACTACGGAAAGCTTGCTCTATTTATTGATGTATTTATTTAAAGCTTTGATGAATGCACTGTAAACCAAGGCCATTGTCATCAGAGTATTATTATTCTTTACTATTTCTCAACATGAGAGGCTCACCCGTGACTTCTCCTCTAGGCGGGTCATCATAACGATGGTGCAGGTCCTCTGCTCCCACACCATCCTCCAGAAGTCACTCAGTGTCTCCGGCAGCGGCCCCTGTGTGGCAATGTAAGCATTCTGCTTCCTGTAGCCATCAATGTAGTTGGCGTTGATGTAGTCGCTACCTGGAACTCCTGATGAACAAGTTGGACAAAGTCAGGAAGCAAATTAAAATGGGATCCAATCAGGAAACTGAAGTATAACTTCACAAGATTCTCCTTGTTCCTCATTTTAATGCACGTAAATGGCAATCTATTCTTTCAATCTATATTTCCCCTAACATGTAGCTTAAAAATACAACTTTATTCTCGTACTATTGTGACTTTATTCTCATTATTATGACTTTATTCTCGTAATATTACAACTTTATTCTCATAATATTACGACTTTATTCTCATAATCTCTGATTTTTTTACTCAATGTGGCCTTCACACTCCGTCGTAGAAAACAGAGGGGCTTCTAACTAAATTATGATGCAATGCATTTATAAAACAGGAAGGGAAGGTTTGTCTTTAATTTAAGTGTATTTTAAATAAAGGTAAATGAAGGCCCTGACCACTATTATAATATATATATATATTAATATATATATAGAATTACGGTATGTAAAGTCCCTCTCTTGAGATGTCTGAAGACGTGTCTCTCACCATCCACAGGTGTGAGGATGACCCTGGAGTGGTCGTAGGCAATAACATTTGCATAGCGGTTCTTTGGCTTGTTGACCTCCAGGTTGGAGTGCTCCCAGGTGAACTGCTGACCTGGATCAATAGACTGACACACAGAGGAGGGGGAGAGAGGGATTACAGAAGTGGGAGGGAGCGAGAGCAGTTAACCATTTATTAAAACAGTGCCTGTATTCCCCTCTACGGTTTAAAGCCTGTGAGCCTGAGTCCAGACCAATAAATGTGACACAGAAACTCATTTGTCATCTCTCCTCCAGCCTGGCTTTATAATATGAAAAGCCCTGGATGATCTCAAAGCCCCCTGGATAAACACTGGACTGTTTGAACACTCCCAAAATCCCCTCCAGCCTTCCACCTACCAGTTCAGTGTGTGATATTAACAAAGAACAGAGCCAATGATAAACGGAAAGCAATGCAGTAAAGATTTGTGTCACTGGTCTTGGATGTGTATTTCCCATAAGAAACAGTAGTGGTGTTGGACCACCATTAAAAGTGAACAAATTGTATTGATTACATTTCTCAATACAGCCAACAAGGATACAGAGAAATTTGCTACAGACATTCATGGTCCTCAAAAGATGAATCGTACTGACCTTTCTTCTAGCACCACCATCAGGTCAAGATTTCACTTACACTACTTATGATTTTATGATTGTTTATGATTAAATACCTCATAAAAAAGACTGACATTCCCATCAGCCTCATGTGTACTTTACAATAGCACAAGACAAGCTACACTGTACTACACTCAGTTTTTGCAATCACAGTGCCTAAGAACAGCCTCACAGTGCCGCAAACAAGGCTGTAGACTTAGTCCAGTTGAAATGTATTATACAAGCTGTATGTTTTATGTATGGTTATTTAGGTTTTAACACAAATAATTATGAGATTGCAACAGATGCTTCTCTAAATACATTTTTTTTACTTTATTTATTTGTGCTTGTAATGATGATTGGTGTGTATTGATTGCTGGTTGTAAATGCAGGCGCTGGTGTAGCATAATAATGACAGGCTTGCAAGACTGGTATTCATGATTGACCGTTCACGCTCCTACTGCTTATCTTACATAATCTGGATAACAAACACACAGCTATACATACACACAAGAACAGGCAAAATGAAGCGGTGATGAGGACTCTAATATCCTGTTGCTTTTCCCCCTGACTGGCTGGACGGCTGCTCAGCCCACTGGTTTACAACTGATAATAATGACAATGGAGAAAGAGGTTGAATGCACATCTTATTTAACAGCTTGTTAGGCAAGGCTTCCACCGCCGCACTGACAAACCTTTCACATTACTACTAATGTGCTCTGCTGACATGTAGATCAGTTATCGAGCATGTCAATGTAATCACACTCACGGAGCTGCTGTTCCAACCACAACAAAAGCAGGTAAACACAAAGAGGAACAGTCAGGTGTGAAGCATGTGGATTTGTGTATGGCTGCGTTTTTACTGAACTCAGCCCAGAGCCTTTAAAGCCAACCAACCCTGTGACGTCACAGGTTATAGTACTGCACAATGGTGGCAGAAATACAGAAACCACAATCCAGAACAAACGAAAATTTAAAAATGTTTCCAGTGGACAACAAAAAGGGATGAAAACTGTCTGGACACGGAAGTCCTGCCAGTTTTTTTTGTATCTTCAGCTCATTTCCCAACAACACTCAGGTCACCCAGGTCTCTCAGGGTCACCATATTTTACTTTACAACATATTTTTTATTTGATATGGCTTAGAAATAGATGTAATCATTATTATGTAATGAATAGAAGTGCTGTTATAGAGGCCATAAGCAGTATTCACGGTCTCCAGTAGTCCCCAAATAGAATGGGTAATTTATCTGACGTAACAAGCTGTGAGATCCTCTGGCAGGTCTCATTTTAAACACAGCCATTATCAGCATTTCATTTCAAGCCTTGCTGCTTTTACTATGGACTAATGGCTGGTAACTCTTATGCAACAGGACGCAGCAGGACATACAGTGTGTGTGTGTGTCTGAGTGAATGTGAGACCAATTGTCTCTCCCTAACCCTTAGTCTCAAGATCAAAGTTTATTGAGATCTAAATCTATCTATCTATCTATCTATCAGATACCTGCACAGCATCTTACACATCAGCTGGGGTGATTCTTGATTAATAGCAAAGACTAAGACCAAACATTCACATGGTAGCCTCAACTAACCTCCATCTGAACCAACCACTTGTTGAACCCATTAAAAAAGTAGAACTATATCTACCTTGGGTAAAAACATTCAGTCTACAACATTGGTTTGTTTTAGACTTGGAGGAGGCTAATGACTGTCCCCCTCAGGTTGCCTTGTGGAGAGTGCTGCGAGAATACACAGTGCAGTAGTTGTTGAGGCATCCAGTCCTTATATAAGTGGAGCAAGAGTTTGGTCCATAATCTACTTTGCTGAAAAAAGGTAGGATTGCTCTCTCCAGGTTGGGAGTGAGTTGCTGCCTCAAGTGAAGATGGGGCTTTTCAGGTCTTGCTGACATAACGGTAAGATGGAACACAGTAATTAACACTGGATTGGTGCAGCATAAGAATAATGCAGGTATTATACTAGACTGGTGTGGTGAAGATGGAGCTGAATCTGAAAATTACAAATATCATCTAGAAATTGAAAGGTATATAGAAAGGTAAATGTGTTTATTTTTTCCTGTTTACCTTATGGACACCAGTGAGTGAACACTGTAATCAAGTGTTTTTGTATAAGAATGTTTTTTGCATTATGCTTAGGCTATTTTCATTGTTGTGGCTTATGTTCAAGTTCAGAGAAGTGAAGTAATACTTTTGATATGATTGATGCTTAATTATAAAGATAATCATTTCAACATTTGAGCAAACTCTGTATATCTCATTTTCTTTTTAAAAAGTGTAGGCTAATTGATTTCTGTGTCTAGCCTTGTATATTTGTATGTGCTATGAACAGCGCTCAGGAGGTAGAGCGGGTTGGCCGTTAATCGGAAGGTTGGTGGTTCAATCCCTGGCTCCCCCTGGTTGCGTGTCGAAGTGTCCTTGGGCAAGATACTGAACCCCGAATTGCCCCTGGCGGCTGTTCTGCCAGCGTATGAATGAGTGTGAATGTTAGTTTCCGTTTGAGCACTTAGGCTCAGTGTATGAATGTGTGTGACTGGTGAATGCAGATGTAGTGTAAAAGCGCTTTGAGTGGTCGAAAAGACTAGAAAGGCGCTATACAAGTACGGAGCATTTACATTTACATTTGAAAACTTAGTGTTCAGATAGGCTACTTGGTGGTAAGTCCCAAATGTTTGTAATTTGTAATGTGGATAACTTTCTTCCCAGATGAACATAATTGCCAAATCTAAACCTAGTTTGAACAAACTGGGTTAGTCTACAAAATTTAGCGATCTGGTGGTTTGTGTGGCCTGGGATGGAGTCAAATTCCCAGCCTGAATTATTGTGCCACTCCACCCCTGAACTGTAGACACATGTTGAGAAACTCACACATCCTGAAGGAATTTGGAGTAGAACCATTGGTGCTTTGCATCTAATAGAGTTCAGGCATCCAATAACATTAGCTAATGAATGCTTTACTGTGGAGGTTTTCTGGGCACTATACAAGTACAAGGAGATCCCAGGGACAATGGGATTACACATCCCAACTAGCCTGGGGACATTTGGGGGTCACCGAGTGAAAGATGGAGGATGTGGCTGGAGAGACTGATATCTGGACAGCCTCGATTTAGGCTGCTGCCACCACAACCCAAACCCACATAGGGGCAGAAAATGGTAAATGGATGGACTACTTCTAAACACAACACACACAGGCACATTTGAACATGTAAACAGAACGAGGCAGGAATGACATCGCCAACCTTGCAATTAATGTACAACCCGCTCTACCTGTCAAGCTACAGCTGCCAATGAAAATGAATGAATGGATGGATGGGTCAAAACAAATCTGATTCTAGTCCCTGTAACTTCAGAGAGAATGATGGACCTGTCCGCATTCTTGCTGTTATTTACCTGGGGTGTTCAGACAAAGAAGGAATTTAAGCATCAGATTTCAACATCAGCTGCCTTTTACTTCTTAAACTGCATCAAGTTATTTTCCTGTACCTGGTTTAGAATACATTCTTAGTACTAAAGAAGTCCAGTAAGGCTCTAACATAGTTAATTCATTACGAAAGTTGATAATCTTAGCTTTTTAAAATCTCCTTCCACTTTATAACTAAAATATAGCCTGCAAATATATTTTCTCCTCATCAACTGAAGATTTCTTGCTCTTTACTTACACTACTGAAATCAACTAGACATACAGCATAACAGATCAACAGCTAGGTTGATGTGCTATGCTGAATATATGTATCTTGCAAAACAGGAGAGTATATTGGACCTACTCCACATTATGTCCATGTTGGCTTTGCATAGCATTAGAACAAATTAAAGGTAATGTTAAGTGAGCAATTCAGTGAGATCAAGAATTGGGAAAGGAATTCTAACAACTTGAAGGGCTTGAGCCATACGTCAACTCAGCGGGGTTCATAATACTCAATAAATCAGAGCATCTGAGTATCTCAAAGACTACTTTGGAGGAACTCATGACCTCTAGACTACAGCTAGTTTTGCTGACTTGTACTTGCTCATGTTTAACACCGACATGTTCAAGCTCTTTATTTGTTATATGCACAACAATTACAGTGAAGCAGTAGTTCAATCATGCAGGTAAGACACAATGCAAAGAAAGTCTTCAGTTTATCTGAACATGTGTAAAGGTAAAGGTACTTTATTTGTCAGATATACATACACCAAGATTCATCCTCTGCATTCAACCCATCCCTGAAGGGAGCAGTGGGCAGCCACTGTACTTCACCCGGGGACCAACTCTAGACTGAAATGCCGTGACAGGTCAAACGGCACTGACTGGAAAACCTACCTAACATGTTTTTGATGGTGGGGGAAAACAGAGCACCCAGAGGAAACCCACACACACACGAGGAGAACATGCAAACTCCACACAGAAAGGCTGGGATGACCAGGGTTTGAATCCAGGACCTTCTTGCTGTGAGGCCCCAGTGCTATCCATTAGACCACCGTGTTGTACTTGTTTCTTTATGTTGTATGGTGGCTAGAATTTAAACAGTTACGTTTGTATGTTAAAAATAAATAAAATAAAGTTACCACCACCAGTTTAAAAAGAAGGGCAAATTAGGGCCAATGGACAGGTTGTCAAGTAAAATTAAGTTTGTAACTCCCTTCTGCTATGTAGTAGACATTATAGAGTAATACAAAAGCAGTGATAACAAGTCCTGAATTTTATTATGTCATCCTTGACATTTTGTTGTGGTGTGTGATTGAATTTTTTTCCTTCTCACAACGTCAACTAACAATCATCCCTGCTAAAGTATAAATGTGAAAGAGACCACAACTCTAATAATATCATTGATTGAATTAGGTGAGACAATTGTCGACTGGCCCACCGTTTATTTTCTATACATAAAAATACACTACAGTTACACCTACTACAAAGATATTCTGCAATGATAAAAAATTATTACTGTTATCATATTTTTGGTTTTCCAAATAATAGTTTATATTATCCTAATCAGATATTACTTTTTATTATAAGAGAAGTAAATGCAAATAAGCATGCTTATCATTGGAGATATGGCTTAGTATCCTCCAGTTTCATTTGTTTCATCTGAATATTCCTGTTATAACATATTTTTAACAACTCACTAGATATTCTAATGTTATATTGTTTGGCATACAACCTATCTCTAAAAAAGTTCCTTCCATGTCAGAATATTTGGGAAGTAAAAAAAAATGGAAAAGGTAAAGACAATGATTCAGTTGCTGTTTCATAATTTATATGCTGTACATAAACAGTCAACCCATCTGTCCTGGTTTATCTGCTTGGAAATTCTCCACTTTAAATGCAAAGTACCTTCCTTTGTAGGACATCAACAAGCCATAATCCCTCAGTGGCTTTTACAGTAGGAGAAAACAGTGGGATATTATTCTTGGAAAGGAGGCATAGAATTTATGCACACTTAGCAGCATGCTTTTTTGTTTACAAATGCTGAACTTTAACACTGCGATGGTAAGTCAGCTCAAGAAGAAAGTTGTCTGGAAAATGTGAGATATTTTAATAAGAACGTAGAATTTGGATTTTCCAGATGGGCATGGGCAGATATATATTTATCCCTGTCCTGTACGAAACAAGAAGTCGTTTATTAAAAAAAAAAATTCAAATATATGTAAAACAGAAACATCCGACAAGAAAATGCAATCAAATAAACAAATCAAAATAATTAAATAACACAATAATAAATAATAATTACAGCAAAGAAAATTTTTGAAATCATCCAACATCACTAAGTAACAAGATATACTCCATGGACTGTATACACACACACACACACACACACACACAATGCAAATATTACTGTTGTGAAAGAAAATTACCTGCTTTTTCATATGCAGACTGCAGCATTAGAGGCTGTGAGACAATGGTGGGTTGCTCACTTGACAATTTTAACTACCTTATCGAGTATCGCCCTGGAAGGGACCATACTAATACTAATGTTCTGTCTAGGCTTCCAGTTGCCCCAACCGATCCTAACCCTAACCCCCAAGCTGACCAGAAGTGTCAGCATGGTCTGCATGAAATATATAAAACAACAAAACAGCATTAGTAAAAACCTTTCTAATAATATGACATTATAATACAATAATATGCCATTTAGAGGGAAGCTGATCAGTTCCAAGACATATAAACACCACAGGATCCATTTCCTAGTATTTCTACAAGATTCATCAGAACATTGTATATATATAAAATTGTAATATGTATAATAGTAGGAAGCGTTACCTCATATTCCTGAGAGAAGCGCAGACTATCATTGGCCTTTAGTCTCTCTATATGGTCTGCCAGGTCACAGATTGCAATGGGAGGATGCTCCCTCATCCCTGCACCAAAAGGATAAGTGGTAAGTATAGTCCATCACACACACACACACACACACACACACACACACACACACACACACACAGTGGACAATACAACCAGAAAGCACATGTATGTTGAAGGCTCAGAGCTAACTGATCACAGTGATATGGTGCAACAGTGAGAGAGTTATGGGGTGAGCAGAGGGATGTGCAGCTCTTCAATAGCATGCTATAGCCACACCGGTGATACGAGTCAAAGATCATGCTGATTGGTTGAAAGAATCCCATAAAGCAATAGGTCATTGGGAAGGTGTCACATGTGTGGTTGGGGTGTTACATACAGAATCTTACACTCATATTTGTTTCTATATATCTCTGATATATTGATGTCTTACTACTTTATTTCACTCGCCATCTCTCAGTTTTGATGACAACCATTTGGTGTAAATGGCTGTCGTGGACAGACCATGAGAAGAGGAGGTGAATGGATTAATTAAGAGGGCTCTAGTTCAAATGGCTGCTGTGTAAACAGAAAGGGAAGGAGGCAAGAATAGGAGAAAACATTAGTAAAACACAAGAGGAATGAAAACTAACTTGGAGTGTTTGGGCAGCTGAGGGCACTGGAACCTGTGGGGGAAAGACCAGGCAAAACAAACAGCACAGGGGTCAGTTAGGAGAAGACAGAAAAAAGAAAAGAACACAGGGAGAACTGAGAAAACAGCTGTATAAGTCTGTCCTCTGCACTGTTCTTTATGCATCTGTAGTAAATCTCATTATTATATTTTAAATCTCAAATATTCATTGCATCCTTGCACAGATGAAGTGACTTTGTGATGAAGTGTTTAGCCATGCCAGCAGGGTGGCTCTAGGGATGACAATGTTGATCACTGGTTGTTGGTCAGTTGATCAGTCCACCACCTAAAGTCATGGTTACTTTATGTTTCTCTCCAAAACAATGTACCTGCATTCCGCTCTGAAAAAAGTGATGTCACGTTTCTGATGCGGGTATTAAATAAACATTGATCAGAGCAATCAAAAACTGTAAAGAGTTTATGGGAGCGACATTACAGTTTGTAGTCAGTTAGTGTGATGATATATACAATGACACAAAATGCTAGAATAATACAATTATAAACTAATAGGTGTACTAGTAAATGAACTAATATCAGATTATGATATGGATTTATTTTGTCTTACTGAAACCTGGCTGGGTGATGGAGAATATGTTAGCCTAAATTAATCCACCCCTCCCAGTCATATTAATACTCACATTCCTCGAGGCACAGGCCGAGGAGGTGGAGTTGCAGCTATCTTCCACTCTAGCCTACTAATCAGCACTAAACCTAAACTAAACTATAACTCATTTGTTCTTAGTCTTTCACACCCAAGTTGGAATTCAATTCTCTTCGTTATAGTGTACCGAGCACCTGGCCCGTACTCTGAATTCTTATCTGAATTTGCAGAGTTTTTGTCAACTTTAATCCTTAAAACGGACAAAGTTATTATTGTAGGGGATTTTAATATTCATCTGGACATGTATCTCTCTATTAGATTCAATTGGCTTCTCTAAAAAGTGTTCATAAACCGACACACTGTTTTAACCACACCCTCGACCTTGTTTTGGTGTATGGTACTGAAATTGAACATTTAGTGGTGTTCCCACAGAATCCCTTTTTTATCTGAACACTGTTTGATAACTTTTGAGTTTGTATTGCTGAACTACACCTAACTTCCATTAGGCAAACATTTCTATAGGAGATGTCTATCTGATAGTGCTGTAGCTAAATTTAAGGATGTGATTCCATCAGCTTTTAATTCATTATCAAGTCACAAAGTAACGGATGCCAGCAGCGTACTACTCGTCATTAATAGAGGAAAAAAATAGGAACAACCCCAGGTTTCTTTTCAGCACTGTAGCCAGGCTGACAGAGAGTCACAGCTCTATTGAGCCAAGTATTCCCATAGCTCTCAGTAGTTACGATTTCATGAGCTTCTTCAATGAAATATTCTAAGTATTAGAAACAAAATTCACCAAGACCTGTCCTCAACTGGCACCGACTTATCTCTAAACTCAGGAACTTTAGAAACAGCTGTAGAACCAGATATATGTTTAGACGGTTTTGCTTCCCTCAATCTTTACCAACTAACTTCAATAATTTCTTCATCTAAACCATCAACCTGCCTCTTAGACCCCATCCCGACTACGCTGCTTAAAGATGTTTTACCCTTAGTCAGCACTTCTATACTAGATATGATCAATGTATCTTTATCAACAGGCTATGTACCACAGTCCTTTAAAGTAGCTGTAATTAAACCTCTTCTGAAAAAGCCCAAACTTGATCCGGATGTTTTAGCCAACTATAGACCTATATCTAATCTTCCATTTCTCTCTAAGGTTCTGGAGAAAGCAGTTGCTAAACAGCTGTGAGACTTTCTACAGAGCAATAGTTTATTTGAGGATTTTCAGTCGGGATTTAGAGCTCATCATAGCACAGAGACAGCACTGGTGAAAATTACTAACGACCTCTTAATTGCATCATATCCAATTACAGAGACTGGAACATTTCATTGGCATTAAAGGAACCGCTCTAAGCTGGTTTAAGTCCTATTTATCAGATCAATCTCAGTTTGTAGATCCAAAGTAAAACTCCCGTTTCACTCCCGTATTTTTCCTCCCGTGATGCATTATCTAAAGATATAGTTTCCCTTGATGGCATCGCCTTGGCCTCCAGCACCACTGTGAGGAATCTTGGAGTTATCTTTGATCAGGACATGTCGTTTAAGTCTCACATTAAGCAAATTTCAAGGACCGCCTTTTTTCACCTACGTAATATTGCGAAAATCAGGAACATCCTGTCTAAAAATGATGCAGAAAAACTAGTCCATGCATTTGTTACTTCTAGGCTGGATTACTGCAATTCCTTATTATCAGGCTGCTCGAAAAAGTCCATTAAGACTCTTCAGCTGATCCAGAATGCTGCAGCACGTGTTCTGACAGGAACCAGGAAAAGAGATCACATTTCTCCTGTTTTAGCTTCTTTGCATTGGCTTCCAGTAAAATCCAGAATAGAATTTAAAATCATTCTTCTTACCTACAAAGCTCTTAATGGTCAGGCACCATCTTATCTTAAAGAGCTCATAGTACCTTACTACCCCACCAGAGCACTGCGCTCCCAGAATGCAGGGTTACTTGCATTTTCACATCAACATCAAATATTACCAAATTGAACACGTACTAATCAGTAAACAGTAAAAGTTGTACATTTAATGTTCTACTCAAGTAAAATAACATTAGTACTTATTTGGTACTAACCATAACTGTCAAATAAAATGTTGTGGAGTATTTGCATTATTTATATAGAAGTGAAATAAATTTATACATAATGGAAATACTAAATTACAGTAAAGCGTCTTTCACAGTTTTGACTTCATAGTATGAGTAAAGATGATATCATCTGTCAGTTTATTTGTGTTTGTTGTGAATACACTGGAAGTTACAGAGACTCCTAAGCCACCCAGTTAGCTTTCAATGCCAGGGAACTAAGTTTGGCAGTCAAATGAGTTGATGAATTTATGTTGGTGTAAACAACATCTGCCAGATTCCCTCCTACTGCTACAAGAGGTAAAGGCCACCCCTCTGATTGAGAGAGGAACATGGACAGAAAACAATGACAAACTGTGAGTTTAAAACCTCCCACTGAAAGACAGAGAGAAGAGAAGAAGTTGTATGGGTGTAGGAGAGACACAGATAAAAGTAACTGGTAATAAGTAAAATAGTCAGAAAGGAGAGTGACTGAGGACAAAAAAACAAAGTAAAGCAGAGAAAGTTACAGGGCCAAAAAGGCTGCATAGGGGAGAGGTGGGGGTGGGCAGATGGATGAACAAAACATCTGACTTACATACATACAAGACACCGCTCTTCGTTTCCAACTGACAGTCAACATTGTCTTTTTTTTTAAAGCATGGCCATGATCATCCTCTAATCTTAACCACGTTTTTACTATTGTAACTATGACTATGAAGGTCCCCTAACCTTAATGATGCACTTGTTTTTTAACACTTTCCCTTACTGTAACCACAGGCTGTCTGCCACAGAAAAACGACCATATAGGTTGTTTTAGCCCCACAAAATTATGCATTTACATTTATTGTGGCAACAACATCTAGTGGCCGTACAACGCAAACACATGACAAAGACAGTCACGTGCTATAAATAGCCTTAAAGTTGTGTTTTGGTGGTGGTGGATAGGGTGGATGGATAGTAAGTTAGCTGCTTTTCAGCTGCTTTTTTCATGTCTGCGTAATCAGAATGATCAACAGCTTCATTGAAAAATATTTGGTTCTTTTATAAAAAGTCCTGCCAAAAGCCAGATTCAACCAGTAGTTTTATGCTGATCTAACCTGTAGAAATCCTCTAACTGTGAGCCATATAACATTGCCTCTGGAAAAAATTAATGTTATTCCAGATGCGGGGTGTCCAAATTGCTCCAGCTACTTCACAACTCTATAGTCTGGCTCTCCCTGCAGTTTTTGCATTTGAGGTACAATAATATTTTGAGAATATCTGCACAGTATGTAAGAACCAGAGACATACACCTAAGTAGATACAGTATCTGTCAGTATTATTATGACCACAAACCGTGCACATTTATAGGGTACAACAGAAAGATCATTTTGGGACATTTGTTTATATGTGTGTGTGTGTCTGTGCCCATGCCTTGTGTCTGATAGTTGAGTCTCCTCATCTCCACAGGGTCTGAGGAGTGGGCAAGCAGAGAGTCCTTGACCCCCGCCATGTGCTCGTCCTTGGCTGGAGATGTTCGTTTCCTGGGGGAAAGAAGAAGTGGCATGAATAGAGAAGGTAACTATGTGCCCAAGGCCAAATCAGTGACAATTTGAAAATGAAATCTTATTTAATTCTTTACATTTTCTTTTTTTCTTACCAAGAGCAAAAGTAACTTGTGTGTTTTTAGGTCTAAATGGAGATTCCATCAGGTTATTGAAAGGCTCAGGGCCATCTATTTCTGCAGTATGGTAGTACACTATAATATACTAATAAATCAGATTTATTTTTAAACCGTTACTGTGAATAATTTCTAGACATTTGATAGTTGCTTTCCATACATTTGACAGTTGACATACTGTGCGTCATGAGTAAATGCTGTGTGCTCTAAATGCTGCTGAAGTGAGAGGTGATTCCCTGTTTGGTAAGTACATGTCCCTCGTCTGAGTTATGGAAGTGAGGACCCATGGTGAATGTCCCTTTGTTGTGTGTGTTTCCACTGTGGGCTAAAGATCTGGAAAAATAAGGCCAATTACTCCACTGTTCTTACTCTGACGTATGAAATGTACGCCATACAAAGAGGCAACGTTATTTATGCAACAGTAACCATGGAGGACATTCAAGTTGTGCTGCTGTTGTTCGTGATATGTTATGGGAATTTTGGTCAGAGTCAATGGTGGAAAAGAGACAAGCAATAGTAGCAAAGCAGATTCAAAATGCCTGATGTGGTAGACCCAGTTCATACTACACGATTTTAAAATCGTGTAGTGTGTCAGGCTGTAATCAGGGGTAAATCAGCGATCGATCGGTGACCGCCGGTCGCTATGTGTGAACTACTCAACGCATCAAAAAGGCTCTTTTTACTCACCTCCAACTCTCTCTGTAGGTCATTTTCAAAAAATTTTAATTTGGCAATTGTTTGAAGGTTCAGGCTTTATAGGGCTAGTACATTCATTTCTGATACACTTATTGAATACTGTCAACTCTTTAAAAGCTGTGACGTAGTACCTTGTACCTTTTAATGGGAGTTATGTCAGAGGTAACACGTGTTTTGGCAATGAAGCCGGAAAAAACAGATAAAAAACCAAAGTGTAGCGAAGTTTGAAGGAACTAAAAAAACGAAAAAAAAAGCACAACCAGTTGTTTTTACATTTCTGTTTATGTACAGATTAGACAAACAAGATACAACATGTTGAGCTTCAGGTTGTGGTCACACCTACCTTTGTTTAGTTTGGTTGAACCAAACCCTCTAGCTTGGTGCCGTTTTTTAGGATTGGTGTGAACGCTGGACAGAAACTCTGGTGCGGACCATAGTCCGCCTCAAAGAGGTGGCCTCAGACCACTGTCAAGTCAGTATTATTACTGTACTTTTTAATGTTATATTGTTGTTACTTATAATATTTAATGTTTATCAAAATACGTTACTCATTTCACCAAGTACGTTTTCACTGTTTGCTAATTTGCCTTGGTGTTTGGTACATACAACAAACACATTACAAGGAAATCAAAAGAAAGCCAAACTACTGCAGCAGTCAAGAACAGAAGGTGGCGGCAAACCTGTCAAACGATAACACGAGCTCGGGGAGGACAGAAACCTCCTGTGAAGAGGAGGCTAATACTCGCTTGATCTTGATTTACAGTATGAAAATAGAAATCTATAAATGTCTCTATAGTCTGCTGAAGTGCGATGCAGACCAACACCAAAATGAACTTGACGGTGCTCCATGATGTATAATATCCAGGTCAAAATTTGGAGGCGTTTGTGGTCTTTTTACCCACTGACTGAATGACTAATAACACTATGTAAAACCAGAGTGATTTCCTATTTGCTTATGCCTTAAAAGTATAGAAAAGGCTATTAATTCCCACAAACTTTCCTTTTGTGACCAGGACAGTGATATTTTGAAATGTACCCAATGAGATGGGCAAATTTGTGTCTTTTTGTTCAATAAAGCTGAGTTTTTGGCTTTGCAAACCAGACCAGCTGGGAAATTGAAACAAGGTATAAACCTTGCGTTAAAAATGGGCGAGGATAACTAGGAGTTAATTTAAGCCTGAAACTGAGAGGGTTGAGTTGCTATATATATATGTGTATATATACACATATATTTACAAAACAGCCTCAGAATTGAGCTTCAGAGCCATGTTTTGTTTACAATAAGAACATGTTTTTTTTATATATAAAAAATTGCTATATTTACACATACAGATATTGACACATTTTAGTCTGATGATAAAAAGTATATTATTTGTACCGGATACTCGTTTCAGCTGAGTACTCGCTTAACCCTGATTCCCACCTACAGTATTTTTGAAAATGGAGTTTTTGCTGTTTAACACAGTGTCATATTATCTTTGACATCGCTTGACAAAAGCACATTTTGAAGTGAAAGCATAAATTTAAAACATTGGTATTTACAAGGCAGAAAATATTAATATGAAGCAAAACAAAATCTGTGATGTGAATTTAGCAGGAGAATGTGACAAAATTGCATTGTATGTGGGCAAGTTATTTTATAAAAGCAGAATTTAACAAAGCCACTGCGCATGGATACAATAAATCAATATGTAAGTATACGGGTACAGGCTTAATATACAGAAATGTGTAACCTCCGTAACCATATGTTAATTGGGATGGAAATTGTATTACATATTTAGGGATCAGAATACCACTCTCTACTACTATACTCTGAAATAAAAAAACTAAAATTGGAAGACGTTTCAAAAAAGGAAAAATTATAAGAAAGCAAAAAATGGAGGACATCTGTACTGAGACTCATATAACAATTGCTCCACACTTTCTGGTGAGCACATGCTTGAAAAAGGCAGTATTTTATTACCCCAAATAAATATGCTAAGTATGCTGTGTCTGCATCTTCAAGTGGTGGGGGTAATGTGGAGAAATCCATTCAAATATCACCCACATATTTTAGTCATGTGAAATGTTAAAATCATATTGGCGTGGTGTGAAAAGAGAAGCAGAATGTATTATGAAAAATTCTATGATATTGTTAGGGGTCCAAGCAGCAAAGCTCACTGCTGGAGTCCTATTGCTTTTGTTCAGGCAGTCAGTATGTATTATGTAGGTCAGGCAGGTAACACAGACAGTGGAGTGAAAAGGGTGTGGTGATGTCAGTCATTAGCGTGAAGCGTGAAGGGTTCAGTGGTAAAGAAAGCATTGAGGGAGGATTATTCTGACAGTAAGATAAGTGGGATTTGTGAGTGGGGGGGGGGGATTGGGTTGAAGTGGTGTAAAAATGGACAGAGGCACTAACCTTTCTTGTTTGCTGCATCCACAGAAAGCAGGCAGACAGAAAACACAGGAGCAGAGAAAGAAAGGATTCATTTACATGTTGTCAGCAGCGTGGATGCCACACACTGTCACAGCGAACAGGAAGTGACCCTGACAGAGCTCATTAGAGCACCTTACTTACTACACCTACTCCTCCCTGTGGTCTTATTTGATCCACAGCCAGCTGAACAGCTTCTCCTTCCAGCTGAGAATTTTAGCTTACACCAGTCTTCTTTTATTACTTTTAATAGTCAGTTTGATACACACTACACAGTATGGGGGTGTAAGTAGATAAGACGGATGCTTTTGGTGTGGGAAACCTGGGTTCAATTTTCCCACTGTGAAATCCACCAATCTGGCTCTGAGCAAGACATTTAACCCCTCCAGAGGGGTGCGACCTCTGACATGTATAGCAATTGTAAGTCACTTTGGATAAAAGCGTTAGCTAAATGACAAATTATTATTATACCATCAAATAAATTGTAGTGCAGTTCCCATGAACAAATACGGCAAAGTTATTAATTTATTTATACATTTACATTGTTTTAGACAAACACAGTGACCTGGAATAAACCTGGCTTCATGACTGTGGTCCTGACCTGAGTCAGAGATGAGCTTTGTACTCAGAGATTTAAGTAATGTGAAACCGTTTTATTGATTTCTGTTCCTCTGCCTGTCCTCATATCAACATATTGGCAGCTTTATTCAGAGCAGCTCTGAATGCTCCTAAAAATCCTGAAGAGTCTAAACTTTTTTTTTTCTTCTTTCTTTTTCTTCAACCCTTCATTTGTGTTTATGGAAGCAGAGTGAGCTTGGGACAGGAATCCTATTACTTTTCCACAAAACATGAAAAAGATTTAGCAAAATACACACAGAAACAGGAAGACATTGAGAGCTCCTACATTGTACACGTCCTTAAACCTAAACGACTAAATAGGTCTGTTGCAAAACAACAATAACAATAAATGTCTTTGGAAAGTACAACAAACGACTGTTCCCCAAAACGACGTGTATGAGTACTGTCAAGTATCTGTCCAATGACAGGCATACCAGACCTTATGTAAGTCACATGTTTCAAATGTGGTAAACATTGTGAAATGTTCGTAGCTTGGTTAGGCTTAGGCAACAAAACCACTTGGTTAGGTTTAGAAAAAGTCTGGGTTTGGATTCAAATAAGTACATTACATAATTCACGTACAAAACATTATTTAACTTAAAACTTTAAATATATCAGCTTTGACTTTCTGTCAGAGGACGGACTGTGCACTTTACACACTATTTTAACGCAAACAGATCATATTTGGTGGGAAAACTACTGGATTACCACTGGAAGCTAAAATAAATAGTGTCTATTGCTTCATATATTCAAATTAAGCAGGGCAGGGGAGAAGGGAAAATAAGAAATATGGCTCGTAAGAAGTTAGTAGTTATACTAATAAGTTCTTCACAAAGGGAGCAAAAAAAACCAAAACACACAAGATATAAAACGGTCTGTTTTTAAAAGAAAACAGAAAAAAACAAAAACTTTTAAAGGAAGTAAAAGACAGTTAAACCTCAAGTAAAATTAGGAAAGTATGTTTTAAGAAAGGACAAAGGAGTTTGCTGACTCAGCAGACTTGATTTCCTCAGCGCCCTGACTACAACTGCTCTGTCCCCTTTTGTCTTCAACCAGGACTCTGGAACAGCCAAGAGACCTATGCCTGAGGATGTCAGAGTACGTGCTGGTGGGTACTGGACTAATAGTCAGATATATAGCAGGGTGAGAGGTTATGAAGAGCCTTAAAAGTTTCCAGTAAAATATTTTATTATTTTTTTCAACTTTTGTATATTAAAACATACAGAAGCTAAAACATGTGAACATGTTTCTTTGTTCTGTTTCTGTAGCATGGACTTAATGAGTTCTAGACAGTCTGGAATCAATCAATAGATTTTTCAAGTGAGTAAAAAGGCTGTTAATCCAGCTGTGATGAGATGAAGGCATGTAAAATGGACTTGGTGTCTTTAAAAGTTATTTTTGATATATTTCTAAGATGGTAAAAACACAATTGCACAAGTGTTGTTGTGCGCTGCTTAGAAATTAAATAACTGTCAGGCTTGGCTTAAATACCAGGCTTGACATGATCCACTAGGGAACCAGCACATGCCAAAATTTGCTTTGCCATGTGCTGGGTCCCAATGACAAGGAGCTCTGTTTTGTTGTTCAGCTGGAGGACATTTTGACATTCAGTTTTTGATGGGTCCTTGGATCTGACATGGAGGTACACCTGTGTATCATCGGCATAAAAGAGCCAAAGGGGAAGCATGTATAAAGAAAATAACAGGTCCCAAAACGGAAACACCATACTTATTGGAGAGTATTAATAATTTTAATAGTATTTTTTATATATATATATATATATATATATATATATATATATATATATATATATATATATATATATATATATATATACACACACACGTGCATCTTCCTGATGTACACCTGGATCTTTGTCGTTTCATCCTGGACAGTGGTCTTGACACTCACTAGCCCTCGGCCTCCCTCGCTGCGCTTGGTGTACAGTCTCAGGGTACTGGATTTGGGGTGAAACCCTCCATGCATTGTGAGGAGCCAATTTGTTTGTTGTTTGTTCTATGTCCATCCATGAGTAGTCCAGGGGGTTTTGATTGGTCCATTTTGAGATATATTGTAGTCTACTGGACAGGAAGTAATGGGAAAATTTGGCAGTTCCAAACCACCACAATCTTTTGCTTATTTGCCGAGTTTTTAAACTGATTCGTGAGGGTTTATTTTTCCACAAAAAATTTAGAGGAGCAACTTAAACCAGACAGCAGAAGGTTGGGTGGGTAACATCTCTCTGCAGAATGCTAAAATTTGCTGGCAAATATTTTTTCCATTATGAGTCATACCATTTAATAACACATTCAGTGACCTCCAAAATGCATTTTCACAAAGCTTAATACATTATGGGATCAGTTCCTTTGTCCCCACTATGTCATTTTTTTTTTTCAAACAGAGTTTTATTGTCTATTGATACCAAGACCGTAGTCAATGGCAAACCTTAACCTTGTTTAACCTATTTTATATTCCTTGTGATGGACTACCCAACTCAAGCAAGTTTCAAGCCCTGAAAGTTGAAATAGTGTACTTAAACAAATGGAAGTGACTGGCTGCTTTGAAGGAAAGGAAACACATTCAGCAATCTACAACGGTATTATGTTTAGGAACATGTGGGGCAGTAATGTAATAAATATTTGATTTATAAGAATAAAAGATAAAACATCAACTTGAGTTGTAGATGCCTTCCTCATAGATCCACTAGTACTAATATTACTGTACAAATTCAGACACATCAAGAGAGAACAAGAGAAAAAGGAAGAATGAGAATAAGAGTGTTTAGCAGCACAGTAGCCATATGGAAGCCCCGTCAGCAGCTCCAGATGTTTGACTCCAGCACAGGAAGCCAACTGTTAGTTTGGAAGAGCAGGGCTGCAGGGCAACTCACAGCGCCTTTCTCCCATATGCCATGGAGGACCTTTACCTTCAGGCTGGCTCACCCAAGACGGATGTCTGTCTCTACTCTAAAATACTCCATTCCGACCATTTCTTGGTGCCTGATTTCTTAAAATCGTTCGTAAAATGTTCTTGGCTGTGCTAAAATGATCACACAGATGATATGAGGAGGAACACAGTGAACATGCACTGCCTTCAAGGTACACTGAAACGATTCCTGTCTTTTATAAAATATGACACAAAAGGAATATGTGTATCCTTAAACTACTGTTTAATGGTATTTCACAATGAGTGGGTGAGTGCAAACATGTTTACAGCTGATTGATGTGTATTATTAACCCCCTAACAGAACTTAAAGGGATGCGATTCTGCAGAGAGTTTGTTGATAAACAAACTCATGAATGCGCATTGCCATGGTAACCAGTCCTATTCTGCTGAAATATAGCTCAATCCACAGCGTCTGCTGTCCGAGAGCATGTTTTAGCAGTACTGTAGAAGGTGTGACAACAAGACTGTCAATATTTAAATATGTATTGAAGCAAAATACTTTTCTAAGCCTAAATCTAAGACACGGAGTCTAGTTTCTTTATCGGTGGGATTATCGATCGGAACTTCAATAGTTACAATTAGTGAACAAACATCATGAAACAAACAACATGTAAGCACACAAACGCAGCATCCAAAACACAACAGAGTAAAAAAACTAGCAAGTTATTTGAAGCAGTTTGTACAAAAATACAGTTAATTGTGAAGCACAGGGGCGACTGTTTATCTCCAAGTCGATGCTAACTTTGGGGCTAACCATGGGCGTAAATCACAGCTAACAGTAGGGGGGGGTCAATAAACATTTTTGAGGGGGACACAAATAATACAGCCAAAATTGTATAGGATATGTGTACACAGAGAGAAGTCTTACTATTATTTTTCTGGCCAACAACACAAAGTAATAGTTGTTTAAGTTTGACTTAAGTTCATAGGTTCACCACACAGCCATATTATCCAAAATAACTTGCGTCCTCTAGGCTCTTCTGGGATAGAGGATGTCTCTTACATACCTATATTAGATATTTAAGGGCAGCAGGCTAACTGATCTGCCACTTAACATCATAATGCGCAAAACCCAACACAATGGTAGATCTATGGCATTAGCCTAATATCGGTTCACATACAGGATTATCGCTGGAGTAAGAGATGCACAGATTACAGTTTTCCTGGCTGATTCCAGTTACTGATTTTTCTAATTGTCTGACCTGCCGATTCTAATTTTGGCCGGTTCCGATTTAATTTCTTTCTAAGATCTATAACTGACAACATACACAAACATTTTTGTAACTATTTATTGAAAAATCTATTTTTATTAGGATCCCCATGAGCAGCCTGTTTATAACGTCCAATGTCACCGGCAGAAAATTGGATATTTGACGCTGCTCGGCCCTGGTCACTGGTCGGAGCTGAGTACGCAAAAATAAACGGCCTATTTCAGTCCCCAGCTGATCAATCTGCGCATCTCTAGCTGTAGAAGACGAGTTAAATATAAATGCTCCGTATATGTATAGCGCCTTTCTAGTCTTTTTGACCACTCATAGTGCTTTTACACTACATCTGCATTCACCAGTCACACACATTCATACACTGGCAGAACAGCCGCCAGGGGCAATTCGGGGTTCAGTATCTTGCCCAGGGACACTTTAACACCGAACATTGAACCGCCGACCTTCCGATTAATGGCCAACCCGCTCTACCTCCTGAGCCACAGCCGCCACAAAAAGCTGTTAAACAAGCTACCAAATAAGCTAGGTAATGTTATAATAAGAGAGTGGGCTCATGGAAAAATAATAGCTTATCAGATGTTAACACAGGTCATCCCCTCACCTGGTCAAATAACTTGTTTCACAATTCCTCAGACATTTCCCTCTGTGGCTGTTTCTCAGCCATCTTCACAGCTAATGTTCTGTAAGAATTCCAGTGTGTTCGAATGTGCCGCTTTTTGTTTGCATTCTCTCTCCCACTGCTTCCAGCGCACCACAGCCACCTGCTGCTCGCTCAGAGCAGCTTTGTTTGTGCTTAATTTACAGACCCAGGGCTGTGTAGGAAAACCAAATTTAACAACAAGTCTATTGGATAAGAATCGCAAAGTATCCCTTTAAAATCATTGAGATTCACTGATAGATAATGTTGTATTTGCACTTTTACTACAATTTTTACTCTTAGATAGATTAAATTTTGCTGTAGGGAAAATTCTGCTGACTTTTTTGCAGGGCCTTTTCTCTCCCCAGATTTATCTTGTATTTCTGCCTGGTGAAATTTTAGGGTGGAAAGTGAAATTGAACCTTTTGTGTGCACCATGGGTCATTAGGTGCTTTTGGCTATATATAAACTATATACAAAAAAATTCTGTCTGTATTTTTCACATCACAATTAACAGGCAACAATATGACCAATGTGTGAGGATATCTTGAGCAAACAGTGTGGCATTTTCCACAAGTCAGCAGTTACCTTCACTTTCACTATCACAATTTTAGGGCGTGTTGCTTCAAGTCAAAGAGAGCGTCCAAATAAATTATTTATAACATTGGGGAATGCTTTGTGTTTTTAAAAGGTAAAACATAAGGTTCCCACCTTACTATTTTTTCTACAGTTCCTTGTCATATGCAAGGTTTCTATGGTGGATGAACATTTAAAATTATGCATGTTACTGTATTTATTTACAAAAAAGCAAAAACATATCAAAGTATCTATCCAAGTCTTCTATTTTGTGTGTCAGACTCACCTCTTGAAGAGAAGAATAGCAATAACTATGATGATGATGAGAATGACAGCCAGCACTGGACCCATAACCCAAAGCATCTCTGGGTCCTCAGTTTGTCGGGTCATCCCACTATGGAGCTTCACCGTGATGGGCTCAGAGAACGGGCTGGCCGCAAACATCCTCTGCTTCAAATGAACGGAGAATGAACCAGAGTCAGTTCACAGTCACTTAGTTATACACAACACAACCGACTACATCACAACATAATAGAATCAACCTCACCATACTGAGACAAAATGTGACTATCCCGCACTTCACCCCCTGTCAAATCATCATTAATCTGGAAAGCTAACAATAGTCTGCGCACACAAACACACGCACTTACTAAATAACACACTCGGACATCGGTAATGTTACTGTAAGTGCTCTTGTGTTGGTTGCTATCTAGCTTTGTTGGCTTGCCATCCAAGTTTCAATCAACATTATGCTGCTGCTGGTGGAGAGCGGCACTCTATGGATGTAACTTCAGCTAATGGTAGATGCGAAGACCGAAGAAGATGCTGATGGACGAAGCTATGAAGAGAGTCTAAAAGAGAGAGACCAAGCAAGAGGCTGCTGGACATTGTGGAGAGCTTCGTGAAATAAATGGCTGCAAAACAGATGACATTCTTTCTGTTGGACTAATCAGTAATATTGCTGTGTCTTGTGTTCATCTTACATAATGTTGCTTTAATGAAAAAGTCAGGATTAATGTGCTGTCAACCATCACCTAGAGGTTTACTAAAAGAATAGTTTTGCATTAATGTTTGACATTAATTAATTAATGATAATGACATTTTAGTGCTCAGTTTGATGTGCTGGATGCTGGTATGTACAGCTCTTTGTGGCTAGGGAGGAAGGAAGAAGCACAGTGAAAGATACGTATCAGTCACATCCTTTGTGGACAAATCCAGTAATGCAGACAACTTCACTATGCCTTCTGGACAGCAGTGGAGCCTTGAGGCCAGGCTTGGCTTTTTACCTGAGCAGCTGCTTTTCTATTACAGAGTAGGGTAAAGATTCAAGTGTGTCATCAGCTGACATATTAACTTATATATATGCAAGACATAATAAATTTTGTGACATATTCTCCCACTGCAATGAACGGTGTAGTTTATTGTGAAACAACTCTGCGACTGTATTTACAATCTCTGCAGGGTAGATTTGTGTTGGGCAGATGTTGTTTGTCTGCTTGTTTGTCTGACTATTTCTTCATTTTTCAGTTTTTTTGTGTAAATTAGTGATTTTATGTTTCTTCTTGCTATAGCACCAGCAATTTGGTAGGCCACGGAAATGTCTTGATTACTGTGGCTACTTGTCACAATTATATGTTTTGACCAGTCAGTCCTCAATACAAAATAAGTCCAAATATGAACAGAAGTTTGCTCTTGTCAGTTATCATAAAATGTCACATAATTTCCCCCATGAATTGAATGATTTTGCTACTGTTGCTGCTCAAAGGAGTATATTTCACTACTGTGAAAGACAGGTCAGAATGGATGAACCTCAGATATGCTGACTTTTAGTCCCCAGCATTATGATTCAAACTCTAAGGGTGCTTTCACACCTGTAAATTTGGCGATTGACATTGTCAGGACCCAAGAGGGGAAATCAAATTCTGGTGACTGACAGAAGTTTACGCAGCACCTAAATGCTTCTGTTGTGTATATTTCTGTTCTGTCAAGAGCTCACAAAGAAATAACTCATTATAAGCATTATTACCACATGTTTTGAATAATGACGTAAAGACAGAACGAAGAGGTGTCTTGCACAGTAATGAGTCGGAGCTTATTACTGTGGGATCACTGTCATACAGTTTTTAATGGACTTAATAAACTGACAAGCTACATGGAGTACAAGCACAACATTTTTAACAGATTTTGACCTATTAATTATGGAATACAAACCGTGCTGACAGGTAAACATGGTTAGCAATTAAAATGATTTGCATAAATATATACATGGCTTAGTCACATTAATTATAAGATGACTTCCTGAACTGATTTTGTAATCAGCAGATGGATTTATTAATAGTTTAGCTTTTCTGGCTATCTGCTATCATAAAATCCTGTGGGTGGTTTGTTGAATTTCACATTCCAAGCAAACTGCAGTCTCTCTGCTGTGGTTTGTTTCGCACTAGAGTTTGATTGACAGCTTTCACATCAGTACAAACGAACTGCACTAACTGTAAAAACGCACCAGGGTTCTTTTATATTGAAGTTGGTGTTAAAGCACCCTTAATGCTGAACCTTACATGCAACCAATAGCATCAATTTTGTTAGACCCTCCCTGTTAGGAAAGGCCCAGATATTTAAAACTCCACACCCTACTTTGTAATACAGGATATCTGTTATTAATGTGTAGAAAATTACTAATGATCTTCTAATTGCATCAGACATAGGACTTGCCTCTGTACTGGTCTTATTAGATCTTAGTGTTGCATTTGATACAAGTGACCATCAGATCCTATTACAGAGACTGGAACATTTCATTGGCATTAAAGGAACCGCTCTAAGCTATTTATCAGATCGATTTCAGTTTGTACATGTTAACGATGAGTCCTCCATGCATGCCCAAGTTAGTCATGGAGTTCCACAAGGATCTGTGCTCGGACCACTTGTTCACTTTATATATGCTTCCTTTAGGCATTATTATCAAGAAACACTCTGTAAACTTTCATTGTTATGCAGCTGATAATCAATTACATCTATTGATCAAGCCAGATTAAACTAATCAGTTGGCTAAACTTCAAATGTGCCTTCAGGATGTTAAAACCTGGATAAGCTGCAATTTCCTAATGGTAAACTCAGATAAAACTGAAGTCATTGTACTGGGGCCCAAGCACCTCCGTGACGCTTTATCTAAAGATATAGTTACTCGGGATGGCATCACCCTGGCCTCTAGCACCACTGTGAGGAATCTTTGAGTCTTTGATCAGGACATGTCCTTTAACTCTCCAGTTTGGGTTCAGGAGGCAGACACCATCTCCACATTTAAGAGTAGGCTTAAGACTTTCCTCTTTGATAAAGCTTATAGTTAGGGCTGGCTCAGGTGAGTCCTGAACCATCCCTTAGTTATGCTGCTATAGATGTAGAATGCCGAGGGACTTCCCATGATGCACTGAGCTCCTTTCTCCTCCTCTTTCTCCTTTGTATGCAACCTCATCCCATTAATGCATGTTACTAACTTGACTTCTTCCCTTTAGTCTTGTGCTTTCTCGTCCCTCTCCTCTCTTCTCCTATCACTTTATGCAGGGGTTTCTGGCTCTGGAGCTGTGGAGTCTGGATCTGTGGTTGCAAGTCGTCTGCTGCCCCCGTGTTCCTGCTTGACACCCTCGGCTACAATTGTTTTAAGTAGTCTTTTTCTTATTATAATTATCATTAACATTACTATAATTATCTTTTATGTTTACTGTCTGTATTTCTGTGTGGATACAGTGTTGGCTACTCCCCCCTACCCCCCAGCCCTCTCTCCCTCTTTCTTGCTATCTCTCTCAACCTCTCTCTCTATCTCTCCCTCTCGCTCTCTCCTCTAACCCCCAACCGGTCGAGGCAGATGGCCGCCCACCCTGAGCCACGGTTCTGCTTGAGGTTTCTGCCTCTTAAAAGGAAGTTTTTCCTTGCCTCTGTCGCCTAGTGCTTGCTCATGGTGGGAACTGTTGGTTCTCTGTAAATAATAGCACAAAGAGTATGGTCTAGACCTGCTCTTTTATGAAAAGCTATATGAGATAGCTATTGTTATGAATTGGCGCTATCTAAATAAAATTGAATTGAATAGTCGCTGATATGCCACAAGTCAAGTCAAGTCAATTTTACTTATTAAGCACATTTAGATACAACCAAGTGCTTAACAAAGTTATACAATAAAAAAACAGATAAAAATAAGAGGCCAATCAATTTATGACACAAACAAAAAATATAAAACAAGACAGTAAAAAACAGATGAGCAGATGACAGATAAGCACCAATGTCCCTAAACAGACTCAAACGTCAAAGAATAAAAATGCTAAAAGACCTAAGTTTCTCAGTGGTGGGGGATGATCTGATAATCAAGGGTAGTTTATTCCACAGTCTTGGGGCCACCACTGAAAAGGCACCATTGCCCTTTGTTTTCATACTGTGGAACGGCTAAAAGGGATTGGTTTAATGATCTGAGGTGTCTGGAAGAGTGATAAAACGTTAGGAGATCAGAAATATAAGATTTTTTATTGCTCTTTAGGCATGAAAAATAAAATTAGAATTTCATTTTTTTTTTAAACACACATTTTTCAAGGAGTTTTTTACATTTACACTAGGGTGGACACAGCATGCGCATATAAGTTTTCAACTGAAGAAATATGTATTTAACAAACCAATGAATTTAATTATATAGTATGTCATAACTAGCGATGGACTGGTGACCTGTCCAGGGTGTACCACGCCTTTCGCCCCATGTGAGCTGGGATTGGCTCCAGCCCCACCTGTACGCAGGATAAGCGGTTGACGATGGATGGATGGTGATAACTATATTTTTAATGCTGTTAAAGGTTCAGTGTGTAAGTTCTAGTGAAATCTAGTGGTGATGGTTGCGAATTGCATTTTCATTAATAAACAACAGCCACATGAAGAAATGAAGTGCTACATGATGTCTCATACACCTGTAATACATTATTTTACATCTTACGTCATTTTAACAGGGCCGATAACTTTGTCTAGCGAACAACAGTCTTAAAACTAAATGTACTCACTAGAGAAAGTGAACAGCCGACTCCTAATAAGCTTTTTCAACGGTCCTGGTTAAATTTACACAGTGCCAAGGATACAAGTCGGCTCTAGCCTGATTGACAGGTCGTCATGGTATCGACTTTTCAATCATAGATAATCCCGCCCTGAAACATACTCTGCTTTGTGGTCTATTTTAAAATAAATGGGACCATAATTTACTAAATGAACATCATTTTGTGTTGAAGAAGACTTGAAACTAGCGACTGAGACCATAAACTCATCAGGAAAGTGTTTACTGGGGTAATTATTCAGCTGAGAAGTAGGGTCATTTTCCCATCATTTCTAATTCAGCTGGACTTCTTTTTGCAACCAGAAGAGTCGCCCCCTGCTGGATTTTCCGCTTGGCTGCAGCCCGCAGACTTGATGGAAGTTGACGGAAGTTG